TTCTACTTGCAAATTTGTCACCTTTCCTATCTTGGTTATGTGCATAACACAAGCATCCAAATACCCGTAGATGGTCATAAGTGGGTGGCTTCCCATTCAATATTTCATATGGAGTTTTTCCATGGAGAACGGTTGAGGGTGTACGATTGATCAAGTATCCTGCGGTCAAAATGCATTCTCCCCGGAATTGAAGTGGAAGTTCTCCACGAAATCGTAGAGCACGAGCTACATTTAGGATGTGTCGATGTTTTCGTTCGGCTCTCCCATTTTGCTGAGGTGTTCCAAGTGCATGAGGTTTGATGGAGTATCCCATGTTGCTGAAAATATCGTTGAAGACACATAAACTCGGTTTCATTGTCACTTCGTAATATTTTGACTTGTTTCTCGTATTGTCGTTCTATCAAGGCGATGAAATGCATTAAGGTTTGTGACACATCTTTCTTATTATTCAAGAGATATATCCACACTGACTCGAGAACGAGTCATCAACCAAAGTGAGAAAGTAAGATGCACCACAAGACGAGGGAGTTCTATATGGACCCCATAAATCACAATGTATTAAATCAAATATATTGGATGCTTGAAAATCACTTAAAGGAAATGTGTTTCTGCATTGCTTTGATCTCTCACACACTTCACACACACGAGTTGTATCCGTATTTCTATTCACGCTCGTTCGGATGCGGAATTTTTCTAACAATGCGGTAGGCGGGATGTCCCATTCGCTTGTGCCAAATCTCCAGTTGATTTTCTCGCATTGGTCCGATACGCCTTTATGCCACTCACACCACGATACCAATAGAGTCCCTCTTTTCGTTCACCCGCTCCAATCGGCATCCTCGAAGTGTGGTCCTGCATTGCACAAAATCTATCGATAAAATGTACTGTACATTTTACTTCATTCGTCAATTGTGATACTCGAAATCAAATTGCAATTCAATTTCGAACATATAGAACATGTTTAAGTTTCAGTCCTCCATCAAGGAAAACCGATCCTTCTTTGTTTGCCGGCACCAATTCACCATTTGGTAGTCCCACTGGGCACCCTTCCAAGGCTCGACTCTCCCTCAAGTTTTCTAGTGTTCCTGTCATATGATTAGAGGCGCCACTATCAATAATCCACAAGTCACATGCTTTCTTACCAGTCATCTTTTCGGTTTCATTTGCCTTGCGAGAATTCAACATTGCTTGTCAAGATCTCGCCATTGCTCATTACTCGGTCCCTGCGACTTCGGTTTTTCGATTAAACCAACGTTATCCGCACCGAGTGTGCGCCATATTGACGCGAGCCGTTCCTCCTTTTCCTCGGAAGGTTCCGGTTCTTTGTTGATTTTTTTCATCGTTTCTATCGGTTCGTGGTCTCTCTCCCCACCATTCCGGGTAACCAATGATCTTGAAGCAATTGCCTTTGTCATGTCCCTTCCTTCCACACTCGCATGCAAACAACCGATTTTTCTTTCGCTTCATTGCGCAACTTGTTCCTCGGTTTCCGCTCGCATAGCCATTCCCACGATCATTCCTCGCTCTTCTTTAGACCTGGTGATTGTTCTCACCATTTCTTCTTGCACCATGGTGCCATACACCCGATTCAACGAGGGTAATGGATCTGTTGCCAAAACATTTGACCGTGCGGTTCCATAGCCCTCATCATCTAGCCCCATCAAGAACTCGATGAATTTTTCTTCTTCTCTTCGTTTCTCAAGTTGCGTCATAATATTACACTTGTATCCCCCACATATACACCGTGGGATTTGCTCGTAATTTGCCGGTTCATCCCACAACGTTTTCAACTTCCCATAATAGGAAACCATAGTCATTCCTTGTTGTTTGCATTCCGCCAACTCGACTTTAGCTCGTTGGATTCTTGGTCCGTTCACGATCGAGAATCGTTCCTTGATGTCATCCCATAGGTCCTTTGCGTTTTCCATGTATGCAACGAGTGGAACGCAAACTAGGTTCTATAGTGTTTAGTATCCAAGATACAAGCATCGATTGAATTGTCCACCAATCTTCTATCTCGGATGTGTCTTCTTCGGGTTCCTTATGAGTTCCATCTATGAAACCCCATTTCCTTCGAGCCCGCGAGAGATATCTTCACGGCCCTTGCCCATTCCTCGTAATTCTCTCCTCGTAATTGTACTCGTGTAATCACATTTCCGGGATTATCACCGCCACTCGGATCGTATGGCGATGGTGTTTTCTTCACCGCCTCTCCTCTCTCGCCATTTTAGAAGTACGATCGTGTTCTCGGGCCGTTGGATATCGGAGTTTGGTTCGCTCCGATACCATGATAAAAATATTTCCAAAAACCCCTGTTTTGTATTGAATATGATAGCACAATATATACATGAAATACAGAAACATTCTAGGCTATAATTACGCTAACCATTATAGTCGGTATCCTAAATTTGTCTATTAACAGATATGACATTAATGTGCATCACTGTGCATCGCTGTCATGCCAAGCTAAATATGGAAAAAAATAATCATGTAGAATCATGACATGATACGGTATTTGTAATCGTATATTCTATGTTTATCAAAAACACATTCTAGAATACCCAACGCGGAATACATTTTTGGATTGATTTTTCTAAAATTTAACTTTATTTTCACGTTTCAAATTGAGCAATTTGGACCTATTTGTACAATTTGAATACAAGAACGTATAATTCATATATAATATTAATGATTACTTACATTTAATTATTAAAAAATGTCTTTAATGAAAGTCATAGTACAAAAAAATTAAATAATCAAGGATGAAAATGTTAAAGTTGTAAAAAGAAAAAGAAATTAAGATAGAAAATAAAATTATAAAAAAATATTTTAAATATTTGACTTAGGATGCTTTACGCCGCAGAAATGAAGACTCTATATTTAATGTAAAATTGATAAAGCAATAACCTTAGTAGACATTTCATATTTTCAGTGTGATTCTAAACATTTTAATACTCTCAAACCTCATTTTGAAAAAAACTATGTGGAACAGCAACTTAATTTAAATATCATGTGACATTTCTACGACCTTAACAAAGTCAAAGTTCCCAACCCTCCCATAATGGAAAGATTTACCGGGTTTTTGTGACATTTAAAGTTTAAACAAGTCATCAAATTTAGTCCAAAGTCTTTTAAAAACTATTTAATAGATATATATAGGAGTATAATCCTCCTCTTTATCCGGTAGAATTCAATTTAAAATAAAATGATATTAAGTGAAATAGTCAAATATATATATATATATATATATATATATATATATATATATATATATATAAAAGTTATATTTAACTAGAGAATGATACAAAACTTTTTGTGATATCTCCATATGAGATAGACAATCTGAGTTTCTCTCCAGTATCCACTAATAATGATGTTGTTTACTATAATAAGTAAGACTAAAAAAAATTTAATATCATGTTAGAAAAAGAAACACATCCTTTTAGAAAGTAAGATGTTTTGTAAACATCAAAGTGGAATGACAAATCGTTTGGTGTAGGAGGCTTAACTTTGGTATGTTTTAAAAGAGTAGTGTTCATTAATTTGGAATATATATACTTTTAGATACGTGGATATGAAATAGATAAAAAGTGAACAAGAAATGGATGTAATTTATATTATATATATATATATATATATATATATTTCAGTTGCACTTTTTCCATTCATCATGAAACAATCCATTTTTTCCATTGAAGTATAACATGTCTTCGTTCAACCCATTTTTCTAAATAACTCAATGGAAGTTCAATGTTTTGGAAAATAATTTGATGGCGACAAAACATCTACATAAACTATGGAAAAAATAATCTTCACTAATATCACAACAGCACAATAATTTGGAGGCAGAATATCCCTACAAATTCGCCACATGAATGAATAACTTATGCTTTGTTCAGGAGAAGAAGCTTTCAATATAGTGTCCTCCATGAATGATAATAGGTGTTTAGATACTACAAACCATGAAAGTACCACCCATAACACCAGGAGCAAGTCCCTGGCTGTGTGTATAAATTCAATCAAGAATCTAGACTTCACAACAGGGAAGATATTTCTTGGAAAACAGTTTCTTTCATTCCTCATTTCTGATTTGAATTTTCCATGCAAACACGCTTTTGCAAAATTCAAGCTGTCATGTGAAAATAAATAAATGTGAAACTATTGAGGTATGTTCTGCATAGATTAGACTCTGCCTCATTATTCCTGTTGATAATAAGAGTTGTTAGACCTGAAACGTACACGCTTCACCTATTGCATGAAAACTCAATTTTCTCAACATAGCTATATATCATTCATCAAATCATGAACACCAAGTTTCAAAATTTTCTCTGCAACAAAATAAATTAAATGTCAGTAACACGTTATTCAACACTCTCTTTTTTTTTTTCCTGACACTTTCTCTTTGTTAGTTATCATTTATGTGAATTCTATTTAATTCTCCATTAGATGGATTTCATTTTCGGATTAACGACACACATGAAGATAACTGACAAGAGTTGTACTGAGAAAAGGATATTACAAAATAAGTTATTAATAAATTTCAATAAATGAAGACATTTCATTTTTGTCATATTATACTTTAAAAAGGGTAAGAAGTTAGCTTTTAGTCCAACAATAATCACCATAGTAATACTAATTAAGTTGATTTAATTGTTTAACAACTCATTAGTTACGAGATAGGTGAAACAGATATTTCATGCAAATAAAACTTGTCTCATCAATATAATTATTAACTTTGATCGAAGAAAAAAGTAGCACAACACACAGATAATACATAACTCTCCAAATATGTATATTATATGTGAAGTGACCAGCGGGTGCCATATAAACACCTCAGCTACTTTCTAGACCAATACAATAAAACACTGGCCTTTCAGAATCACAGTTACAAGAATTGATCAACACCTAGTATGACATTTTATGGTTCTTCCAATGAGGTGAATAACAATAGGTATAAAAACTTTTTTGCACTATTTTCTACCCTCATTGCAATGATGTCTCTAGAATTGGCCTCCTTGGAAGGTCTGGCCAAATTGCCAATTGGCTGGTGCTACATCGTAGCTTGCCACAGTTCTGCCATCACTGGTGGTGACTTGAAAAGAAAGGGATTGTCCGTTAAGGTAGGAGTTGCTCTGCCAGTTTTGGCCCCAATTCCTTGACATGGGTTGCCACCCAGTTTTGGACCCTTTGATGGACACTGAATGCACATCCCCAGCACCACCAACATTGGTTATCAAAACTAGGTTGAAGTAAGAGTGACCATTGATGGTGAACCTTATTCCTCCCTTTTTCACACAAGGAACCCTGCCATCATCACCAAAAGTATAGTATAGTTTAGTTTATTAGTAGTTAAACTTGTGAGCAATTTGAACAATAAACATTATACAGGATCAAGTGAGTAATATCAGTCATATCATAGACAAGAAAATTAACAGCATGTAAATAACAAATCATGAATGTGTTTGAATATCAGCTGTTTGAGTTTCTCATCAGCATCTGAGATTACTTATTTTATTTTTACTGAATTTATAGGCTTATAAAATATGGTTGGTATAGATAGAGAAATTATGTTATTCACGTACTTGAAATTGAGACCAATTTGATGTGAAGCTAAAAGGTGAAGTTTGGTAAAGGCTACACCAATTTTCCCATTTTCATGAATAAGGGTCATGTGCTTAAATGAGGATAAGTTTTATACCATTATGTGACTTTCAATGAGAGAGGAATTTATTTTCAACATTTAATATCCTCACCTTATAAATTAGGTAATATAGTTGTGAATGAATTAAATTGTGACCTTTAAGCTTGAAAGCATTGCCAAATTTATGGTTTCAATTACCTTCTGAAGGCCACAGGCACAATTCCAGCTCTATATTCAGCAATTTGAAGGAAGGCAGGTTCAGCCATATCAAAGTGTTGCAAGGGAGGGTTGCACCAACCACCATTGTTGTTAGGCAAAGATGGATTTGGGGGGCAGAAGTTAGTAGCAGTAACAGTAATAGAGCCAGGTTTGCACCATCTTGGGTCATCATCACATCTCATTTCATAGCAAGATCCACAGCTTAAGCCATTGTTGAACAAAGCAGTGCTTAGAGCCACAGTGTCAGTTCCATAACCCTGGCTATACAAATTTCCATAGCCACATGCTCCACCTGCATATATAAAACAAAAGGATAAACACCCCATCATCTCAACTTTCAATACAATAATGTTAATAATAGTAATAATTAAGAAGAGTTTCTTGACAAAATTAAAAAGAGTAGTGTTGCAAGGAACTTCACATAACTGAGATCTTTGACAGTGACAATAGATTTATCTTTTGAAAAATGATGTAATAAACACTTACATATTATAATATTAGTTATGAACGTATTGTTATTGCTAATGTCGGCACGAGTAAATAGTAACCAGGCACATAAAAAAGTGCTAAACGAGTAGCTTAAGTAAAACGGGCATAGCTCAAGATGTGTGAACAGTTTCACTATTCCTCTTTTCTCTCTCCTGCTAAAATTACACTTCTAGCCAAAATTCAGGTTCATGAAAAGAAATAGAGTGGAGTGAAATGTAATAAACTGATATTAGATTTCAGTGTTTGGCTTTTCTTTTTTAAAGTAAGATGCATGGAATAGAAATTTGAGACAATACTTTCATGCAATATTCTTTTTTCTTGATTTGAAAGTATAAGATAAAACCACTTTTTTTTATTTTATCACAGAAATATCAAAACTTCATTTCCATCTCATTTCATTTCATTCCATTCTCTTTAGCATTTGACATCAAAGCAGAAAATATGCATGAACATCCATACTGATATATCTCTAGAGAGAAAAATTAAGAAAAAAGTGAAAATGGTAGACCTAATATATGATATGATGTCAAAACAGAGAATAAGATAAATACAAGTATGAAGAATTATTTGCACTATTTGAATTGTTAAAAAATATTACTCTCAAAACATATATCCATAAAGGAAAAGAAAAAGTGAAGAAATGAAGGCTAAACTCACCCATTGTGCCAGAAGCATCACCCCCACCATAGAAAGTGGCATGACCACTCTGCCAACCACCATAGTCAGCAGTGGCACCTTGGAGATTCCTGTTAACAAAGAGAACAACAATGAGAATCACAAGAGCAATGGAAAGTTCCTTGTGTGCCATTCTGAGCTTATGATAAGGCCTAAAGCAGAGGAATGTTCACTTTCTTTGCTATGTTGTGAGGTCAAGTGCTTAAAGGGGGCCTCTATTTATAAGTAACATCTTTTTACTTTTTCTTTTTCTTTTATTACTAACTTCCACAAAAGTGTTATTTTTTTCCAAAAGCCATAGAACAAGTGACAAATCAAGTGCACATGCGCTGGTTCTAGTTGAGGTTCCCAACCGCTAATATTGTGGGTCACACCCCTGCACATGCAACCCCAACTATCTTTTCTTCCCAACTTTATAGACCAATATTAAAATTTTTCTGTGGCCAATAATTTAATCAGCATTTCTTCTTTCTTTCCTTTTTCCCTTGCACAATGTTAGCAACACATATGTTAAGTTACTGTTTCTAACAATTTTTATCGTTAGTTAAAATTATAAAATTCAACTTAATACAACCAGTAAAATTTTGTACTTTTTATAAAATATTAACTGATAATAAAGTATACATTTGAAAGTGCATGCTTCTAAGCATTTTTTTTTTTCTTTTTATGCAATGGATAAATGGATAAGAGCTGAGGTATGATTGGCCCTTGCATGGTGTTAAGAGTCCCAATGATAAAAGAGTCAAAAGCTAAATTGCACTTTGAATTGAAATGTGTAGGGTCTTAAGAAATGATGAACAGTATCTTAGCACATGGAGAAGTATCTGTCTAACTGGGCAAAATCAAAAGAAGAAGCTACTTGGGACATTTGTATGGTGCAGGTCCCCTTTTCCAATATTCAAGGGTCAAAAGGGGGATAGCATAGTATCTTCTCTGTGCTTCAGAATGTGCCACATAAGAAGGATTTCAAGAGCGTGGTCATTTTATTTTATTTCATTTTACCTTTTTTAGTGTTTTCAGTTCTTGAATAGAATAAAAGAGTTGGTTGATACTTCAATAGAAACAGCCTTGCTTCCAGTTGGACAAACTGTGCATGGTAACTGGTTTGTTTTCACACACACAAATGACAGTTAATACTTGACCCTTCCCTCTCAGACTTTTTTAATTACATTGAAGTTGGGAGCTTCTATTTGGTGAAAGATCATGTCCAAATTAGGTGTTGCATATATTACACTCACTAATTGATTTGGTGTTTGACACACAAAACATGTGGACAAAACCATTATATGGAGTCTCATAAGTATTTCTTGAAACAAAAATTGTCAGATATGTGTAAATACATTATTAGAATTTAGTAAATAGGAATTAATGGAATCAAGAAAGAAAAAGGGTGGTTAAAAGTGATAAATGAAACTAATAGCTATTTTAACAACCACAGCATATTCTAAAAGTTAATGTGGCTGTTTCCTTTTCTCTCTTCTGGGGAACAAGTCCTAGGTCCTTGGTTTCTAACTGGCACAAAAGTTTAGTTAACAAAATTAACATTAATATATGCTTCCAGATGGGGAAAATTGAATTTAGACTCTTCTGAACTTTATTATTAAATTGTGACAAGGTATTTTTGATCTTGTTTCATCAGTATGCTACCATCATATCTGGTGTCAGTAATATCTTAATGAAAGAAAACTAAATTAACAAATGAATCTGGATATGAATAATAGTTAAGATCTTGTTATTCATCCTCAATTTTATTTTATTTTTGTTTTCTTGTGCGTATATATTTGAATTGTTTTCTGAGAGGGTTCTTACTAAAGTGATGAATAAAAGGTAATATGACACATGGGATGAGGCAGACATTGTGGATATGTTCTGCTGACTTTTATGGGTGCTTTGGTCACATGCAATGCAATGGCCAGAAAACTATAGTATTGACTATTGAATATTCAGTTAATACTTGAAAGCATAGATTGCAAAATGCTATGTTGATTCAATCCAAAACAACATAACATGGTATTGTTAATATCACTCACATCATCTGTTTTTCTTTTCTTTCATTTTTTTAAAGATAGCTTAACAAAAATTTTCTCTTTTGTGGAAGATTCACATTCAATGTCTGAGAGTAGGAGTGTGAGTTTAGAAAAATAAAAGATTCTACATTCATGTTCATCCATGCACTCTGAATGTTATCATTGGTGCATGTGTGCTTATTTTGTTCATATTCAATCATAACTCATTCAAGGTTCATAGACACACCCTAACATAAAAAGGTGTATTGCAGAATTATCTAGAAACATGGTTCAAAAGATTACACGCTTATCAATATAAAAACTGTCTTATCTTCATTATTTATCATTTTTTAACATAATCTATTTGTTTCCTACCGATTTTTCTCTCACCATGTTTATTTACATTAAAATTAGCTTGTGCATCTGTTGGTTTAACTGAAATTTCAAGTTGCTTAAACCAAAACATTAATTTATCAGTCATTATTTTAGCCTGACTTCAAAAAATGACTCAAATGAATGTAACATAAATTATTAAAAAAAAAAAAAGGATTTTTGTTGCTCTATGTTCAAAAATTACTGAACATCCAAAATCCATAACCTTATATAAGTAAACTTTTGCTGTTCAAAGGCATCTTCTTCAATTATTAGTTGGGTAGTTCAGTTAATTATAATCTACAGGACTTTTTGAGTATAATAGGATCATTTTCCAAGATACTTCCTTTTGTATTCACGCGATATAGTTTATTCACCCAAATAAAATATTAATTCATAACAAATAACAAACTACCGACAAAGTAACAAGTGGGTAAATTTTCTTAAAAAAACTATGTTTGGAAATTTCCTTTTAGAAAACAAGACTGTAACATGCATGTCTATTTCAAAAGGGTTATTTGTTTTCCTTTTTGTTTGATCCATTTATTCGGTTATTTTATTGGTGAAACTGTGTTATTCTGTTCACAACTAAAACAGGCTACTAATAGTGGTTAGCATGACTTTAACAATTATGAGGTAACCATTTTGTAAACTGTGTTGATTATGATCAAGATATTAAATTTTGAAACTGCTACAAAATTTATTATAAACATGGGAGCAGGATCACATGATATATTTGAAAATAAAGTGTGATGCATAATTCTTTCTTGCTTGCTCTAAATGACATTGACAAGGACAGTGCAATGGCTATTATTGCACAAAATGCTTTGGAGAGTGTCATATTTCCTTTCAAATCAAATAAAAGAGAAAATAGCTTGTGACCGACTATGTGAGAGCCCTTTCACATATTTGTTGATTCATTTTCATATCATTTTCTTGGTAACAACTTTCCTTGACAGGGACAGAAGATAAGTGAATTAATCTCACATGGATGCTTACACTCATAAACAATGCCAGTAGCACAAGTCTATTCATCTTGTGCTTCTTCTTTTCTTTTCTTCTTTCTTTTAATGACCTTTTGAATTGCAGAAATTAGTAAAGAAAGTATAATATAATTAAGAAACCAAACTCTGTTCATGTGAGCCTGCATGGTCAATTCTGAATTTTGTACATTCCCATAATTTTTTCTCACTTTGTTATAATAATTTTGCCATTATATACAAAAATTAGGTGGTAATCTATTAAGTATTCAGTAAATGAATGAAATAAAAAAGGTCCACTTCAATTTCTGTCAGTAATGGCCATTTAAATCCAAGCCTTTAATTAAAAAGTAACTTTAAAGAAAAATTTGACTTAAAAGTTTTTTGCATATTATTACAAACATGAAGATCATGGTTGAGTGATCATGTATGATATCAATGAGTTCTTTGTTATTACTGTTGTTAAATACATAAAGATTAAAACTCTCTAATCACATAAAAAAAAATATAATGTTGCTGTTACATACATAAAGATCAAAGCCTACAACCACATAGAAAACAAACATAATTATTTATACCATGGTGGTGTTTTAGTTCTTTTATTGCTCTATACCTTTTGGTATTATGTTTCTAAATTCCTTTTAAATCCTTTATCACTTAAATTTGGATGTGTCACCATTTTCTGATATATATATATATATATATATAGTCATTAATAGACATAAAACAGCCTCTGAAACATACTTTATGTGACAGAACAGATAGAGATTAGTTTGTCATGTTGTTGTTAAAGTCAAGCTTAAGATGGATTGGGAAGAAAACTATACTAATTGTGATTGTTATTCCTAGTTAACTAAATTAAGTAGAGAAAGAAAAGGCCACAGTAGCTGCTGACCCTACCATGTTAGGGCACATGCAAGTTTCGGTACAGCCTTCTCTTAAATCTTAATCCCTGTCCTTCTTCATTATTTTCCCTTTTCTTCTTCTAAGATTTTATGGACCAATCAATCATATACCATCATAAATTAATAACTAGAACTTATGTACATGAACTTGAACAGTAATCCTTCCAAACTCTGGAGTATAAGTAATATTTTATTTTAACCACCATTAGATTCTTTGGTTTCCCTGACAGATTACTATCCTAATTCTCTATCTAAACTTAATCACATACTTAAAGTTTATCGTCTCTTTATAAAGATTATCATGTAAGAATTTAACAGAAGTGCTGTGAGCTGAACTATACCTGTAAGTTACAATAATAATAATTTCTTTTCCCTCTCAAAATCCAATTTTGTCACATTCCCAAAGGAATATGCCTCCTTTGATAGGTTTGGATCTTGTTTGACACCTTCCCTAAGGATTACATAACGCGTGAAAGTATCTTCAAAAGGGCATGCAAATGAAATGAACCTTCCATGATGATTTAATGCTTTTTCTCAGCCTAGTAAGGTATAGATGTGGACAATTTTGAGACATGAGGGGGAATTTCCGCAAGAGGTTAAAAAGAAAAATTGAATGTAAAAGATGACCAACATGGGGGAAAAGTAGGCTGAAACTCAGGAACCAAACAAGTGATGGAATAGCAAAAGTTCTCTCATTTATTTTAAACAAGAAACTCAATATAAGATATACCAGATTTGTTTGGTTTCTGCTGTTGGTTTAGGGATCAATGAAAGTTCCCTTCACAAGGGATTGTCCCAATTTTACGGTAAAGGAACTTGTGGATGACCTTGGGTGGTAGTGTTTTAGTCAAGGACAGTTGAATAATGAACACTCATATGAACTAAATTGGGCTCTCGTGAAGGTAGGGGCCTGAGGAAACTCAAAGTATGAGTATACATTTTTAACCTTAAATCTCATGAAATATTGTAGCAATGATATATTTTTTATGAAGTTTAACAAATCTTAGAAAATATATATTTTTGTCCACGTAAATGAAAATGAATTAAAAAGTTTACACAATTTATGTCCCCAAATTTCCTATGTTGTGCAATGTTTTGTGGATGAGTTTTTTCCATGTTTTCTAACGGGTGTTAAAATTAGCAAATAAACACATCAAATTAAAGATTATTTTCCTTCAAGAAACCACGACAATAACAAAACCTATTAATTTTAAGGTATAGCAATGGTAACATTGAATGTGTTTGGTTTCAGAAAATAATATTTGATTATTGTGACCTTTCTGTATCAATCAATACAAATAAAAATAAAATAACAATAAGGTTGTACTTTGCTTATTATTATTGAAAAAAAAGTATTTAATTTAATATCTTACTTTCACACTAATTTCGAAACTTATTCATTTGAAAAAGACATCGTTTTCCAAAAAGTACAACAACATTTTTCTTAAGTTATTTGAATTTATACCATGTGACAAATGTGAATAACAAAACCGTTCTCCATTTTTAACCCCATAAAAGACTACTTCAAGCATTAAATTAGTCCTTCTAATTAGACACATATAATAATATCAAGTATAGTCCTCTGACAAATTTAAACATTGTTTAGTCATTTAATATTTAAATTTACAATGAATTTTGATGAAGAGTTGAATATCAATTTAATTACTTAATCAGAATTCATCATCAATATTATTTTTAAAATAAAATGAAGAAATTAGGTGACAGTTTACAGATTGATACAACTGTGCAACAATTATTTATATTATCAGTAAATATATTCACAGTTTATTTTTATGTGATATAATACATGGTTGGTAAGTAAGGCAGTTATCTAAGTCATTAAGTTTGTGAAGGTAGAGAGATAAATAGTAGTTTCAATCATCAATTGTTCTGCAGAGTTTTCCCATTTTTTGTCGCATGGCATAAGAATCTGTGAGAGTTGAATTCATGTTTGGTTCCTAATTGTTATGTATCAAAGGAGTGAATAGAGATTAGTTTTAAGTACATATCTCAATTCAAAACAACCATCGATTGTGAAGGAGAAAGGAAAATAATATCTTTAAGTGGATTTTTAAACTAAGAGAAAATATGCATAAAATAACTCCCAGTAAAGAGGTTTAACTAAACGCCAATAAAAAAAAAACCTAAAAACAAATAAAAGAACATAATCATAAAAATGTCAAGGGGCGATGAAAGATTCTTTTCTTGGTCATTTTCTAAGGGATATAAAACTAGGACTACCAAAATGTGATGCTTGACTTTGGAGGCTGGAAAAAAAAAAAAAAAAAAGTTATTTTGAATTGTATACAGTTAGTTGGCACACCTAGAGCTTTGGTGCTCTAGCACTAGGCATGCAGGGAGAAGTATCAAAAGTTTCCAATGTTAAGTCATCACAATTTTAACTCAATGACACTGGGAATTTAGAGCATCTCAAACAGGGATTGCAATTAAATAGTATCTGTGCACGATTCCTTTAAAATCAGTTGATCCGGGTAGAAGTGAAAGCAGATTCAAATTCTCTCCGTTAAAAAAAGTTGAAAACTGGATATAAAAAATAATATTTTTTTTTTTTATTATATATAAAATTATTATATTTTATTATTTTTATTTTCTTCTATTTATTTTTTAAATTTTGTTATCTTTTTTAATTTTTTATATCTATTAGTTCATTACATCATTCTTTTTTTTATTTTTCACTTTTTCATATTTATTTAATCATTTTAATAAATTTTTTAAATATTTTCAATTTGACCAACGCAAATTTGATTTTTTATTTTTTTCTAAATTTTTTTCATAAATCTTAATAATAACTAATATTATTTTATTTATAATTTATTTTAATTAGATTTTATTATATCTTATTTTTTTATTTTTTTATTTTTATTTGTCATATAGCAAATTTTATATTAATAAAATATTTATATTTTAAAGGATTAAAAAAATTGATAATTTAAAATTTTATTACTTTGAACTAATTAAGTAAAAATTAACTTATTAAATATTTTTTTATAAATTATATATTTCATATTTTTAAATAACAACTTAAAAAATAATTAACTTATTTATATATATAATCAAATATTTAAATAATAATAATAATAATAATTATTCTATATTTATATTAAAAAAATGATTACAAAATATAAAATTATAAATATTTATTTATGTATAAAAATATTAAAATTAATTTATTATAAGTATAATTATTTTTTGAAATAATATAGAATAGAAACAAGGTGAATATGAAAAAACCTAAAACTGAAATAGAGACTTAATTTCTAATTTTGATAAGGATGAAAATGAAAACAAAAATGATTTAAAAAATCAAGAGTGAAAGTAGGAGAGGCAAAACCACCTTGGACATGCACCTTTATTATTCCTACTCTCAAACAAGTATACTTAAAGGTTTTTAACTAACTCTCATAAATTATATTATGGTTTTTGTTTGGATCTTGTTCATAAAAAAATTATTAATTTTTTTTCAATAAATTAGAATTAATTTACGTATAAATAAAAAAAACCTTTTAGAAAAGCTAATTTAAAAGCTTTATTAAATTACTTACACATAAACTAATTTCAATTTATAAATAAAAGTTAAATTACTTATCAAATTACATATAAAACCCCACAGAAATCATCAATAGCCATTCGAGATGCTGCTATTAGAGAGTAATTCATTATTTAATTCCAATTCTACATTGCCATTCACCAAATCTTCATTCTTATGACATTGTACCAGCTTGATTAACTTCAAATAAAAATACACAGTAATTTCTCAGCATTAATATATCTAATTGATGGTCAAGAAAGGTGTAGAAAATGCGGAGCCAAAAATGCACACACGTAAACATTGACAGAAGTTATTAATGTTTAAAAACCTAATTTGATCTTCAACATATAGTCCATCTCCAAATTTGTTCTCTATGCAGTCAGTAGTTGGACCCATAAATTTTATGCACAGCATATCGGATTTGGTAATGATGCTTTGAGCAAAACACTATCATCGCACTTAACTGAGCATTCAAATGAGGCTACAAAATCAAAATACTAGTGTTGCCATGAAGTGGGGCCATTTATGATCAAATAATAATGAATATTATTATTTATGTGTGCTTGTTTTAGTATTATGCATGATTTGGATCGTTAGCTGAGGAATATGGAACATTGCAACTGACTATTGACCCGTTACACCAAAATCAATCATGCACGAACACAACGACGAGGGAAAATAAATTTCATCCACATTACAAACCTCAAAATAGCCAAGGTAGGCATAGAGGCAATTTCTAACTAGTACCATATGAAAAGCATTTGGTCGAAAATGATGAATCTCGGCTGTCGGAAAACTGGTCTTATCTCAGACATTGTTAATCTTGCTTTGTACGTAAGAAGCAAATACAAAGGCTAGCAGTAAGACGATACCTTACAAGCAATTGAATGACAATATTTAGATTATGTACTCGTTAAAATATAAAAATGCGAAAACGGTCAGACATAAATTTATCGGCCCAAAAATGCCACACGGTCCTTTTGTACTGCCTGTGTTAGGTTGATATCGAAGAGCTCACAACGTATAGGCATCTCCATCTCATAGAAAGGATTCTTCAAAACGTAGTCCGTGTACAATTCATAGACAAATTTCAGTAAATTCTCCATATGTTGTGCTCCAGGCTCACACACCACAAAGAACTTTGTCCCTGTAAGAGAGAAGAAACATTTTTTAATACCAATATTAGGAAGAAATAAATGTGAAAAATCTTGCATGCTTATTTTGCCAGAGACACGTACCCGAATACAGAACCGCTAAACAATAAAAGGATAGATCTATTGCACTAACAAGTGCGAAACATAAATGCTTAAGAAACGCAAGGAAACAGCTAAACAGCCAACATCTAGAACAATGTCAACTCTCAAGAATTCAAGTTCATTGATCCAAATCAGAAGATGCGTACGTGACCCAAAAAATAATAAAAACCAAATACAGTCAATATATATTGGGTCATGTCACCAACAAGTTATTTTGATTGCTACAATAACCCAACCTGCCTTCCAACTTACTGATTCTGTTTTTGAACTCTAAAATCAGGTGCTCGTGAAAATATTTTTTTTTCTAAGTTTGCAACATATATAACTCTGCTAAAGTATTACGCTGGCTTCACCTTACAATGGGGTTTATTTGTTTATAGCCTATTGAGACCTATTAGACAGAATCAAGATTAAAATCCCAAAGCAATTAAGTCCACCTTATTTATAAGGGGGTTTACGAATAATTATCTAGAGCTTCAGATATACTCAAACCACAACTACCTGCAAGGCCTTAAATGCGTGCATGAAAGACAGAAGGTGGTACTAAACTATTCATTTTATTCAATGAATAAAATGTTAAATTACAAAGATAAAGGTATTGCAATAATAAATTAAAGACTAATTACCTGTCAGCGATTGAAAGCAATGAAGATCAAACGTATCTGCTTGGAGAAGTTCAATTCCTAAACAACCTGATACAGGTGATAACTGCTGAGAGATAGCATGCATTGAGTGCCATAAACTTGCCACCCGCAAGCTGTCATTGGTATCCATTCGTCCAGCAGACCCATAATCCTAAATGCAAAAAAATTAACAATTTTGATAGAATCCGTGTAAAACGAAAAGCTTAACTGTAACTCTAACTAAAATATTTAAATTGATATTTTTAAAAAGACAGTTGGGAAGAAAATGAAGCTATCATTGTTATCCATATTCCCAGTAAGCCCATATCCTAATTAGTAATTTTCAAAATATATCTTAAACATACTGAAAATTCTAACTTCTAAAGAAACAAATAACAACAACTATCAGACATATACTGAGGAACCAGTGGGAGGAAATATAAAAGATATCGTGGTCATTTCTTCAACTGAATTCAGAAGCTGAAGCTCAGTCCACATGCTGATTTGACATACGAGACTTAATTAACAGTGCAAGAATTTTAGCTCATCAAACAGAAAGAAACTATAAAAATGTCATAATTTAAGCTTTCTGACATCGGGAAAAATAAAAAACCTGTAACAACAATATCATGCTATCTTCCATCAAATTCAGGGGCATAATAAATAAATCTCTTAGAAAACCAACAGAAATAATTTGAAGTTTGAATTAGTGATCAACAGAAAGTAAAGAAAAACCATACCTTATAATAGATCAATCCACCAGACTTATTGATGATGTAAAGACTGTAAATTGCTGCCATTCCAAAAACTTTTGTGGTGTCTAAAATGGAGATGAAGGTAAAATTTAACAGGGAATTTTTCAAGATTAAACTCTTGTAAGTACGACAATCATACTATCTCGTATTTACATTACCATTAACAAACCAACATTATTGTGAGCACTGAATGAAAACAATTAAGAGAATAAATATGTTAAACACATATCAACATCCAAATGCTCTTGTGATATGATTCCAAAGAGGAATGTAATGGAAATTTCAAATTTAGGATTAGGTATTGAAAACAGCAAAATTTGGAAATTGAGAACAAAAAAGAAAAGAAACTTGATAAAGGAAAGCACAACAAGTAGAGTTTAAAAGTTTAAGGATGATCAGGACAATAATTGGTGAATTCTTGATAAGATCAATAGATATAAGGAAAAACCCTAATAGAGAGATATTCTCACTTTTTCAAAAATCATTTGTTGCCTCTTTATGAATTTTGCACTCTTAAAATACAAATTTAGTTTTTAGGTTATTTTTAATGATCATGCTATCATTCTTTCTTTTCCCACTCATTCTCTACTTAAGATTCCTTACAAGAATTAAGCAATCTATAATCAAGAGTTATTTTTAAGATTTGCAATCGCAATACTTAAAACAAATTTTAGTATTCACAAAGAGAAATAGCAAAGAATAATTTTATTACTAACAAACAAGACAAACGGAAATATATAGGCAAACAAAATTAGATAAGACACTTTAACAAATAAGTGATGTGCATTGAATATAAAGATGGACAAATATATTCTTATTTTTTATTTTTTTTAAATCTTCTTTCTCTTTCTCTTTCTCTTTCTTTCCTTTTTTTATACAATTCAAATTCAAATTCAGAATTACACCACCATCATTTTTTTTTTACTTCTCAGACTTTGTATTCAGCAATTGAAACATCATATCAAGACAAGACAATATGCAATTGAACAATAACAGCAAGAAAAACAAAATATGATGGTTGTACAATTCTGAAATTGAATTTAAATTATATAAAAAAGGGAAAGAAGTTAAAAAAATAGAAACATACAATATAGTTGTCTATCTTTATATTCAATGCATAGTTGTTTGTTAAAATTCCTAAGTTTCAAATGTCTTCTCTAATTTTGTTTGCTTATATATTTTTGTTTGTCAACATTTCTGCTTGCCTTGCTTGTTGGTAGTGAAATTGTTTTTTGCTATTTCTCTTTTGTGGATACTAAAATTCTATTATTAATTTAAAATTAACTCTTGATTATACGTCGTTTGATTCTTGTAAGAATCTCAAATAGAGAATGAGTGGTATAAAAGATAGTGTGATCATTATAAAAAATCTAAAAACTAAATCTATTATCTAAGATTGTAGAATTCAAAATTAGGTTACGAATGATCTTTGGACAAAGTGAGAATAGCTCCTTGTCAGGGTTCTTCCTTATATCTTTTGATTTTATCAAGAATTCATTAATTCTTGTAGTGATTATCTTTATACTTATCAAACTCTGAGTTGTGGCACCTTCTTTTATCAAGTTTATTTATTCTGTTTTCAATTCTTAAATTTTGTTATTTTCAATTCTTAATCCTAAATTTCAAATTTCCATTACATTTCTCTTTGGAATCATATCATCCTAAAGAAGTCCAGTCAAAGAGATTAAGCTTACAATACCATTGCATTTACAAGTACCACAACCAAAATTAAGAACCCCAATTTTTTACTTTTGCAAGAAAACATCTGATTGGACAAAAACAAGCAGGGAAACGATACTTGGTGATTCTGAATGTCGAAGGTGGGTCGGTCACAACCAAAATGGAAAGAGCCTAACCATGACCTAACCTTACCTCGACATTGCAAGGCGGTTATTTTACTCACAAAAATCACATTCTTTCTTCTTCTCTATTTGGTGACTTTTGGTTTCCCCCTTTGCAAGGCACAATCACTACATCCACGACACTTTCAAACCAACCCACCACTGCCATAGAACCAGCCACCAAGTATGGTATTCTATCATTATCCCTCTTCTTTGGCTTCTTCATGTTCTACTTTTCACAATTGATTTTTCTTTGTTCTATTATTCAATGAAGCATGAACGAACCAGCCACTGTCGAACCATCTAGCCACTGTCGATCTATCACACCATGACTATCATTCACACATCTAACAAGTTGTTTTGTTTTGTCTTTTGGATTTTGGATTTTTCTTTTCAATGATGGTTTCTTGAATTCCTTTTTGTTTATCGAAAGTGACTTCTCTTAGTACTTTTGTTAATGAGATTAATTATTAACATATGAATATTATATATATGTGTGTGTGTTTGTGTGCCGTGTCCTATGATTTTTAATTTTTCCATGTCATGTCCCATGTCCAAATCTATGCTTCATAGGACAGAAATGAAGGAAAGGATGTAAAATGGTGTGTGTATGAAATAATCCTAGACCAACCATGTCAGATTCCCTTTCCTTATCTTTTGCTAACTTTCTTTTTGGGGAATTAGGAGGATCAAACATATGAAAAATAAAGTTGAATTAAGGTGCTAGCTTTATCAGCTTAATTACATAATTTCACATTCAGATTTGCCAACAAAAAGGATGAGCGCTGATAGATCTGTACAAGATTTCATAGAAAATGAAAAAAAGGACAGCATTGAGTTTAATCACAGAAAAATGTCTCAGGTATTCAACAGATCTAAACTCTGCACCAATGAATTATCTGAAAAGGACCCCCTTTACATAGCCTTCTTCTCTCTTTTATGCACCCGGTACCTCTCCAACTTACTAATGCAGTTAATTCTTCTATTAATTATTTCAGGGAATTAGTTATAATCTAATTCCATGTCCCTTGCTTATTTCTTAAAATGTACACTCTCCTCCTAAAAGTTGGTTGGTGCCTATCAGGCATGGTTTTGACTTTTGAAAATATCAAGCCAACCATTAGAAGAGTTTGGACTTTAGAGTTTATATGAATCAGTTTCAAACCAGTTCTAGGTTCAAAACCAGTTATAAAACGAGTTCAGGTAAAAAAAATTTTGTTGAACAACAAAACAGTTCTAAACCCCAAAACTAATTTAGAATCTGGCTTTGAAACGGGTTCAGCCTGTTTTTTGAACCCAAAACCAGTTCTTTATTTACAAAACTGACTTTAAAATTTTAAATTTTTTTTTTAACTAATTTTAAAATTATTTTTCTGCAATACTGGTTATTTTTTTCTCAGCACAGTAGTCTTGATTTGTTCCACTTTATAGCAACTGCACCCACCACCAAACAATCAAGCAATGATAGAATTTCTACTGCCTAAAATAGTTCCTGTTCTCAAAAATTTAAGCTGAAGCATTTTTATATATCTGGCACAGCATGATTGCAAATATTAAATACTAATGAAATGTTTAAACAATAACACAACCTCATCCACGTGAGAAATCTGTGAGAAAGAAGTACAAGAGATTGTGCAAAGCAAACCAACAAGGAAAAGAAAAAGGAAAAAATAGAATCATCAATAAATGAAACTAGAAAAATGAAAATAAAGCCATATTGAGAAAAGAGATAACCTTTTCTGATGGGAGGCTCAGTTTGTGAGATCAATACCCTGAAACTTTCCAACCTGCCACATAAGTTAAACAAGAAAGATTTGGTCACCACAACTGCCAGCACATAGTATAGCAATCATGAAGGTGAAAAAAGAATACCCTGTAAGGTAAAATATTTCAAGTAATGGAAGCATGAAATCAGGCAACGGACTAAGAAAAAGAATATTTATAAACTTGATTTGAATTCATAAAAAGTATATAACTTTGTCAGAAGAGGGTGTAACAGCACATGAATTCAACTAGTAGGTATTAGGTAACTACGAAGTTGCATTCAATAGAACTTTTCCATGTCACTTAATCACTTGATTTGCCATCTCAATCCCAACAAATGAACTTTGTGTAAACAACAGGAACCAATCATCTGTAAATCATTTATTGCATCGACAGGAAAATCTATTTTCTGTTCTAGTGTAGTAAGAAGACCCTACTTAACATAAACGAACATATAGTAGTTCAGGAGCAATGGATGTTAACTTAGAACATGTCGGACATTTCTCATATTTTCCTACAATTAGAGTTACAATGAACTACCACACATCTTAACCTCTGTTATTAAATAGAATTTTTACTATTTATAAAAAATTGAAGATATTGCTCGTTCTACAACTCTTCCTCAAACATGAGTATATGACCAGCCCAGCCTATTGTGATCCATAACTTTAAGTAAACAGAAAAAATGCAAAATATTCAGAGAGAATGCTTATTCACAGATAGAGGTACCGCCATCAGATGAGAGTGATTCTAAACTACTGATCCTTAATAGCAATAAAGCTCAAATAGGTAGGGACACGGTCACTTATGCCAGAGTTTCATAAACAACAGCTGATCCAATAATTCCAATAAAAGCCTCCATCACATGAGACTAGAATCACAAGTAGCAATCGAAGCACATCATGTTCAGCCAACACTGTCACTGAAATAATTGTGGAACGTGATATTATACTAGCTGTGTTCTAAACACAGCTGTTATCTGCAAAAGTTGTTAGTATTATTCCCCCAGATAGGATATGGTAAGAGTTAAGATACATGGGGTTTATATAAAACGGTTTTAAAAATGGTTTAGTCCAGTAATAGGCATTCATTCGTTTGGTTTTGAAAAAACCATGGCCACCCCCAACTGCATCGCAAGAAAATATGCTTTGGTTAAATAATTAGCAGAATTCTATAGACATGCTTTGTTAGCATTTGACATATAAATGAAAACATCTTAAAAAACACACTGAACTGCCAAAATTTGTGCAGGCTAAAAAATTCAAGCATTACTGAATCTACAACTAGATAAACACCATCAACAAGTACATTTCAATTATCACTTGATACTGAATGTTATCAAACAAGAACAACAATAAATTCCTCCCCCCCCCGCAACCCCCCAAATCCCCAATCAATTCCACACATACAAAAACCAGATCACATTCTCATTCCATTCATTGGCTAAGCTACTTGATCTACAGTTTCAGTATTGACATCGAACACCAAGCATCTCAGATCACGGAAAACACACAAACTACAGAGTCATTCCAATTCATTTATCTAAGCGCATTGCTCAAATTTTCAGCATAAATAAAGAAATTCGCGAGTTGGAGAAAATCAAAACACTAAAAAATTAAAAACCATAACCAAGCAAAGGAAGGTGACAAACCTGCAACAAAAACCATGCAAACAAAGGAAGAACCAGACGCCAAATAAAAGCAAGTGTTCCCACTCAGCGATTCTGCAAACACCGAATAGAATGACAAAAATAACGACACGGTTTATGACCAGAGAATACAGAAAGAAAAGGTGAATCGGAATCGTACCTAAGCGAAACAAAACGACAACGTTCGATTTGCAATCGAGAACGAAGAGAGAATGATTGAATGAAGAAAGGTGAGTGCGGAGACTGAGAGAGTGAGACCGGCTCAGACAGGTCGAGGACGAAGCAATTGCTGTCCAAAATATAAACTAATATCATTTTTCATTTCATTTCTATAATTATTAAAAAAAAGTCTCTTGAAAATTATTTAATTTTAACTTAAATATGTTTCAAATATGTATTATTTATTTTTAATATTTAATAAATATTTTCTTAAATTAAATATAATAACTTCAAAATGTTGATTAAATTTTTTTATTATCCTTTTAATTGTATTATCACATGTTCATTTTGTTCTGGTATTTTACATCAGTAATATCTTAAGTTAAATATATTCAAAATTTAAAATAAAATTTAAAAATATTTTAGGAAGTTAAATTAAAATAAATATAAATAAATATTCTTTCTCTTACATATGTTTTATTAATTAAATTAGTTTCTCTTAAATTAAAATATTTCTTACCATTTAAAAATATAATAATAATAATTAATATTGTAATTAATAAATAGCACAATTAATATAATAGTAAAAGAACTACATGTTTGGTTGGTGAGATTATGCTTGATATTGTGGATGATCTAGAATCCACTATTGCTTTTAATTTTTTTCTTAATTTGTTATTTTTTTAATTGAGTTTGCTTCCAAGATTGATCTATAGAGGATAATGATTGTCATTGGCTTAGATATGCTAAATGCATTTCAGCAATGCGGATAACACAAATCAACATTTTTTTAAGTGAATAATACAAATTCAGTGTATTAGATTAATAAATAATTGATACTTTTATTTTTTTATTAAACAATTAATTATTACTTTAATATTTTTAGTACTGCTACTTTATAGTTAAATAATAATTTATCCATTTTGTATATATGAATGAATTTTTTAAGAATATTTTAATGCAGAACCTAAAAAGTAAGTGATTTATTGAAGTATAATTATGGAAAGTTTTTGTAACAATAAGATGAAAAAAAGTAATTAAATCTTATTTTAATATAGAAGTTTTAATCATTTCACCAATTTTTCTCAATGACAATGTTTTACATTTTAGTAAAGTAATAATTAATGCAAAAACAATCACATTAAAAGTTTTTTATCATTTAATTAATTATTATAAAATATAATTTCTAAATATCAATAATTTCACTCCAAAAGTATAAAATGCAACCACTCTTCCCACTTATCCTCAATATAAACATAAAAATCCCAATTTTTTTATAATAAAAAAAAGTAGGTCTTTATATTACTTTTTTTATGTACTTGTTTCAGCTTTAAAAAAAATAGCAAAATCTAAAATCTAATTAAGAAAAAAAAACTACTTGGAATAACTTATCATAAAAATTAGTTGTTTTTTTACAAGTATATTTTAACATAAACAAGTATATGTTAGTTTACACTCTCTTTTTTTTAAAAATAGTCACTAAATTAATTGTAACCACTTTTTTAATCTGTAAAATCTCTCTAATTATTCATTGTAATGAATTTAATTATTAATTTTTGCGTAAATATATTTGGTAATTGAGATTTTCTAATTAATGCACCTAGCAAGCTTTCCTTAAATTGAATATACTTGCATCTTAAATGTGTTTATATAACAGAAGAAGAGGGAAACTGAGAAAAGCACATCACATTAACAATATTTTCAGAATTTCTATCTTGCTTCCATTTTTCTCTGTTCTGATCCTTACCATGGCCAGAAAGAAGTTGGATCTGACATACATTACCAATGACTCGAAGAGGAAGACAACCTTAAAGAAAAGAAAAATTGGTCAGTGATTGTTTCTCTTCACTTTATGTAAATTATTTTGTACATAAATTATTATTATTTAAATTGAAACATATGTACTGTATCAACAAAATGTTATTTCGAGTAGTAGATTCAACCCTTTAAATTCGGTTTATTTTTTCTTTTGATATTTCTCTTCTAGAGATGTGTGTAGAGAATTTTGTCTAATCACATTTCAACTAAAAACATCACTTCTCACTTTCTCTGATTCTTTTTATGTTTTATGAACAGGTTTGATCAAGAAAATGAATGAAATTAGTACCCTTTGTGGGATTGAAGCATGCGCCATAATCTACACTCCAAATGATCCTCAGCCAGAGGTTTGGCCATCTGAGTTAGAAGTCCAGAGAGTGCTTTCCAAGTTCATGGAAATGTCTGAGCAGAAACAAAGCAGAAAGATGTTGAATCAGGAGAGTTTGTTGAAGCAAATAATCAGCAAAAGCCAACATCAGTTGACAAGACAAAGGAATGAAAATAGGAAGAAAGAAATGACCCATCTTATGTTTCAGTACTTAAGTGTTGGGAGGGTTTTTGACAATCCTAGCTTGGTAGATTTGAATGATCTCTCATGGCTGATTGATCAAAAGCTGAATGAAATAAAAAAGAAGATGACTATGATCCAAATCCAAGAAGTGGCACCAGTGACTGAAAATGAAGGAGAACAGGGATACATGCATCATGTCCAAGGACCAGAGAGCAAGATAAACATAATTTAGAAGCAACATTGATCCATGGAATTTATTCTCATTGGAGATTTTAATGTCCGAAAGTCTTTGGCATAATGCATGTCTGTTTTAAAAAAGTACATTGTTTTAGGGAGTTTCAGTAATCTTTATCATTTAAACCAGCAATTCTTAGTTTTAATGTCTTTCTTTGATGTATGTTTTGTTTGTTTAATGTATTCTTGTAATTGAGTAATATATGCACATTACCTTCACATTTTATGATTGATGTTATTTTTTTCTGAAAATACAATCACAAATTTTCAGAACATGTTGAATTATATTTTTCAACCCAAAACATTCCCTATTCGTCTGAAGTGACTAAAAGTTTTGCATGGTTAAAAGTAAGCATTCTCAAGAAGTTTTGACTATTCATTTTGCATACTATGACATATAGATATTGAATTCATAGATACAATAAAAATGTTCAATAACTTCTACTTCTGAAGTCTTTGATTTAAACATTAAAATAATTTTAAAGGGAAAATAAATAAACATAGCCTAAGGAGAAACTCATCTGTAGAGTGCAAGTAAACAAATACAAAGAACAAGTGTATAGTCAATGGACTATAATAACTTGTTGATAAAATGAATATATCTCAAATAAATGTAATTTACAAAAACAAAACTAATTCCAGTAACATATTTTGTATTCCCCTCCTCCTTAAACGTAGTTTCATTTTAAGTATATAGATGGCACCCCTCGAGTCTAAAACCACCAAATTAGAAAAGACTCTCTCGTTCTATTAGCCTCGACTTCCAACAGTTGAACACACTACATCTTCCAAAGTTAACAAAAACTTGGATAAAACTTGGATTGCATCTTAAAAGCTGCTGCATCTGTAATGGCCTGCACAGATTCGGGTAGTGCTTCAGCCTCTTTCAAGTCTGTGTTGCAACCCCATACCCGAATGAGTAGCCGCCTACACTTTGGAGATGACGGTTTAAAATAAGTCTTGTACCATTCAACAACATCATGCTTGGTTATATGCCTCAATTCCTCTGCTTCCTTCTTTGGGAAATCAAAGATATACCTGAAAACCATAATGTTTATAATCATATAACCCATCATTGTAGCAAAAAAATATAAGCCCTTTTAGTCCTTAAACTTCTGTCATGACTTGGCAGACATTGCTCCATACTCCACCAAGACAGATTCAGCAGTAACAAGAAAATACATAAATATATGTACATAAAAGGTAGCAAGCGACTGAGCCAAGTAGGAATAAGTGGCTGCTGGTTAAAATAATTCAACAATAACAGACAACTTTAATAACTAAAGTCTAACACTATCATCAAGACCACAAGTATGTAATGCAAGTACCTTTTTTCAACAATCTGGTTCCACAATCTATTGCTTTCATATGTGAGTGAAGGATCTTTCTCTAGCAGCTTTGCCATTAAACCGCTTTTGTAATTCTCAAAGGAATGACCATCAAGTCCATCCTGCAATCCCAATATATTTCTCCAAAACATAAGTCCTCATTCGGAAAATATATAATTCAATAAATCTTTTAGTAAGAGAATGCACAAATTTAGCCAGAACAGAAAAGCCTGATGTCAAATAAGTACATCCAATGTAAATGGCAATAAAAAGAGCTATCCCGTTGATATCAGGTCAACAGTGCCGCTAAATTGAAGACGCTAGTTATATTTTAGATTTTAAAGCTCCTGCCAAAATAGATTCCTTAGACATTATTAAAATCTTTTTGAAACAAGCTCTTTTAATATATTTTATTTTCTGAGATAAAAACTCAACAGAGAAACATAATTTAGCTACATAGAAAAACTAAAAATAATTCATTGTATTTGAGACAACTACTATATAACAAGCATTAAAACAGGCAACGAGATGGCAGAATAAACAAGTTATCAATGGAGGATGGCAAAATATGGCACAAGGCACAAAATTCCACCATATAAAGATGCCAGTTTGGCCTATGGCACTGCCATAACAGGCCTCCTTTCACAAATTGCCTATGCAGAGGGGTCAAAAAACACCACGTGGGGAGAAAAGAATTCAGACTTTGCAGATGAAAAATTCAAAGCATTTTACTATTTACATCCATTTCCATCTTTCTAAATAATAGTAGGGTGTACCTACTATAACTTCTTAAGAATCAAAGTCATGTTAACTTCATTGCAGCTCAGGAAGCAGATAACCTAAGAACATGGAGGTTGAAGGAATGAGGAACACTTACCAACAATTCTTCCAGGCCATTTAAGAAGTTGTCAATTCTACCTTGCAAGTAAACTGGGTTGTACTCAGATGACTGAATGCAGAAACAAAACCCAAAGACACGGTATGTTACGCGTGGGCTGCATTCAACAACATAACCAAGCTGCTCTTTTGTCCTGTGTCCAGATACATAAATTTTAGTCCAACCAAAGAGACAAAAAAAAGGCAGGATTGAGAAAAGAAAGATGAAGAAACATAGATTTCAACATAAGCATAAGATTGCAAGCGAATGGTTTCATTGATTTTATAAGTGCTTTCCAGTGAAACATAGGATTCTATAACAATAGAAAATTTCATGCCAAACCAAGACCACTTTATTATTAAGTCATCAATAATTAATGGTCTAAACTAGTTTACAACAAATTGAGTTTAAGAGAAATCAATAAATAGTGTAGCCTGCTCACATAAATGCAAGTAAAAGCACATTTGGCACTGAGAAGATAGGCAACAAGGAACAAATATTCTCAATCTAAAAGGCATTTAGTTGGGCCAAAGAATGTCAATCATGGAAAAACAGGAGACGAGAGGACCTATTGCCTTTAACAAATATCACAAGTCAAATATAAGAAACGAAGCAACAGATTGTCACCTCAGCTGATTAAAAAATGGCTCCTCCACAATTTCCTCAAAAAGATCAATCAAAGCTTTCAATTTGATTGACCCCAAACCAAAATCTGGCTCAATTTGAAAATAAAGCTGCATAAACCCAGAGTAAGAAGCAGGAGAAAATTGTCAGGGATATAGAAAACAAATTATCTATGAAGCACATTGATGAACAAAATAAAAATCAATCTATCTAAAATTACCTCAGCCACAGAGTTCTTTTCCGACTTATTCTTCACACTGACATTTCTAACTAAATTGACACCAGATGGGAGGCAAATAACCTGCTCAGCATGCCTTAACTCAATAGGGAGTGGATTTACAGGAAAATTCATTTTAAATATATTTGATATGCTAATTGCTTCTTCCTTTGACAGATTTCCGTGGCATAGACCCTCCACATATAGCTGCACAAAATTAAGATATAAAAGAATAAATCTCCAACAATGTCATAACTACAGAAGACAAACTAAACTAACCATAAAATGGTCACAATTAATCTATATTGACATTTCCATATTCACAACATAACTCATGTTTTAAAATCAACTAAAAACCAATATGTGACAAATCGTCCAGGAGTAGTTGTTTTGCAGTTGGTAGTGTTATCAACCTATGGCATGGGACTTCTACTTGCACGTTAGTGTCAAAATAGTGAAATTTGGGTAGCACAGACAATAATAAGCTTCAAGCACAATAAAATTGCTCATCCAAGTGCACCTCAAGCTTTGGCACAAGACAACACACATTCAGGTGCAATGGTGTATGTTGCTCACCCGTCAACAGTATTGACAACACTTGTTATACTCCTGAAGCCATCATAATTGGAAAGCCACCATAATTGGAATTTGAAAGACAACAAACACTGCAAACAGTGTATAGAAAATGTAATACTAAGGTTTGTTTTATTAGTTTTGTTTTTATGTTTTTAAAAACAGTTTTAGAAATCAATTTTGAAAAACTATTATTGAGAATAAATTGGAAAAAAATTATTTAATAACTTTAATCTGAAAATTGTTTTAAATGAAAGTGGATGACACCGAGTGTGACAAAGAGTAAGATAAAAATTAGAGGATGACTTTGACAACTTAATGACAACGAATGCGAGTGATGTAGTGCATCTATTACCGAAGATGTATAAAAACCATTGGCAACAACAAAAACTAAAACAGAATACAAATTTATCAATTTTTGTTTTTTAGTTTTTAAACGCTAAAAAACTGAAAATTGCTTTTAAAAACAGTAAATAAATAACCCCTAAATATTTAATATCAACCTGAGAAAGAAGCCCAGGGACAAATGCCTTAAGATCATCAAGACACAAATCATTTAGATAATGCAGCTTCTCATCAACGTCATAGAAGCTCTCACACAAAACTTGCAATCTCAAATATGTTGAATGGCTTAGAGGCTTCATGTTGGAGTTCTTCAAAGCTCTCTTCATATCTTCTTTTATGACCTGTTCAGATAATCATTGGTTCATGACAGCAAAGAAAGAATGTAGTAAAATTAAAGAGATAAAAATTAAAACATGGTCAACATTGAAAAAAAAATCCAAAAAGACATATCACATACCTTAAACCGATCATCAGTGGGCATGAAGGATTTAGATACAGAAAAAAACTTAGATAACAGAACAGGAAGCTTCTCGCTGAATCCATAGACCTTCAGCTCAAGCATGTCACCAACATAAGCAACAGAAGTTTCTAACTTGGCAACACTAGCCTGCAACCACAAAGATTTGTTTACGAAATTATCTAAAAATAGAATGGCACTATTGGCACACCCTCCACTACTTATAGCCGCAATTTATTAAATTGCAATCAAATATCCAATTGAGAAAACTGTAATTTGAAAAAGGAAGTTGCAGTGTGAATAGGCATTATGGAGTGCCAATGGCCCCAACCCTGAAGTACTGTTCTCTATTGAATGACTTATGTGGTATATGCATACTTCATTTAATAAAATACTAAAGAAGTGTTTTATCTTGTATTAAAGCTTTATACTCTTTACTTTCTTTATTAACATTATACAATCAAAGAGAAACACAATTTTGGTGATACTAAACAAGAGTTAAAGCACCTTTAAATGTAAGGTAATTGCATTGAAGATATTTAATTAGACCATTTTGTCACATATTTCCTATAAGTGATATTAGAGGACAGTTGGCAAAATAATTTAAATAAAGAGAAAACTAAAAAATAAAAAAATGGTTCAATTGGAATAAAAAGTGACCTCTAGAAATTTATATATATTCATTCTTGAATACTCATCTTTTCCACAAATATTAATGAATGGGAGCATTTCCATGATTGATAATAGGCAAGCTGATGGTAATCTGGTTTTAAGATTTGTTTAAGAAGAGCTCAAGAAACAATTGAAATGGATAATTTATTCTTGGTGAAGAATCTTGTGAAAAGTGACCGCATTTTTAAGCTGTACTTATTGTTCTGTAATATATATATATATATATATATATATATATATATATATGTGCGTGTGTGTGTGTGTGTGTGTGTGTGTGTGTGTGTGTATACTTCATAGAAACACTGTATCTAAGCCCAAGTTGTCGTTTGTTTCTGTGCTTTGTTTACTTCTTTCTTGTTTTCTACCATCCTCCTTTATTGCTGTTGTTTATAGATAGATGATTAACCTGGTATGTGATTTCATTCAACTCGTCTTTCAGAAGGTGAATGAACAATTCAGATAGAACACAACTCTTCACGTCAGCGTATCCACCCTTCATGCTAATTCGGAAAAATGTATTGGCACGAGGAACTTTGAAAATGCTATCCGGCTTGTACCAGAATTTTATTAATGCTTCATCAACTATGCATCTAGGAGAAGTTGAATTTGCAGAATCATCAACACATGTGTCACTAGCACGTATAGAAAAGTCACTTGGAATAAACTCATTCTTGGAAGGAAGATGCAGCGCAGAATCAATTTCTGGAGAATTTCTCCACAATTCCATCAAATTTTGTGCAATATCTTCTTCCACATAACGTGAACCAAACCAAGGTTCATATTGGAAATCTGGAAAACAAATAGTCAACTAGTTCAATTGTCTTAGTAAAAATCTAAATTCTAGAACTAATCTTTGAGCAGTGAAATATTGGTCATTTTTTTCCAATATTTCAAGGTGGCATATATAGTAGAAGTAACTAAATCATCATGGAAAAGACCCCCCTATCCCTCCCAAATACCATTATTGGATAAGGAATATTAAAGTACATAATGATATGCATCTATGCTAGTCAAAGATATTAATGGGGGTGGCAAAATGGGCCAACCCACCCCGTTTTGGCCCCCAAAAACAGGGTGAGATGGACTAGACCCATCATAATTAAGATGAACTATAGACTCCATCAAAGAAAAGACTGGTAGGCTAGTGGACCAGTCTACCAATATTTTTTTTATATAATTTTTTTTTTGTGTATTTAAAAAAATTAATTATATGAATATTTTTAAAATTTGTATTCATTAATTAATGTTGTTATTAGATAAATTGAAAAAAATTACTATACTTATATATTAAAATGCTCAATCATAATAAAGAATTTAAGCTTGATTGGTTAGTATTTATGATTTAAATTATAACATTATAATATATTTGTATATTCTAACAACATGACATAAAAAAATAATATATTTTATTATAATCATTTTTTTATTTTAATTTATAAAAAATTTTAAATGCGTCAGTGGGTCAGTCTCACCTTAGTCCATCAAGTTGGCGGGCTAGGTGTGATGGACCAAAACTACCAACCCATCCCACCAATTTGAGGTAGGCTGGGGAGCCAATTCACTAAGTCTAACTCACTTTGTCATCCGTAGATATCAAGGATACAGGCAAAGGAAAAGACCAACAAACAATTGCAGATTAGATAAGGGAGAAAAAAGAACTCACCTTCTGACTTAAGGAATGACTTTGAAACAACATCTACCCTCATGTTTTCAGGAACGAAAAAACCAAGAACTTGCTTTAACAATTGTTCATCCCAAGTCTTGTACACATACTCACCATAAATTACATGCTTCGGAGGATAAAAGTGCATATTTTCTGCACAATTAAAATGAATAAACTAATAAGGACAATAAATTTGTAAAAACATGGTCAGGTTTCTAAATAGTACCCACATTGGAAACAGCCAGAAATATGAAAGAACCAGCAGAATCTTTATAATTGGGTTGAGAGCATAAGATCTTCAGTTTTTGCTACAGTTTCTAACTGACAATAGTATTCATTTCATCTTTATGTATGTTTGCCTTTTTTTCATGTACACCTGATTATCAAATATTATAGACCAGTTGAGTTCTTCAATTAACTCCTATGTTTATATAAATATAGTTCTATCCTTTTCAACAATCATCCTACATAAATTAAACAGTGATATTGTTAGGGTATAAGGGGAAAGAGAAGTTAAGAAGATAGTTAGCATATTAATAAGTTAGTTAATTGCATAAGGTGTTGTTTAAATATAAATAGGGTGTGAAGGATAGGAGAAGGGGGTGGATATTCTTTGTAAACTGAGCATTAGCTCTTTGTAAAAGGAGAAATCCTTTGTGAAGGGGAAACCCTTGGAGGAGAGTCTTCTCCTATTTCTTGTTCTTTTCATTCTATTCAATAAAGAAACTTTCTTTTATTTTTCTGTTTAATTCTTGGTTCCTAACAATTGGTCCGACCTGCCGGATACAACCTAGAGGCGTTATGGAAGGAAGATTGGGAGTTTTAGAAAGGTGGGCAGAAAGGTGGACCAGCGAGCAAGAAAAAGTAAACGCAGAAGTCAAGAATTTCATTCAAGAACTCAAAGAAATGTTTAAAACATTCAAGAAGAGTGAGAAGGGATCCGAAAAAAGTGAAATCATGGAAGGAAGAATTGCTGTCTTGGAAAAATGGGCCAGCGAGCATGGGAAGACCTTCCCGGAAATACAAGATAATTTTCAAGAAATCAAAGACTTGTTGAAACACTTCAAGGAAAAAGAAAGAAGCTCGGAGAAAGGTGAGAATTCTACAAATGGGGGAAGAAGAGGAGAAAGGACGGTAATTAGTGAGGAATCTGATTCAGATGGTAGGGAAGAAGAAGTGCAGCCTCACTTGATGAAGAGAGTGGAGCTGCCAACTTTTGAAGGAAGTGATCCAATTGGTTGGATTGCTAGGGCTGAAAAATTCTTTGAGGTACATGAAATCGATTCTTTTGATAAGCTGCAATATGCATTCATGAGCATGGAGGGTGTGGCAATGCATTGGTTCTATTATTGGTACCAAGATAACTTGAATTTAGATTGGGAATCTTTTTCAACAGCTTTGATAAAAAGGTTCAAAGATATCTATGACAGCCACATCTTTGAAAGATTGACTACCATGAAGCAAGAAGAGCAAATTGAGATTAAAACATGCAGCAAAATAATGGAAACTTCCACAATAGTGTATAAAGAGGGTGACCCACATCTGGTTGAGCAAGAAAAAAATAGCATGGAGGGAAGCAGGTCAAAATGCATTGCAGCAGAGATTAGTTCTTGGATAAGAAAGATGGAAGTACCCATATTTGCTGGAAGCATGGAAGGGGAATTTGATTCCCAGAATAGCAGTTTTGAGAGTGATAATGATCATTTTCTATTCTTGAAATAAAAAAATAGAAGTAAAGAAGAAGACTCAATAAAGTATCACACCCTTGATAGTGCAGAAGAAACCAAAAATGAAGAGAATTTAGCAAGAGAAGCAAAGATTATGTCATCAAGAAAGACTAGGAAGATGATGAATTTCCATATAAAGAATCAGGAATCATTGTTGGACCCAAATCTGATAGGGAAGGTGGTTGGAACAACAATGGCATTAGAATTTTGGAATTTTAATTTTCTTGGTGATTACAACTTGCCAATGGAGACAATGCAGAAGGAAGGTTTGAAAGCTGTTATAAAAAATCCACTCTCATTTCCACCACCACCACCCAAGCCACCTGATCTGAATTTGAATGCATTAGCCCCTGGTCCTCATTCCTATACCAAAAAAAAAGATATCACATGCAGACAGAAAGGGTAAATGAAGATCATGGTAATAAGAATAAGCAATGGGATCAAGTTTCTACTATACAACCTTGAGGACAAGGTTGATTTTTAGGCGGGGTGTATTGTTAGGGTATAAGGAGAAAGAGAAGTTAAGAAGATAGTTAGCATATTAATAAGTTAGTTAATTGCATAAGGTGTTGTTTAAATATAAATAGGGTGTGAAGGATAGGAGAAGGGGGTGGATATTCTTTGTAAACTGAGCATTAGCTCTTTGTAAAAGGAGAAATCCTTTGTGAAGGGGAAACCCTTGGAGGAGAGTCTTCTCCTATTTCTTGTTCTTTTCATTCTATTCAATAAAGAAACTTTCTTTTATTTTTCTGTTTAATTCTTGGTTCCTAACAGATATCGATATGTTCTTGCACCAAAACTACATCATTTCAAATGCCACTAACATCAAGAAATATTCATACCAGAAAAAAAAAAAGTTTGACTATATTGCCAAGAAAAAAAAAAAAAATTAGGAACCTGCAAGCTCAGCAGCATAATCATCTTGAGGTTGCTCTTCCACAAATCTGAAATCCATGTTTCCAATATTCTGAAGTTCCTTAAATATCCATTCTTGTGGTGAATCTTGACGCAACAACTTTAGGTATTGATAGACAAAGCCAATGATATCAAAGATCTGAGGAAGTGGAATAAAAGTTAAGTCATAGTGAAGTAAATAGTAATGTTGAAACTTGAAAGCATATACTGTAAAAGATGTATTAATTTTGCTAGAAAATAGTCAATAATGATTTTACCAACCTAATTATTCAGGAAAACTTTTAAATCATTAAAACCCCAAATAATAACAATGCTGAAACTAAAGTTAACCTACAACTTGACTCATGATGGCTCACTAAAAGAACAAAATTTACATACTTTCCATCTGAAGGGCTTATAGAAGTTAACAAAATGAGATTACCTTTTCTATACCAGAGTCAGTGAGGTGTATGGACATGACAAAGACATACGCTATAGATGACCGATAAATCCCTTCATCCCCAACACCTGCAGATAGAGAAGTAGCCCATCCTTTGGTCTTGAGAAAGGAGAGCAAGCTTCCTCTGCCCTCTGAAAGGTTAATTAAGCTCTTGTTAATGAAAATTACATCATAAAACTTTCAATCTTAGAATTTAGATTTAAATGAGAAATAGTTAGTTCATATGGATCTCCAACGTATTAACCATAAATGAGAGTATTCTACTGCACAAAACAATGTTTCAGAAGTTTATCGAGTATTTTAAGTTGGAATTTAAAATAAAAAATTTAGCAGGCAGACAGGGAGTAAACCATGTGCCTGTATGAGAAACAAATGCTATTTTGATTTTATTATTAACCAAACAGATGAAAACTGGCAGTTACTCGGCAGGAAACTTGTTGGCAAACTTTGAAATATCACTGGAAAATAAGGGAGAGAAATGCTAGAGAAGAGAAAAAAACACTTCAATGTCAATTGCATGAAAGTGTATCACTTTAATTTGCAACCGAGTTATACAATAAGATGAATAAAAATGAATGATAATAGACAACTAAAAAATATCACTCAACTCTTTCAGATTTATCCATAATGAGAAACCTTACCATGCCCAAGGAGATGAGCTAAATAATCCTCTGGCTTCTTTAAATACTCTTTGTGTAGACAGGGCAGTGTCCATGATAAGTCGAGGATATGGACATCTTTCACAGCTTCAAGCCAATAAACTTTACCAGTTTTCCAGATGGGACCTTCCACTGAGAACACTGGGTTTGCTTGACCTTTTTTGACAGCACCAAACAGTTCCACAACCCAACTCTCAAGCACATCCAGAGACTCTGTATTATTTATAAACATATACTCAAATCATATCACTATATATTAATTTTAGGCCTACTTTTGAGCCCTGACTGGAGCCATTAGAATCAATAATCTGTTTCAGATAGTGTATCAAAAAATTTATTTACATTCTTGTTCAGTCTAGGAACGAAAGTTTCTGACCTCATGCCCGCCCACTATGATAGCATCATTAAGATTAATTCTCATGTTTGAAGACACTTTCGTTCCTAGACAGAACAATTCTAAATATTAATTTGATGATGCTGTCTACAGGTTTAATTATTCAATCTCAAAAAGTGAAAAGAAAATAAAATCTTATTAATATTCATAGGATGAAACTTGAATAACTACTCTCCAATTGTATTGTCCACATGCTAGTATTTGCTACACTAGAACAAGGACTCAGTACCTTTTTCTCTCCAACCTAAATACAACCTTTTGTTAATTTGCTCCACTTGTCAATTAGCCACATGAGACAAAATATAGAGACTCACTGTTTGAACAGACTGACATTTAGAAATGAGATTTCATCTTCAACAGATTGCAACATAACGAAAACACAAAGATAAACTTTTAAAAAATAAATCTATCTTGAGGCTGGTGAAATGATTTCTCAATATCCAAAAATAAAAAAGAGTGGCTAAATACAAACCTGTATCCCATGTTAGGCTACCTTAGGAATCACTAGGCATATTATTGCTTGGAACTAAAATTGACTAAACTTTGTGAAACTTCTTGATTCAAAATAGAATAATCATACACAAGATAGTGAAATAGAACCTCACCTCCACCAATAACAACAAGCTTCATCAATCCACCATGGTAATAATCACCATATAATTTCAATATTTGCTCCCGCAAATCAATACCCTTCACCATTGCATCAACCAAGCTCTTTTTATTCCCTTCATGAATGTGAAAAGAAACAAAATAGCTTTATCACTACAAAATAGCTTTAGCATAAAAAATAAGCTGAAAAGCTAGTTGACCAACAAATGGATGAACATAATCCAACTTACCCCAAAAGAATCTATTTAAAGGATGATTGTGAGCAGAAGTATGGCACTGAAGTTGTTGAAGACGGCAAGCATCACTTTGTAAAACCTGGTTGAATTCTGCGCACACCATGGAGGTATACAATTGTAAGCCAAAAACACATTTCATCAACAAACTAGAAGATAAGCAAGTTGGAGCTCTTTCTAAAGTTTTTTTTTTTTTAATTTAAAAAAAAATATACCTGAGTCTACTGCAAGTACTTCTCGCTCCATTGCCTCCATCTTTACAAGAGGTGAAATAAAGAACTGAGAAAATCTGATGAGAAAACAAACCAATGAAAAGGCTCAACAGAAATCTAGCACAGTGATGAAATGTAACCAACAACAAATGTCAGTAATTACAATATTACCAACAGATTATTTACTGAAAAATGATTCCCCAACAAACAGAAATAATTAAATAATTAATACATAGAATCGAAGTCACTGGACTGGTGATCTATAGGGCTTGTATTTCACCAAACACTGACTAAAATAACAAAGACATAATGATGTAAAAATCATGCTTTTAGTGAAGCCAATGTTTTACGTTTTATGTTTTACAGCATGAAACCAATGTCCAGTAATCTAATGAACAGTAAAATATTTTGAAAATATCCTTTTTTTTTTACTTCTACTTAACTGCAGTAGCTAAAATGCATATCCAACATATGCATAATCAGCACATAATATACAGATTTATGTCATTAGTAACCAGTGACAAAAGTATGAAGTTAAATGCAATTTAGAAGCAAAAGTAGAAAGCAGAACCTATCTGCAACAAGTAATGTGTAAAAAAACCACTTAATAGACAGGAATTGTCTTGTTAAATACAATGCATAGAAGAGTTTACCTTTTCAAGGCACCCTTCAGAAACTCTCGCTTCACTTCAAAATGGTAGCAGGTGTATTCAGTTTCTGTGTATGCATTTGAAGAACCACCATGCTTGGACAAATAGCTATCATACTAACAATAAAAAGAGTGTCAAATCCTATGCCAATTAACCTTCGTTATGCTTCTAGCACATACATTAGGAGCACAATTAACCTCAAGAAAAGTGAGAATTCATGCCATGGATACAAAAAGAAATTAATCTAATCTATCTTAATTAATTTGAAGTTTCTACAGAGAATAAGAAGGGGGAATCAGTTGGGATTACAACTTAGCTGAGCTGGGTATAAAACCACAATTTGACATCTAACACATAGAAGCAATGAAAGACCACTTAGATTACAATTATGATAGCTAATAATAGTGAAAGGATACATAAATTTATCAATCAACCTATCAATGGTGATAGGAAAAGTTGAAACCTTAGAAGACAGACCTCCCTGGGTCAATGTGGCATTCAGTGAAAGAATGCCAGATTGCTTACACAACTATAAAATCCTACATAACATGAAGTCATAAAACATGAACATTTCCATCAAAAGCTTCACATAGTGAAAAGTTTCTTGACTGAATGAAGACATGTAATATTCCTTATGTTGAATGCAGGCACACATATGACAAAGGAAAAAGCAATGAGAGGTATGCTCATGCATGAGTAGCATCGACTGTATCTCATCTTAAAAGGACTATCATGTCATAACAGCACATCTTCAGGTTGCGGTTTTAACTAGTTTACACCATACTTCTAAACCAAAACTAACATGTTATAGACAAATTTGTTTCTCAATAATACATAAGAATTCAATCATTTTCAAACAGACATGAACAAGCAACGCATAACATAGACAAACAGACCTCATTTTCATCTGGAAATTCATCACTCCCCATGAAGAGCATGTGTTCTGCAAACCAAATACGTCAAATTCTTATTATTAATGGATGTTTAAAAACTCCTATTTGTATAAACTTCTCAATAAACACTTATAAAAGAAGAAAAAAATGTAAAACGAATTAAACTTCTCTTATAGATGTATAGATGTTGGGTGAGAGAGATTTTATAAAATTTTGCACTACACAAGTTGATTCTAACCTATAGATATTTTAAAATTTTAATTCAGTGTACCTTCCCGGTTTCTTCTCATATAAGCACTTAAAAACAAGTTTATCCAACAGTACCTAAATGAGGAAAATATCCAAACCTAAAAAGTGTGCTAGTCCCTGAGCTTGATTCGGATCAGAGAAGCTGCCCATTCCTACACACATAGCTGCTGCAGCCTGTAAACAACAAAAATACATCAATTCATTCACATTCAAAAACACCAAAGCAACAAACCAAATCACATATAGCATAACCGTTCCCCAATCCCCACATTTCCACACAGAATCCAGATCCCATCTACACCAATTCAACCAACCCAGAAAGCCACAATAGCAGAACATTGTAAACCGAAGCTAAAATCGAAATAGACACTCCCCAAATAAGCAGAACACAAAAGAAAACCAATAAAAAAAAAAAAACAACCCTTTTGCTCTGCGCAGTAGCCCCACCGCCACCCTTGACCCCATCCTTTTCACCATCACCCTCATCATCAGCTTCCTCCTCCTCATCATCATCATCATATTCTTCTTCTCCTTCTCCATCATCCTCATCTTCTTCTTCTTCTTCCTCCTCAACCTCATCCTCATTTGGAGCATGCTTGGGAGGCCCCTCTGGATAAATCTCGGGATCGTGAACGAGCAGAGCGCGGAGCCCATTGGGGAGATGGAGGAGGCGGTATAAACGACGGTCGTTTGGGGACTTGAGAACCACGTGGTCGTCGTCGGAAGCACCCTTCATTCCCATTATCAAAGGTTGCTTCTTCCACTTATTATTGTGAAGAAAGTGAGAATGAAGTACGAGAGAGCGTGGTTTAGCAGCAAAGAACTTTTTGAGAAGGTTATTTGTAAGTGTGCGCTGCGAAAGGGAAAGCGGCGTACTTGTGATAGAAGCGTGAAGGAAGGGGTGTGGAAGTACTAAGCCCAGCGTTCTTCTAGTTCGGTGAGGAAAAAGTTGCAGCCTTGAGTCTCTGTTCATCTCATCTACCCCCCATTAATGCAAACTAATTTCCAAATCAATTGGGCCAGATCTTCAAGAAAACAAAATTTGAAATTTATCATTTTAAAGTATTCAAGATTATAAAAAATAATAATCATAAATAGGTCTTAAGCAATGTTCGTTTTATTTTCTACTTTTTTGGTGTTTTTTCTTTCTCGTAGGAAATCAAACAATTTTTATAAACTTAACAAATTGAAAATGAAAATAGTAAATATTTTCACATACAAATATTTTACCAACTTGAACAAACCTATTCTGTGTAGTTATGTAGAAACAAACGCATAAAACAATAAATGGACAATTCAGTCTCTAAATTTGTATCTAATCTCATGTTAATCTCCGAAACTAAATAAAATAATACATCAAATTTGTCTCTGAAAAAGTTTAAAAATTCATTTAAGTCTCTTAAAACTAATTCATGTTTTAAACATATATTATTATTGTCACTATGTCCCTAAAGTGGGAGTCAACATGAAAAAAGACACATGCTTTAAAAACTTATAAAAATTGAATTAAGAAGAATAATGCATACAAATTTTATTTGATAATGTAATTTTTTACAAATTTAGGAACTAAAATTGATACCTTTGGTAATCGAATCGTAAAACTTTTTTTTTCTTCTGAAAAATCTATTTTTGATAACTCCAAACACTTAGGTGGTATGCAAATCCTCCACCATCATTCATAAGGAAGGAAAAAAATCATTACCAGATTTTATTTTGAAAACCCGTAGAATATATAAAAAACAAATAAAGATTCCTAAATTATTTTAAAATAAGTTACGATTATTTTTTTCATAAATAATATTACAAAATATTTAAAACATATGTATGATATAATAACTAATGTAACTATGAACAATTAAAATTATATATAATTATAATTATAATATTGAACTAATACTATAAATATTATTTAATTTTCCTTTTTAATTTTTCTTTTTTTGGTATAGTAAAAAATTATTCAAAATTTTAACATTAAAATATAAAAGTTATAACATGAAAACATATTTAAATTATATTATTATTGTTATTTATATTATATAATGTATTAATAGTACTTTCCAATTTTAACATTATAAATACCAATTAATATATCATTACAGTAATATAATATGTTATTAATCTTCACTAGTATAAAATAAATAAAAAATATGAAACATTTTAATAATGGTTGTATATATGAATCGAAAAAGATATTAGTGATATATATTTTTTTATCCTTCTCTTTAACACCTCTTCATTTTAAATCTCTTTTAATTTGTGGTGATGTCGTCTTGATAATAGAAGGTAGGATTTCAGGGAGAAGATAAATAAAAAAATTTAAAGGTGATGAGAATAAAAATCGATAATAAGTTAAATAATGTTTAGTTAAAGATGTATTACATAAAATGTGAAAAAAAAAAAAAAACTTTTTCTGTTATGATGTTATGAAGAAATTACAAAAGAGGAATTACGATGAAACAAGATTAACGGTAGGAAACCAAAACTATTGTTAATTTTATAATTTTCAACTAGGATTATAACTACCATTGTAAAGTCGTTATATATTTTTTAATCATCGTGTAACTTTTTGTAATAATAATTTTAAATTTATATTAATCATATTATTATATTTTCCTATATTTTTTCTAAACATAAAAATATTTTCATTTTAATATTACCCTATATTGTTACCTATACATAAAAATGGAAAATAGTCATAAATGTTCCTTGCAAGGAGAAAACGATAAGTGTATGTTATTCATTTTTATATTATTTAATTTTATTATTAATATATAGAAATATTCAAAACTATTATTGATATTATATGATTAATATTAATATGAGTAAAATCATTTAAATTTCAATGTAATATATAAAACTTAATATTTTTATTTATGAGTTGCATAGTTCATAATAAATACTAAGTACATTATGTTTATTTTAGAGATTGAAAATTTGGTCTCTAATGGCATTATAATTAAAGAATAAAAATGTTCAGTATCTAAACACGTTTTTGTTTTGCAGTTAACATATTTTTAATTAAATATGAATTTCATCATTTGTTTATTGAAATTAAATTTTATATATAAAATTAATTGACTATATTGAAATATACTATACCTTTAAATACAAAATTTTGGTTCCTGTTTCGCATTTCATTAATCATTTTGGATGGTGTTCAGATTGTCTGAATGAGTTGACATCAAAAACTTCAATAAATTGTAAACGAAAAATATCTATTATTTAATATTTTCAGGTTTTAGATTGATTACAAAACCATACCACAACACAACCACTACGCCATTTTTAATTTTTCATTCCGATTGCAGCTAAGTTTTGATCACCAATAAACCTTCTCTATGTACAATTGTTTATACATTTTTATTCAAATTTGCTTTGTGTGTATACTTTTTTTCATATAAACTCGTTACATAATTTTGTTGATTTAGAAATTTAAATTCTTTTAATCTTTGAATTAACAGAATGATTTGTTAAGTCTATCAATATAAACTTAACAATCCAAAACTCATTTAACCCATTAAAACCCCAATGGATTATCAAATATAAAATATAATTATTTCTTCTCAATACTAAATCAAACAAACAATTTTCTCTTCTTTCTATTTGAAGAGAGAATTCATATCACTTATTCATTAAATATTTCATTACGTTTGTTTGTATGATTTCCTCATTTCTGATCATACTCTAAGAATCTGTATATTCTTTTTCTTCTCGTAATATTTTTTAACAACTCATTTAATATTTTACAAGAATAACCATTTTTCCTAACAATACAAATATCATAAGATTCACAATGATATGATCTCAAAATTTCACAATAGTTTGGATATTGAGAAATGTGAGCCGTTTGATGGATATGGAACAGATTTGAATTAAAAACAATTGGTATAAGTAACATAAAAACGCTTTTTAAACCAGCTATAAGTAATTAGACATATAAACTGCTTCATTGCAAACATAGAGATCTGGAATGTTAATCCTTCAAAGTACGATGATGTAAACCACTGAGATCTTCCATAACTGATAGATAATTGAGTTCTTAAAACAACAGACAAAGACAAAGACAAAAATATAAAATAAAATGACAACCAAACATGCATTGAACAGTTCAAACAAGAGAGACCCTAGAAACCTTACCAAAAGAACATCACTTTTTTCAAGGGATATATTGGTTAAGCCAACCACTTTGGACATTAACATCTTCCAATGCTAACATCTCATTCGCACCATCACCATTGATGATGTCAGTAGACCAATTCAGAGTTTGCATGGCATCCACACTGGTGTAAGGCCCTTGGACATGATTCACTTGTGCTTGCGCTCCTTGAGTCACGGTTTCTCCTCCATTTTCTGGAATCAGCATTTGGGCTTTGCGCACAGTGATTTTCTTTGTGATGTCCTCCAAGCATTGATCAGCCAAGAATGAGATATCATTCAGATCAATGAGGTTGGTACTCTCAAGGTTGTTTCCAACAGTGAGGTATTGAGAAATGAGATGGCCAATCTCTTTCTTCCTGTTCTCATTCCTCGCTTTCTTCAGCTGCTCTTGGACTTTCACGATTCTTTGCCTCAAGAAGCTTTCCTGACAGAACATTTTCTTGCTTTGCTCCAGTTCAGACACACTCCTGAACCTGGAAACAGCACTCTCAACACCCTCCTCGGATGGCCAAACCTCTGGCTGATCAGGCTCATCCGGTGTGTAGATTATAGCACATGCTTGAATCCCACAAAGGATGCTGATTTCACCAATCTTTTTTATCAGACCTAGCAAGATCCATAAGAAAAAGTGAGAATAATGGTTTCAAAATGAGATTCTATTAAATGGTAAACATGCACCATACAAGGCCAATAATAAAGCACGGTTAAAATGAAAGAGAGATAAAAGAGTTTTCTGAACCATTTTTCCTTTTCTTGAACGTTGCCTTCCTCTTTGAGGCTTTGGTTATGAAAGTAAGGTCGACCTTCTTTCTAGCCATGACAGTGAGCAGAAAAAAACAAGAATGGAACAAGAAGGAAGTTCTGAATATGTTATTTTGCAGTGCCTTTCCCATTCTTGATGTGTGTTGTTTATATAAAAAAATTTAAGATGTAACTAGATTGAATATAGGGAAAGTATTTTTCACTACCAAATCAGTAGCCATCTGAGTTGTTTTCTTTGCACAAAAATTGGTAATTAATTTCATGTACATTAAATAATTAGAGGCATTTTGCAGTAGAATATTGTTTAAATGACTTACCACATGAGGAAGAGAAGAGGCATATATGAGTTGTACAAGTTGATATTCAAGTTAATATTATCTTTTATTTTTACCACTTCATTTAAGAGGATAACATACAAATTAAAAAATACAATCAATATTATTTTTACTTTTATATCTGTCCATGAACAACCTTACCTATTATTTCTTTCTCATTAATGTAGCTAATAATTAATATTGTATTGAATAAGTTCTTACTTACATGGTTGAAAAGCATAGTAATTAATTAATAATTTTATTAATATTTTGAAACATAGCCTACATTTTTTTTAATACATAATTTTTGTTCTTTGTATTTGGGTATTTTCAAAAGTACCCAGATGAAAAATATTATTTTTAAAACTTAATTAGAGACAAAAACCAAATTTTGAAATCTTTCAAGAATGAAAACACCATTGACCTCTTCAATGTTATGTCTCTATTCAAATTTACAATGGCTGTAAATACCTTAGCTTCCTCTCTTTGAATCTTAAAAAGCATTTTTTTTTATTTAAAATGAGATCCATTTAAGAGAATGACCATACATACACGCGGTTTTGAGATTGAATTTGTAGCCACATATGTTTAGGACATAGTTATTTATCAACCATTAATATTATATCATCTTTGACTTTTGCTTCATTGTTTTCTTTTATTTATTCAAATTCTATGCTTACATTTAATTACTTTTTTTTAATTGTACATTTAATTCATTATCTTTTTTAATTTGCAAATTTTCATTTGGTTTAATGCAATAATTAAATGTTGAACCACTTACTCTTTTGGTTGTTCACTAGAACTTTTTCCTATAATTTAAATTTTTTTTTGCTGCATATTGTTTAAATATATTTTGATAGTATCTAAAATCATTTCATGTATAATAATTGATCCATTCACTATTGGTAGCCAAAATATTACCCAATATAAACATTTGTAAATTTTTACAAGTAGCCTTGTTATTTTGGAATTAGGATGTTTGAATTTGATTTAATTTAATGTTTTTGAATTTATAAAACAGGTTTGAATTAAATATGACTCTTTAATCTTTTTATTTTTATTATAATACTAAGTTTTACTGGTTTAATCTTTATTTCCTATGTCCTGTGATATTCCAAGTATCACATCATTATAGGGATTATTTATATGTTTAACTCTTTGAAAGTATTATATTATTATAATTATTGTTAAAGTTTAAAATAATTATAAGTTAATTATATATACGGTAACGTATTTTAACTTTACATCATTATATAATCAAATATTGAATTGCAAGGTTTGTTTTATTTTTAAATTATCCATTTAAAAATGTTTTTAGATTAAAGTCGTTATTAGAAAAATTGAATTAAAATAATTATTTTAAAGAAATTATAGAGATATGAATTTTAAATTTGAACGATAAAATAACAAATTTAATAACTTGAAAAAAAGAAAACATATTTAAGTCCATTTTATTATTTTATTTTATTTTATATTTAATTTGGTAGATAAGCACCAGCTCACTGTAGGATTAAATATGGAAAAAAATAGTTATGTTTAGTGAACTTAAATATAATTTTTTTTAAAAATATCATTATGTTCATACTACAGTTTCTAATAATTACACTTTAGATTATTTTTATAATTGTCATTTTTCAGTTTAAAGTATGAAACATTTTTAATTACTGTAGATATAAAATAAAAATATATAAATAACTTATTTTTATAAAATATTTTGTAGATAAATGACATAATCATTTAAAATAATCATAAAAATAGTAAATATTAATTTATAAAAAATTATATTATATATATATATATATAAATGATTTTTATGACATATTTACTTTATTATATTAGTTTAGTTCTTCTAAAAAAAATTGGTGTGATTAGTTCATATAATATAAAATTTTCCGTTTCTAATAGTTTGTCTTTCGATTAAAATTAATTAATTAATTTGACCTAAATATGCATGATAAGAAAGGTGATTAAATATTCAGAAGTTAATAAATATAAATTTTTTGTTATAAATTTTAATATAACTTATTCATATTACATTGAATTTAATATCCATAAAATCTCAAATTCTAAAAAATGTCACAGAACGATTATATTTGTTTTGATTTCATTTAATATCTTAATATTGGAATTGATACTCATCATATATCCAAAGTATATTATTTTATAGGTATATATACTTGTTGATATATACTTAAAATACTGTAAGACAGAATCTTCTCATATATGTATTGTAGTTAGTACGCTTCACAAACCAAAAAAACTAACATCTCCTTCAATCCAAATACATAATTTTAATTTAGATTCCAATTTTAAAGAAATCTAATCCAATAAAATGTAGTTGAGATTAGATTGGGTTATTCGGTTTTTACCAACACAATCTTACAGCCATTTTCATTTCCTATAGGAAATCTTGTCTTCCATTAAATTTCCCAACTATTAGCTTCTTTTAAATCGAATAAATTAACAAATACGAAAAATTGTTAAGTCACATGTTCAACATTCTATAACAAAAATCTGCTAAATTTCTAGGCAGTTTAGCATCTAATAATGACCAGAATCTTAGGTTGGAATTTTTAAAAATTGATGAATGGTTCTGTTAAAACATATTTAAAACACAAGGTTTCATAAAATGAAACCAACTTAAAAACAGTGTATGTTTAATTTGCCGCAATTCAACTTGAAGTACATATTTAAAAGTTAAAATCACAACAAAAAACAATCCAGAATAATGTAGCAGCTAACAGTCCAACTCCAAGTGGCTAAGAAGAACATATGATAGGAATTAAAAGCCTATATGTAGGGTTTGTTTTATTGAAAACTGGCTGTGATAGTTAAAAGAATAGATCTTACTGAGATCATCTTCCAAAAGCTTGAATCTTTAGTGGAACACCTTCCAAGCACATGTGGAGGAACTTATAGCTCCAAAACAAAATGATGAAGATAACCTGATTGAGGAGAAATATGATTTCTTCACTAATTATGTGGAATGTATGGTGTCAATAGGTTGGTATAATCCTGTACTCTTCTTGTCAAGTTAAAGACCATATGCAATAAAACAAGATTTAAATGATTATGTGGGTGACTGTCTATTCTTTACCTTTTATCCTCGTAAATTTGTCTATTATCTTATCCATTTTTTTATATTAACTTAATATATTTATAAGTGACTTTTTCACTTTCATGTTATTTAAGAATTAAAGTTAAAAATAATTTATATATATTTTCTTCTCTTAGTATATCTAGTCATCTTTTAATAATAAAACTGCCTCCGACGTGATAATTAATTAACCTTATTAACACAATCATAATAGATATAAAATTAAAAAACTATTATTCTTAGACTGATAATTAGATTGAAAGATGAGTTGTATGTAGTTATTTATTTGTTCTTGCACTCCTCATTATTCACCAGAGCAAAATTTTATGATATGATATCACATGGATTATAAAGAAATTCAAGTAAAAAATAACGTGAGATATGATTATAAATATAAGAGTAATTTTCAGATCGGTTTGTTTGGCACTGTAGTTAGAGGATATAACATCTATTATTACTAAAATGGATGCAGTTTGTTGGATTTTCTACATTAACAGTGACCAAAACTGTGATAGAGTGTAGAGATATCACGTGGATTTTGATCACAATCGATATAGATAATTTTCCAAATAACATTTTCTATTATCATGACGCATACACGCAGTTTTTTTTTTAAAAACCACTGTGATATATATATATATATATATATATATAGAGAGAGAGAGAGAGAGAGAGAGAGAGAGAGAGAGAGAGACTTTCTACATATAGAAAGTAACACACCTTCGTGACATCTACGTTAATTGACTATCTAATATAAAATATCCAAAATAATCATGTGTTTTCCGCTAGGAATTGTCCAACAGTGTATGTGTATGCATTTTAAATTTTGGACACAATACCCAGAATAATCCATGTAAAACGTATATTTTTCACTTAGTTATTGACACTAAAGCTATAGCTGATGCAGATGGATGTGCGTGTAGAAAAGAATGAAAAAAAGACATGATACAAATGTTGAAGAAAAGGATGCACAGAATGGGTTACAAGATACACGGTTGGTCTGAAGCACATGACAGAAGAGTGGATCCAAAAGATGCAGAAGATATACAGGAGGTGAGTGAAGCAGAAGATAATAAGAACTTGAATAAGCTTGCTCCCGGTTCTGATGAGGAGTCAACTGAAAGGACAAATGCAAGCTCCCATTCTTAAGTCTGATTAAAAGTCTCCAAACAACAATGATGAAAAGTCTGAGGGAAGTAAAACACATATGTATCCTCAGTTTAATGAAGCTGCACAATTTAGATATGTAAATTTAAAGATTCAAATGGTGTTTAGAAATTTGAAGTGTTTAAAGATTGTGACAACATTGGTAACATTTGTTAAACATAATAAATGTCTAGCTTCTGTGGTTGAGACAATAATGTTGGTGGTTCAAATATTGATCGTGCTTTGTGGTCTGTCATGAGCAGTGATATTGGTTCATTTTTGTGTAGTCATAAATACATAGAAAGTAATTTTGGTTTCTTATTGATTGGTTAGTCATTTTGTCTGCACATACAGTTGTTAAGTTGATGTTTAGAATTATCGCTTGGGTTAGAGTTTACTTGATATTGACCTTAGTCAATACTATTTCTATGTTTGTTATTAATCTTTATTTTCACTAATTTCAGTTCTTACTCAAACACAGATTTTATATTTATGGGTTTTACTAGTGAGCTAAAGGAACTAAAATATAGTAGTCATTGTATATTTAACCCAACTCTTTTATTGTATGGTTCGGTGATTCTCATTACTGCTACTGGATACATTGTAAATAAATGAGAACTTATTTATCTTTTCTACACAAATTTTCATTGTGTGTCTAATTGTGTTTAATATAAGCCTACAAATTTGTTGATTTTGAAATTGAAATTGTTTCCGATTTTGAGTTGAAAGTGAGTCATTCTTATTTTGTTTTATTTCTTGTAAAGTGTTTATTTTAATTTGTAGAATGGCAAACAGTACTTATGAAGGCACTTTGATGGTAAAGTTAGCTTTGGAATGTATTGATGAAATGATGCATACTGAACTATAACAGGAAGAGGTCATTGTTTTATCCAGGTGTTTTATGTGCAGTGAATGTACTATATGTGCATAAAATAACGTAAGATTCACAGTGAAACAATCTCAAAAATTCCCAATTCCAGTGTTCAGATCTAGAGCAAGTGTGACCTCTATGATGTGTAAGGAATAAAGTTGAAATTGAAACCAAATTGAATAATGGACAGATAGAATAACCTGTATAATTGAAATTATCTAGAACAAAAAAAATGCAATTCAAACCAACTAATTAGTATGTTAAAGGCTTCTTCCACAAACAGATGCGGAAGCTAATTCTTTCAAAGTATGGTGTGCAAACAACTGAGATATTGCATAATTGAAAATCGAATTGAATCCTTAAAACATGCCAACAAACAAAGTTTCATTTTTCAATTCTGAGTCTAAGCATCGACACAGTTGAAAGAGACAGAAATATAACAACCAAACATAGGATAGTTCAATCAAGAGAAACCCTAGAAACCTAGACAAGAACAACATCACTTGTTTTAAGGGGTACATTAGTTAAGCCAACCACTGTGAACATTAACATCTTCCAATGTTAAAACTCATTTTGCCACCACCACCATCGTCCACAGACTAATTCAGATTTTTCCTGGCAACATTGGTCCTAGGCCCTTGGACACGTGCTTGCCCTCCTTGAGTCATGGTTTTTCCTCCGTCGTCAATCACTGGTGTCTCCTCATGGGCCTGGCACACAGAAATTTTGTTTCTAATTTCATCCAGGTTCTGATCTGTGAAGAATGAAAAACCCTTCAGATAATTCATGTTGTTACTGTCAAGGTTGTTGCTCCCATGAGTGAGGTATTCACACATGAGAAGGTTAATCTCCCTCTTCCTATTTTCATTCTTCAATTTCTTCAGCTGCTCCTGGCCTTTGTCAATTCTCTGCCTTATAAAGCTCTCTTGGCAGAACATTTTCTTGCTTTGCTCAACTTCAGACACACCCTTGAACTTGGAAATCACACTTTTGGCTCCCGATTCAGAAGGCCAAACCTCAGGCTTATTAGGCACATCAGGACTATAGACCACAGCACACGCTTCAATCCCACAAAGGACAGTGATTTCGCTGATCTTTTTCATCAAACCTGTTTAGAAGCATAGCAAGATCCATAAGAAATGAGGCAAAGTGAGAAATTGCTAGAAAATTGAAATTTTATTTAAGCATGCAAGGCTAACAAAAAAATTCTTGTACCATTTTTCCTTTTCTTGAAGGTTGCCTTCCTCTTTGCAGGATCGGTTATGTAAGCAAGTTCGATCTTGGCTCTAGTCATGACTATGAGCAGAAAGGAACAAGAAAGAGGAGCAAGATTGAGATTCTGAAAATGTAACTCTGATTTGTCTTTTCTCATTGTTGATGCTGTGTTGTTTATATTAGATATTTGGAGTGTTGGGTTGGAATAACATTTTTTTATAAGGACTTTAAGGGAAATAATATTTCTTTTTATATAAAAAGTTAAAACTATTTTATGTATAAATCAAAACTAAAAAAATTTGAAAAATTATATAAAAAATATGCGGAAACTAATTTTAATTTATATAAAAATTATTCTTTTTCTAAAATTGCTTATGATTTTTTTTTTTAATTTTTGTTCTCTCACCAAATTACAAGGGTCCATATGAGTTTTTTATCTTCGTTGCTTTAACGAAATAAAATTGGTAAATAAATTCATGAACACTTAATTGTTAGAGAGGAGTTTTACAATAAAATATTTCTTAAATTATTTAACACATGTGAAAGATAGATGAAAATTTCTAGTTTTTTTTTTATGTTGATATTCAAGTTAATTTTAACTTTATTTTTTTATCTGTTGATATATGACCTTAACTGTACTTACTTTTTCATTAATGACTGATAATAATTAAATATGTATTTAATTTTTTTCTATATAAGTACATAATAGAATGAATAGCAATTAATAATTGTATTAATATTTTTTAAATAAATATTATATATATTTTTAAATAAAAAAGTCATTAATTCTATTGGGGAAAAGGTGTTACAGCTTTAGAAACTAAAATTAAGATATTTTTCAAAAGTGCATACATGGAAATTTTTAGTTTTAAAAGTTAGAGTTAGAAACAAAAATTTGAAATTTTTTCAAGAATGAAAATACCATTGACCCTATACATACTTATGAAGGGTCAAAATTGTGTCCCATAAAAGGATTCAAATCTGAGTTTTCCAATTGATGGGAAAACTTATAATAATTGATAATATATATCCAAGTAAGAAATTAATTAACTTACTTTAATAATAAAAGTTAAAAATTTATTTTTTATTTTTAATATTATTTTTAATCTGATAATTAAGATAAAATATTATTTAACTCTTATAATAAATAAATAGATACTCACTTTAGAAAAATATAATAGTGAAACTATTAAAAATTCTCTTTAAATCTTAAAAATATGTTATTAAATAGATTAATATTTTTTTCAATATTCATATGGATCAGTACTTAAAATATCCTTAACACATGTTTAAGAAACACTTATTTATGAACTATTTAGATGTTTTTCTTTAATAAATTACTTTTTAAATATAATTTTATATTTCAAAAATTAAAATTAGTTCATTATAAACTAATTTAAAAAAATTATATTGTTTTAACGTGAATAAGTTAATTAGTTTTATCTTGTGAAATGATTTATTTTATTTATATATTTATACAGAAAAATTTGTTCAAACATATTTATTTTTATAGTGTTAGATAACTTATGAGTGGAAGTCAATAATAATTTAAATATATCATTTTTTTAATTCATCAAAATGTCTTTTAAAAAAAATCATAATATTTTCTTAGACGAAATAATAGTTATTCTCATTTTTTTATTAAACCTTTTCTTACATTTTATTAATTATTTTGGATAAAATTAATTATATGTTAATTTTATTTCAAAACCTTTTCTTACATTTTTTTAATAATTTTTTGGATAAAATTAATTATATGTTAATTTTATTTCAAAACCTTTTCTTACATTTTTTCAATTATTTTTTGGATAAAATTAATTATATGTTAATTTTATTTCAAAACCTTTTCGTATATTTTATTAATTATTTTTTGGATAAAATTAATTATCTATTAATTTTATAACAGACATGACACATATACTCTCAAGAGAAAACAATATTCATTCTCATTTATTTATTTATTTCAAAACATTTTCTTACATTTTCTTACTTATTCTTTGAATAAAATTAATTATCTGTTAATTTCGTACACGGTTTTGAACTTGGTTTATTGTAATAATTAAACGTTGAACCACTTACTTTCTAGGACGTGTATTAGAACTTTTTTTTTTTATGTAACTGTATTCTTACAATTAATAAATGAATAATTGATAAATTATTTTATTAAATATAACTTGAGATTTCTCAAAATATTTAATTAATTGTTCAGTATAAATTAATTATTATTCAATGATTATTTTTTTACATAGAATTTGTATTAATTACATTACATCAGGGTTTTTTCATATGAATTTCCACCATTGACAGATAATAGGAAGGATGAAGTGTATTTCGACTTATTTCCATACATGTCATGAATAAGAGTATTAACAATACACACATTCTTTCTACGACATTTTTATTCGATTTTTTATAAGAATTTTTTTTAAGGAAATAAAATATTTTTTTTAAACAAAATACAAACACATACTAAAATAACATTGAACCATTTATGTCTTGAGCACATATATGATCTTATATTTTTATTATGTGTTTGGTTTACTAAATAAATGAGACTCATAATTTTAGGTATATATAAACAAAAAGTTTATAAATCTAGTTCTATACTATAAAATAAACAATTGAGATTTATATTATCTCTATTTTAAGTAGATATTTTTAATATTATCTCTTCCAATCTCTAATTAAATGAGCGTTAGGTTAAAAATGGAAAGTTAATTAAGTAAATATTAAAAGAGAATTATATTTACATATATTATAATATTCTTATGTTTCTATGAGATTTTATCACATTTTTTTACTTTGAGAATTTTTTTTTTATCACATTGATCTTAGAAGAATTTGTCATTACACTCCTTAAAAAATATTTTTCATCACAATCTCTCAAAAGATAAAATTCTTATATATAAAAATTATAAAACTTGTAAGAGTTGTTATTAAACACTAATATTTTTAAGAGGTTTCCTCAATGAGATCAATATTAGAAAAAAAATTCTTAACCTCTTGTCTATTTCAATTAGTCACTTCCATGTTTGTTTTTAAATTAATCTTCAATATTTAAATAAAATAGTTAAAAATAATCTTTATGTTACAGAATAAAATATCACAAATCTAAATATAATTTTACTTTAAAACATATTTATTTATATATTTAAAAATATAAATGTTAAAAGTATTATTTACTCATTAAAACATTAATATATTTTATCTTATGTTTTGAACGAGCTTAGAAACATGTATACAACCAAAAAATAATAAAAAAATAAATACAAATTATTAAAACACATACAATGTAGAAATATATTTTTTACTACTGTTTCGAAAACGAGATCCAATCGACTGATCAACAAACATAATTTACTTTTAAATAATTAAATTTTAATTAACTGACACTAAATTGGAAAATTCAGAAAAATTGGTTGGATATTTTAATTGAATTGATTTTAGTTAAAAAAAATTAAAAGATAATTTTTTTATATAAAAGTGTTAAGAATTTAAATATGAATTTAAAAATTGAGCCTTAAGTTTTTTTAAGTTGTACTACCATGGTTGGTTTATATTTTAATGTTGAGAAAGTTTATATTTTCAGTTCCTTAAAAAATATCTAACATTAAAAAATAATAATATTTATTTATTATTTAATATTGCTCTTAATAAATTTATCTCATTTTCTATTTTTTTATTTAAAAATAATATAAAAATAAGGATAATTTGAACTAAAATACCTAAAACATAAGTTATACAAGGATAAAATAGAATCAATCTAATTTTTGTCTTACCTAATTTAGGTCATGTTAGTCTTAAATTTATGAACTGACTTATCTTATATAATAATAATTATTTTTAAAATAAAATAAAAATAATATTATTTTACTAAATTATATAAATATAAAAAATTAATTTGATAATATTATATATATATATATATATATATAAATTTAAAAAAATAGTAAACCTTAAATATAAACTTAATTTATTTTGTTTTTTTTTCTTTTTATTACTGTTGTCATACTCGACTTTTGATGTTCCTCTTCTTATATAGACACCTCCAATACCTTAAGTGTATTAAATTTTAACTTATTTGTTTATTTACTTTTGCAAAACCTGTTATTTAAATTATGCTCCATTTTATAGTTTTCACGTGGAAGTTCTCATTTATACTGCTCTTAATTGGCTGCACATAAATTCAACCTTTTATTATACTCAAATTATTATTTAATATTATATAATATTTATTAATTTATTTTGTTTAAATATGATATTAGATAATTTTGAATAAACAAACGAATAATATATTATTTTTTAAAAATAAAATTAAAAAATTGTATAAATAAAATATTTTTTTAATTAAATAAATTTTTTTAATCTATTTTAAAGTATAGGTTATACTAGATCATTAATTTTTTTTATTTAACCTTTGGAAGACTTCTAAAAATTGGATCAACCATCCGTTTTCACAATCTTATACGAAAATAAGTTTTTCTTTTCTCTTATCCCATTAAATATTAAGTATTAAGTTTTCAATATTATTTTTAATTATTAGTGTTTATTGTTTAAAACTGTTTATGTTTATTTATTTAGTTTAATTTAATATACATACAAAATTAATCTTAATAAAAAAATTTACATATATTTTTAAAAAATATAAGATATAGATATTAAGATAAGATCTTCCTAAAACGACAAATTAATTTAAACTGTATTGTCATTTCATTAATTAATGATCATAAATGTCACTAATTGGTAACTCAAATTACTTTGAAAAAATGAAAATGATCATTTTGAAAATGTTCACTCTAAAGACTCAAATTAAAAAAAATTATTTATTTTGATCAAATTAATTTTATTGAAATCAGAAGAAATTTATATACTTTTGATACATATTATTCTTCAAAATTTAAATCAATTTATTTTAATAATAAATGTTATAAATGAGATAAATATATTTTTAAAAACAGATAAATTTTAAAATATCAAAATCTATTGTCTAGTGATAATAAATGCTAATAGTTATCTTTTCAATATTATGTTTTCATTTTTAATGATTAATTAACTATCAATATGTTTTATTATCGTTCAATTTTCTATCTTTATTGATCTATTTATTTAATGAATATTACACGCCAAAACCTTGTTTTTGAGAGAAAAGTATTAACCCCAAACTTTTTTTTCTTTTATATATTATTAATGAATTCGTCTTAAATATTAAGTAGATTTGTACAGTTTTCAAGAAATTCATTGAATCGAAATATATAAGAAATTATATTGTGTTATTTATAATTATTTAAAAGAAACTTCTTTTAGATATATTTAGTTTAAAAATTTGTTATTTATTATATATATGTATATATATATATTATATAAAAATATTTTTACGTCATAATATTATAAAACATCTTCATGTACAAAATCTTCATGATTAATATTTCTTTTAATTGAATGTCAACACACCTTTTAGACATCAAAACATAGATAACATTATTTAAGTATTTTTAACATAAAAAAAATAAAAATACTTATTTATTTCGGACTTCCTTATTTAATATGTATCTCTTACTCTAAAGTAAATTTTAATAACTTTTAGATGAAATTGTCGATATTTAAAAGTAAACCCATAACAATTAAACTTTCCATGCAATTAATCTAAACTATATTTATATATTTAAAAATAAATTTCAAGTTTTAATTATAATTTACATATTAATTAAAAAATATTTGACTTTTTAAGAATTTTCACCATTTTAATATAAACACTTATTTTGTTTCATGTAAAATTTACAATTATAGTTATTGAAAAATATTTAATACTCAACATAACGTAGATTGATTAGGATTTTGTCAATTTTTATGTAGGAACTAAATTCTGTCCAGTGAAAAATAATTTCTTTTTGTTTTGTTTTATTTTCTGTAGTAATTAAGAATATAAATTATAAAGAAAATTTCATTTTATATAATGTATTATGGAACGTGAAATCAAAATCATCATAGTTGCTTTTTTTAGAAATTGTTGGATGAAAAGAATAAAAGGTACGAAGAATGAGAAAGAGTCAAATATTTGTTTAAGAAGAAACGGAAAAAGAAAGCTTTCATGAAAGTTTTTTTAAAATTAATATTTTTAAATTAACATCTTATAATTTTTTATTATTCTATACTTTAATGTATAATTAAAATATATATATATATATATATATATATATATATAATATCATATTAAAAAATTAAAAAATAAATTAAATTATGTATTTTATTTTTATATTAATTTTCATATCTATTATATTATATTAGTATAATTAAAAGGATATATATATATATATATATATATATATATTAAAATTATAAACCTATTTAAAAAAGATAATTTTATAAAAAAAATTTTCAATATAACAATGGTATGTGAGCCACGATAAAAAGTGATAAAAAAAAGTAACATTCCTCGTAATTTTTTTAATGTGACATTATTTTATTAAGTTTAACACAAATATTTTAAAAAAAAGTTATAATAAAAAATATTTTATAATTATATAATGTTAAGAAAATGAGTTATGTATTAATTTTAAAGAGTTATTTTGTTCATAAAAAATTAATTAAGAATTGTTTAAGTAATTTTACGATTATATAAAATTAAATTTTAATTAATTAATTTATTTTTAAATAAATAATTTTCTTTCTTTTTATATGACTTTTTTTCATAATAACATGAATATTTTTTAATTTTTTTTTCTTTTTTTTCATACTTTATATAGTTTTTTTTCTTTTTATATATGAATAGAAAGTAAAGTTAAAAGTGAAAATAAAACCTTTTCCATCTTGTTATCGGGAAAAAAAATTTTCCCTCTCATATTTGTTTTTCATTATTTATTTTTTATTCTCTATTAATAAACCTAAATTTTATTAAGAAAATGATTGATTACTCGATAAAAATAAAAAGAAAATTAATATTCTTTATATATTTAAAATTAATAAAAAATTATAATTATAAATTATATTTGTTATCTTAATTGAATTACACACTTAATAAGTAGTATAATTATATTTATTTAAAAGTTTATTTTATATCTTAATTAGTATTTTATGTTTTAATTCTAATATGAATTCATATATTTATTAAACAATATCATCTTTATCATGTTTAATAAACATATTATATTTCATAAATAGTATATTTTATAATATTTTCAAAATTAATTATTTATTACTTTTAATAAATGCATTAAATAATATTATCTAATGTCAACATAATTACTACATTAATTATATTAAATAATACATTGCTACACTAGCTCAAGTTTAGTTTGACTTTATCCTAAACGGTTTAAATTATAAACATCTTTTTATATGAATAAAAATACATCTTTTAATGTATTGAATTTGTAAATATAAATCTAAAATATATAATATTTGGTATAAAATTTAAAAACTGTACACATTATTAATTGATCATTATTTTAAATTATTCAATTTTCAGAATTCATCAAAAATTTACATGCACTCTTATATAGTAAAAAAATATTTTTTATACATTAGTTATGATAAATATTTGTGTTTAGTATAATTAAAATATTTTTTTATCTTTATATGTTATTAATTACTCTATTAAATTTTTTTAATCATAATTATTAAAAAAACAATCAATATTATATCACATAAATCATTAAATAATGAGTATACTCTATGTGTGGATTTTAGTGTCATCTAGAATATATATGAAAACAAATTCATCTACATATTATCCAAAATTAAATCAGGAGAAATATGATAAATTTGACCATGTATAGATACAATTAATCATTATCTTCCTAAAATAATTTTTTTAATTAAAACTACACACATCATAATATACATATTGCTTAATAATATATAACATAAAATTAATTAAAAACTTAATAAAATAATTAGTATTATATGACAATAAGATGATATTTTAATTATATTAAATATAAATAGGTATTATAATTATTATATGAAAAACATTTTTTCTAAAACTTAATTATTATAATCTATTAATAATGTTTTAAATTTTTTAAACTTTTTATATTTTTAGTCTTGTATAGTTTTCTATTACCTATATTTTAATATAACATATTTCACATTTAAAAGACTTAATTGACTAATCATAACAATTATATGTTAAAATTGATTTTATAAAATTAAGAAAAAAAACTTACAGACGAAATTTGTCTCTGTCTATATAACGTATTCGAATATTAAAAAAAGAAAAAATCAAAATACACAACTAGAAACACGTTTTGAGATGGAGTAGTTGATATTTATCAAATATCAACTTATTTTTGTCTCTAATGCACGCCTTTGGTGATTATTAGTTAGAGACGGAATATAATAGAGACGGATATTTTATCTCCAAATCTTGTTCTAAGATATTTTTATTTTTGCTTGTAACTACTAAAATTTGTCTCTATTTCAATATGAATCAGAGATAATAATCAGTATTTCTCTAAATTTCATGAAATTATATTTTCCTAGTATATTTTTATGTTTCTGATTTAGATATGCCAATTTAAAGATTCAAATGAAGTTTGGACAAATTTGAAAAGTTTTAATGTGACAACAATAATATTAAACCTGATGATGGTCTTGCTTGTGGTTCACAATGATACAACCTCAAAATTTCCCAATAGTATAGTTTATAAGCTTCTCTGACAAAATAACTAGTATAAATGACTTGAAATTTAGAAGAATTTAAACAATAAACAGACAAAATAACTAATATAGTCTGAAACAAAAACTGTTTTAAACCAGCTAATAAGGTAACCATCTTTATTTGATAGTTGAGGGATAGGTGAAACCTTAACACATTTGAAGACAAAAAACATGACAAGCAACCAGTTCAAAGTAGAGAGACTCTTGAAGCCTTCCCAAGAAGAACATAACTTTTCTCAAGGGATATATTGATTAAACCAACCACCTAGAACATTAACATCTTCCATTGTTAAAATTTCATTGCCACCATCAGCACTGATGAAGTCCATAGACCAATTCAGATTTTGTGTGGCATCCACATTGGTGTCAACATGATTCACTTGAGCTTGTTCTCCTTGATTCAAGGGTTCTCCTTCATTTTCAGTAACTGGTGTCATCAGTTGAGCTTGGCGCGTAGTGATCTTCCTTCTTATTTCCGCTAACTTTTGATCAGTCATGAACGAGATATCATTCAGATCAATGATGCTGGCCTTGTCAAGGTTGTCTCTAGCAGATAGGTATTGAGAGATGAGAATGTCTACTTCTTTCTTCCTGTTTTCACTCCTCAGTTTCTTCAACTGCTCCTTGCCTTTGATGATTTTCTGCCTCAAAAAGCTTTGTTGACTGAACATTTTTTTGCTTTGCTCAAGTTCAGACGCAGATCTGAACCTGGAAATCATACTATGGACTCCTGAGGCAGATGGCCAAACCTCTTGCTGATTAGGGTCATCTGGAGTGTAAATTATTGCGGAGGCTTGGATCCCACAAAGGATGCTGATTTCACTCATCTTCTTTATCAAACCTGTTAAGAAACATAGCAAGACCAAAAGAATAACTGAGAGAAAGTGAAAAAATGTTAGAAATTGAAAATTGATTAAATGGTAAATATGAAAGCATAATAAAAGGATAATAAACCATAGTGATAAAATGAGAAAAAGAGAAAGCAATCCTTGAACCATTTTTCCTTTTCTTGAACGTTGCCCTCCTCTTCGAGGGTTTGGTTATGAAAGTAAGGTCGACCTTCTTTCTAGTCATGGCAGTGAGCAGAAAAGAACAAGAACAAAGTTCTGAAACTGCTAATATGATGTGCCTTTCTTAATCTTAAGGCTGTGTTGTTTATATAAAAAAAAAATGAGATGTAACTAGATTGAATATTGGGAATGTTCTATTATCAGAGATTTTCACAATCAAATTGCAAGGGTTTATCTGATATGTTTTTCTTTTTCTTTTCTTTTTTTATCTGTACCCTCTGCGTTGTCCTTGAACAAAAATTGGTAAATAAATTATGTACACTGAATTGTTAAGAGAGATTTTACAGTAAACTATTGTTTAAATGGCTTACCATACGTGGAAGATAAATGAAAAAAAAATACGATTTTTTCAGGTTGATATTCAATTTAATATTATCTTTATTCTTTTATCTGTCAATTATGACTTTAACTATTTTTTCTTTCTCATTAGTGATAGGTAGTAATTAATATTAGTGTCTTTAACTATAAGCACATAATTGAAAATATAATAATTAATAATTGTATTAATAGTTGTTAGTGTTGATGAAAAAATGATGGTTAATGAAGAAGAAAGAGTATTTACATTTTTTTATGATGTCTATCATATATAAATAGTTAATTAGTGTCAATAGTTTGTACAAATCAAAATAATCTAAACTTTAAAAATAAAAATAATCAAATATATTAAAACTGAAACCATATTAATTGATTAGATAAATAGTTAATTAATTATATGACTTAAAATTAAACTTCATTACACGAGTTAATAATCAATTAGATAAATATTTAATTAATTATATGACTTAAAATCAAGTTTTCATAATACGCGTTAATAATTGATTATGTGGTCACTTAATTGATTATTTACCTAAATTTCAATTTTAATACAATACGTTAATAATCGATTATGTTGATACCTAATCAATTATATAATTATGTTCAGATTATCACTGCACTCAAATAATCGATTAGATAAGTCTCGTTAATCGATTATTTGTGATAGTTACAACAATAAGAAAAAACGTTGTGCACATCAAGAAAAGTATGTGACTCTGTAAAATGTTTTAAAGATCAAAATCAAAGAAATGTTGTGTAGTTATATGATGTTTTGTTATGTGAATTCGTTTAATATCTTTTTTTTGTGAATCTTGTATTGAATTTTGATATATATATATATATATATATATATATATATATATATATATATATATATATATATATATATATATATATATATATATGAAGCTAGGTACATTAGTTTAGCTTGAAAACTGTGAGAAGAAATATTGTCAAGTATTGTGATCTTGATAAAAAGTTATTGTAAATCAAGATTTTTAGATTAGGTAATAATCTAGTTTAAAGTAAAAGAAAAACTTCATACTAAAGTTACTTTAATCCTAAATTCTAAACTAGTATAAATTTGTGAATTCTTTTCTTTATGTTCCTATTTTGATATTCTTATTTTCTAAAAACTATTGTAATTCTTCTGTTAAATTTTTTTCATAATTTATTAGATTTAAAAATATTTTAAATACTCAATTCACCTCTCTCGAGAATTCTGTTATTAACATTTTAATAACAATTACTTTTATATTTGAAATACACAAATTTTATTTATTCTTTAAGGGACTTTTGATTTTGAGAGTTTAAAGACAAAACACATATAATTTGAAAAATTTTGATGAATAAAAACGCCATTAACAAGCTTGACCTCTATGATCAATACTCAGTGATCTAGGGATTGTACATGCTTAAGACAATGTACCTTTTAACTATATCACACTATGTTCTTGGTTTCTTTTATTCAAATCCTGTGTTTAAATTAATTAAGTATTTCTCGGTAATACATTTAATTACTTATCTCTTATATTTTATAGACGTTTAACTTTTTTATTGTATTAATTAAATGTTAGACAACTTATTACTTTGCTAATAAAATATATTTAGAAAATTTTAAATATATAATTAAAATCTTATCAAGACATTACCAAAAGAAAAAGAAAAAAAAAGAAGACAAACTATAGGATCAAATCTGTCCAGCTTGCTAAATCATCCACGATTTTCCATTACAAAGTCAAAACTTTATTGATGAAAGAGATAATCTTGAAACACATTTAACTTTGTTTTCTTTAATTTTTGTCTGTAATTGTTCTCTTATTTATATTTTATTTTGTACGAGATTTCAAGTCACATTCTACGTGAATTTTTTATATGCTCATTTTTACTTTTCCAGATTTCTTATTTTATTTTGCTTTACATTGGATAATAGATGAGTATCCTACATTAACATATTATGTGATTTATTTATAAAATGTCTTATACACAAGGGGAAATTCAAAAAACCCATACATTTTCTTCAATGTTAAATTTCCATGTTAGGGAAGAAAAAACTTACCTTTAGCTACAGGAAGGTCTGATTCTATGTATTAGTTTTTTAGTAGTAATTTTGAATCAATAAGAAATTAATTTTAAAGGACCTGAGTGTATTTAAGTTAAATTATTTTCTTTTATACATTTGTCATTTATTTTCTTTAAATTAATTTCTTTACCTCTTTAACAATATTTATGCACCAATAACAAAATAAACAAAATGTTTTTTCCTTTTTCAAAATCGAATGATACATGAGATGAAAAGAGTTGTTATCTTATTTTAAAGTTTAAAGCTTTAAAAAAAAATATTCCTACAAAGATAATATTACCTTAAAATATATGTGTAAAACTGTATTATGATATAAAGGTCTCAAGCAAATGTTGTTCTCATGGTTACACGATAGGTCTGAAGCTAGTTTAGAGTTTGAGATTAGTATCTACAAATGTTTGGTATGGTGCTAGGGTAACGTTTGTCAATTCCAACGTTCTAGTAACACAGTTCAACTTCTGTTCAATCACCGATGAAAGAAGATTCAAATCTGCTAACGTCATGTTATGTTGAGGCTGAGCCCTACTTGTGTTAAGCCATTGAAACATGAACATGTTCATCTCCACTTCCTTATTCTCCTTCTCAAGTTTCCTAATCTTCTTTTTACACTTCACAATACTTGTTTCAATGACACTCTCTTGATTCCCCATCTTGTTCTTCTTCCATTCAGGTACAGTCCTGAACTTCTCAACCACATTTTGGACACCCGATTCGGATGGCCAAATCTGTGGCTCTTGATCAAAGGAGCTATACACTATAGCACATGCTTCTACTCCACAGAGGGTGCTGAGTTCTTCCATCTTCTTCAACAGTGACTTCTTCCTTCTTCTATATGATACCTTCCTGTCATGATTATTGACTATGAATGCCAGTTCCACCTTTCTCCCAGTCATGTTGTGACATGAAAAAGGGACAAAAAAACAAGATGAGAAGTTATGAGTTTCTTGTGGTTTCTGCTGCCACAAACCACTCTATATACATGCTGGTTTTGCACATTCAAATTTCACCTTAAAGGTCTTTCCATCGTAGAGGATGTATAGAATCAGGCTCTTCAATGATATTTAATTAATTTACATTGTGTATGAGATGGTAGATTACTTGATTGAGTTGGTATAATAAAGGTAATATGTCTATCTATATATACAAAATCTTTATTTTCATTGTTGAATTTGATGCATGTATACAGATAGATTAAATATTTAATAACATTATAACGGTTGTCATCTACGTAGTCAAATTCACTTTTAATGTCATGCCATACATCAGTTATATACGGTACTTTTAATAGTAATATATTAAGAAAATAACTTTCATAAAAAAAAATTATTTGTTTACATAAATTTTATTAGTATTTTAATTTGCCATTTTTAAATGACACCAGGTTTTACATATTGAGTTTATACGAGAATGGTATTATGCCTTACATGAATATATTGCTGATTATTTAATTTGATACATGAATACATATTTTTTAATTTATTGACCAGTTCAAGAAACATGACAATTAGAAGCATTTTTATTTAATACTAATAAAATGAATGCATGAATTTCCATTACATCTTATATCTTATATTATATCAAGAATATTAGATAACCACAATAATGTATCTTGTGATAAAATACACTTCCTATACAACTGATAATATATAAGGAAAAAAAATCTTAGGTTAGAAGTAATATTATATTATATTGTATAATAAACACATATTCAATTAGTAAAAAATTCTTCGGTGTTTCGAGTGAGAGGCAATGGTTGAACGATTATAAAAGTAATGATTTGTTGAATATATTGGTATTGGATTCGAGAGTTTTCAAACAAATTATATTATTTTATTTTTAGAAAATTCATATTTTAAGCATTATGTTCTCGAAACTAAAAAAAAGTTTAATTATTGTATTTGTTGAATATTAATTTTCTGTTTGAAATTTAAATATAAAGATTAGATAACCTCAATTTGAAATGCCCCTATTTATTTTTTTTATTTGTATAAAATACACACAAAAAATTATTTAAAGAATTATTGTATGTAATTAAATTTTCCCGTTAGTAAATTTGAAAAGATTAATATTTTTTTGATAATTTTTTAATATGTATATTTAATTAATATAATTAATTACATCTTATGTGTAATCTTTGGATACATAAACTACATCACCACTTTCAGTTCTTATCATCTAAATACCAATGCATATTTATAATTCATTCATGCGAGATCTCACTCAAAAATTAATAATTAAATAATTTTAATAAATTACTTTTTATCTCTTAATTAGGTCTATGAAAGATATTTCTTTATCATTTCTTAAAAAAAGAAAATAGTCCAAAAGTTAATCAATAAGGTTGAATGAAAAAACAAAGTGTAGAAAAAAATAAAATATGGTAGAAAATAAACTTATTTATTTGAGTAAAAAAATAACTAATTAAAACTAAGTAATTGTAAAATTAGCAATTATATATTTATTTTGGAGAAATGAAAGTAAAATACTTGAGATCGAAGAAAATGTTTTATTTTGTTTATTTTCTTCTATACTTTCCCTCCAAGTAAAGAAAATCAAAATCTAAAGAAAACCTGCTCGTTTTGATGAATGTCATTTAATTCATCTGTTTTCTTAGGGCTTGAATTGAATCTCTTGGAGCGTCATTATAAAGTTACCACCAAAGATACGAAGGTTTGTAATTTTAAATCCATTAATTTCAGGTATCTTTTTGTAATTTATTTTTTGAAAACTGAAGGTAATCAGAACTGCCATTTAAATTTAGAATACAACCTTATTATCTAAGACTAATTTGACAAATTGTCACTATTTAGATTGAATGACAACATAATGAACCAAAGAAGAACTTCTAATAATTTTGTAGCAAGAAACATACCAAAAGATTATATATTCAAGAAACCAATTCAGCATTTATAAATATAAAACACTCAAACGAAATTGTTGTAACATGAATAAACATGGCAAACCAATGCCACACACAGAAATAAAATGTGAAGAGTATTAATTATACAGCACTTGCACACAATAAACTTAAACTAAAACCAAAAACGATAAACACCAACATGATATCCCCAGAAGAATTCTTAGAGTTGTAGATTATCTCCACCACCATTGTGCAGATCCCCATCAGCAGTCATGTCAGCTGACACATCATCATCATTCACCAGCTTTGTTTCTTCAAGCGCTTCTGCTGCTGGGGTTGGTGGTTGCATCTGGGTTTGAGAAGGTGTCATCATCTCATTAGCATCCAAGGTATCCAATCTTTCATTAATGTTCATCAGGTTCTTTTCAATCACAGAAGAAAGAACATTTAAATCTGCCATGGTAATGTTATCATCCTCCTCTAACTTCCTTGTTTCAAGGCTCTGAAACATGTACAAGGTCATCTCCTTCTCCTTATTCTCTTTCAAAAGTTTCTTCAACGAGAGTTTCAACCTTTTCCAGGTCATGGTGGTGAACAGAAAGGGAGAAAGAAAAGGAGAAGTGAAAAGTGTTGTTTGCAGATTCTTCTGCCACAAACAATCCCTTTTTATATAGATCTCTCTGATGCATGTCTTGGTTTGATTTTGTGTGAAAGTATGCCAACTGGTTCTGCACGTTGGAATGTCACATTTAATGTCTTTCCAGACACGAAGAAATTACAGAATCCAGAAATTTAATGATATTTAATTTATAAGATTTACATTTTGTGTAAACACATGAATTATTTTTTTATTCATGTATAAATATATGATCGGGTTGGTACGAGAATGGTAATTTATAAAAAAATGGTATTTTTTTCATCGTTTGATCTTATGCATATATACAAAAATTTAATTTTTAGTGGTATTTTAAAGGTTGTGAATTTAGAATGACAGCTGCTTTTACACGTTGAAATACACACCATATATGAAGAATTATGATATGATATCTTAACATAATGATAATGGTAATACATTGAAAATCATATTTCCATTATTTAGTTTTATGAATACATAGATAGATATATAATTTTAATAGTATTTTAACTGTTTCTCATTTAGAAAATACATCTGGCTTCTAGGGATCAAATCAGTGTCCAGTAACTTTAAATAAATTCATTTTCATCATAAATTAATTTCTTATGATGATAAGAAATGAAGTTTTCATTGTGTAAGATAATTCCAGAATTTAGTTTTTCTAACCAAAAATATTAAATTTTTTTCTTTTATAATTGAGCCAAATTTAATTCAATTCAGTATGATCAAATTTCTCTCAAGTTGAAGTTAAATTAAAATTACAATAATATTATTTTGAATATATATATATATATATATATATATATATGTTACTTATAAAATGATAAAAATAATATTTTAAAAAATTCAAATGATATATGGTCTAAAATAAATAAAATTTTATTTATTTTTAATTATGAAAAATATAATATTCATTTAATATAACAAAGTATATAATTTTTAAAGAAAATTCATGTGTATTTATATATGAATAATCTATTTATTCCAAAAAAAATGTTTAATTATATTTTTAGTCTTTAAAATTTTTAGTAATTCTAATTTTATTCCTTTAAATTAAAATGAAAAAATTATTTTTAGTCTTTCAAATTTAATATATAATAACTAAAATTATATTTTACTAAATTTTTTTAGGAATTAAAATAATTGCTTTTTAATTTGAGAGATTAAATAATTGTTTATCCAAACTCTAGAAACTAAAATTATAATTAAATCTTTAAAAAAGAATTAGAAACTTTATTATTTATCTTACCATTCATGTTTTTTAATTTAATAGTTTAATTTAATAATTTATTGTAACCATTAAATTATAAATAAAAAATAAGTCTCTAATATTATATATATATATATATATATATATATATATTATTTTAAAATATTTAAAGATAAAAGAGTCTTATTTATTATTTAGTGCAATGTTCATAAATTCTCAAAACATGACAATATAATTTATATAGCTAACTTCATTATTTACGCCTAATTATCTCACTCAAATAAAAAAATAAAAAAATCGAAAAACAATCATCTTCATGGCACCAGTTTGAATCCACAACATCATCTTATTCTATAACCAAAGGAGCTTCACTAGGCTATCTGCAACTTTCATCAAATCTTTTGATATTACTAATTTTTTTCTAACCAAATTTTAGTTTTTTTAACTCATACTTTTAATAAACCATAAAAGTTATTGTATTTATTAATAATGGTAAATAAATAAAAATATGGATCAGGTTAATCTTACCTACGATTATTTTCTTTAGTATGCTTTCCGTCTTATAACACCACAATTTTCTACTAATTATGTGTAATAATTTATGCTTATCTACTTATAAATCCATAAGTTCTATGAATTTTCATACCCGTAAGTAAAATTTTTCTAATTTAAATCAGTAGGTAAATATCATAGTATAAATGAATAATTTCTTAAAAAATATAATAGAATTATAGAAGCTTTTTCTTTCTGTACGAGTACAATGAGTGTATGAATTTATCATCGTGCTTATGCAAACACATTGTTGGAATATGTAAAGTTAATTTAGATAAGAACATAAAAAATGCATCTGAAATGTAACAATAGAAGAAAAAAGTGACTTTCTATCACAACGGTAGAAAGTTTGTATAATGGAAATATTTGTCACTGCAATAATTTTTTTCAAAATAAATTTTGATTACTGCAACTAATTGGATTTAAAATAACACTCAAGAAACAAAGAAGATTTTTCTATGATACCAGCAAAACACAAATAATCATCAATCATGTCTGACAATAGGAAATCAACAGGAGAAACTAATACAACATGATGACCTATTGCTCATACAAAGCAAAAGAGTAATGATTTACTTTTATTTCTTCGCATTGACACACAAAACAAGGAAAAAAGAAAACTACAAACCATGTTCTTGACCCAGATGTAACAAGCATTTGTTTTAATTAGGCCGAAAGTCAGATTAGAGGTGGGAGATTAGGATCTCCAAATGAAGTCTTTGTGGTCTCGTCATCACCATTATCATTGAGCAATTCCATGAACCACTGGCTTTGCAAGGGGTCATCAGCATTCATATCTGTCCCATCACCATGATTTGGCGGTGTGATCTCCTCAGGTGCTGCTACTGGTAGTGCTGGTGGTTCCATCTGGGGTTGGTTTGGTGTGATCTCAGTGACATTCAAAGTCTCCATCCTTTTATTAATGTCCCTCAGCTTGTTTTCAATCGCTGATGACAGAGCATTCAAATCATCTGAACTCATGTTATTCTCAGGCTCAACCCTCCCATTCTTTAGGCACTGAAACATGAGCATGGTAATCTCCTTCTCTTTGTTGCTCCTCACATGTTTCTTTATCTTCTCTCTACCCTTGGCGATTCTTTCTGAAAGGAAACTCTCTTGGGTCGCCATCTTCCTGTTATGCTCACATGTATTCCTGAACTCTTCCACCAAATTTTGAACACCCGATTTGGATGTCCAAACATCTGGCTCAGGACCATAAGGACCATAAATTATAGCGCATGCTTCAACACCACATAGGGTGCTTATTTCCTCCGTCTTCTTCAGCAGTGACTTCTTCCTTTTGGTATATGATGCCTTCCTATCTGAATTATTGGCTATGAATGTGAGTTCCACCTTTCTTCGGGACATGATTTTTGTGACCAGAAAAAAAAAAAAAAAAAAAGAGAGAAATGTTTTGTGCGGTTTCTACTGCCACCAACCATTTGTTTATATAGACCAATTTATGAAACCATTTGGTGTTAGTATTTGGCTTAGTGCCAAAATGCTAGCTGATTTCACATTAAAATGTCATCATTGCATACATAAGGACATAATGAATAAAGCACTTTGATGGTATTTTACTAATTTACAAAACTTACATTTTATTTTGTTACTATAGTAAATACAGTTTTGGTTGGTACCAGAATCACATCAATGAATTTGGTGCATATATATACACAGATTGTATTTTTAACAGCACTTTGGTGCATAAATGTGGTTTTACACATTGAAATGTAACTTCAAGGGTCACCACATGTGATTGGTATTGAGATTCAGGATCTACAATTATGTTTAAGTAGTAAATTTCATTTTTTGCATCATTAGTAAATTATTCAGTGTATGTATATAAATTATATATATATTCTTGTCATTTCATTGCATTTATAAATAGATAGATTCTAATTTTTAATATTATTCCAAATGTTGTAATTAGGGTGATATTTTCTAAAGATTAGGGTAATATTATTTCTATCATATATTTATAGTAAAATACTAAATGAAATATTAATTGTATAATCATTTTAAGAAAGATTTTTTTATGCATTTCATTTTCTTTTTAAATACATAAAAAGAGTAAATAAATATTTAATTATGTATTTAATTCCTAAAATTTAAAATTAAATTGGTTTGAGAGTTCTTTATAATTTTTTTCTTTTCAAAATATTAATCAATTATTTAATGTGTGGGTATAAATACATGAATCTATAAAATTAAAAAAAAAATAGAAAACTCATGTCAAATGTAACTACATTAGAAAAATAATTAAAAATGTGTAATTTTTTTTTCAATAATATGTTGTATTTATTATGGATTTTTTTTCACTAAATTTGAGTATAATTTCAAATGTTAAGACTTAATAGATAATAAAAATTATGATGAAGTAAATGTGTAATTGCTTGAGTTAAAACATATTCACTTAAGCTATTCTGTCATTAATTTATGATGACATGTTTTGTGATGGAAAAATAAATTTAAAATGAGTAGAAGAAGAAAATATTTATAACAACATAATGCTTTCCGATCGTGTATTGACCATCACTGACAGTAGAAATAAAAAAAATGGTTATAAAAAACTATGACCCCTATTTTTATAATAAACGTTTAATCCGTCACAATATCTGTCACTAAAATACTTTTATATAAAATTTTACTTATTTTGTGAAGAATTTTTCAGTTACTAAAATATGAATTTCAAACAAAACTATCTATAAATTATTATTTTTAAGTATAAACTAAAATAAAAATAATCATATTCCAAATGAAATTATTTTTATTACTAAAAAAAATCAAAATAAAAAAAAAGTATTGCTTGATATAAGGATATTATTATAAAAAAATTACAATACAGTATTAAAATAAGATTTAAAAAGTGTTTACATAAATATAAATATAAATATGTTGCAAGTTTCTTTAATATATATTTTTTATTATTTTTGTGACCTAATATTATTTTTCCATTTTAATCTTTGTAATTTTATTCATTGGGATCTCCTTGCTAAATAATAATCCGATAGAACGTTACATGGTCGTTACACCACGTATCACTACAATTTTTTTGCATGTTATGTCATAATTTAAACATGGGATCATAAACTGTAGGAGCAAAAAACATAATATTTTATATAAATTATTTTACAAATTAATATTTATTACTTTTACGATATTTTTGAAATATTATGTCATTTATATATAAAAATACGTTTAACGAAAAATCATTATATCATTATGACATAATATAGAACAATATTTACTTTTTATATAAATGATATAATATTTCAAAAATATTATATATATATAGTAAATATTACTAAATATTTTATATGAATAAAAATATAAAAATATTATAATATATAAATAAAAATAAATTTTATGTATGATCGAATTATATTTTTTTTATGTCTAATATAATATAAAAGCCAACCTAATTTAGAATCATTGAAAAAATCATCTCGGAGAGAAAGTGTAGTAAAAAAATTCCTTCGATATGATAAAAATGATTCTCAATTTTATGAAATTAAATTATGTATTTTTTATTTTTAATATATTTAATATATGTAATTTAGTTTTTTAAATTATTATTTTAATTGTATGTTATTATTTTATTCTAATTATTAGATATCCATATCACATTATTATTATTATTATTATTATTATTATTATTATTATTATTATTATTATTATTATTATATACAGTGTCACATATCTTGATATCACATTGTTTTGCAGAGGAAATAATTCCGCAACAAGATCCTAACGGAGGAACTAAAATAATAAAATTTTATATTAAAAAAATAAAAACTAAGGTAAAATAGATATATTAAATAAATATATATACAATTTAATTATTTTAAAAATTAGAGATTTATTTTACATCTTATATACTTTTACGTAAATTTCAATTATTAAATTATATTTTTAAAATAACTAGATTTATTTTTATATATATTTATTTATTTTGAAGAACACTAAAATCTATTAAAAGAATTAATACTATAATTATCCATCATATATAAAAGATAAAATATATATTAAGCTTAAAAATCCACCGTTAACTCGCAAAAACTAAGAAAGTGAAATTTTGGAGACACTAGCCATTACATTCCTAATAAAAATTGTACCTTTTCCTTTTCTACCCACACACGTAAACATTTATGGAGAAATAAAAAATAATTGGTTATCTCTCAAAGTATTTTAATTTTTTAATTATAATAATAAATAATTATAATTTTACCTTATTTTTCATTATTTTTTTTACTCTCTAAATTTTCCTCTTTAATCTAAATAAGAACTTAACTTGTCTATTATGTATTTTTTGTTAAGTTATAATATTATTGAAAAAAAAAATTGTTAGTATAACTTGTTAGTCATTTTTTTATTATATTATATATATATATATATATATATATATATATATATATATATATATATATATATATATATATATATATATATATATAGAACTGTACAAAGTCGACAACTTACATATATCCCCATATATATGATGACTCATTTGCACGAACAAAAATACAGATGGGAAGACCACACAGTAATAATGGCTTATACTGTTGTACATTCACACTGAAAAAAAAAAAAAAAAAAAAAAAAAAAACAATGAAAACATGCACATGCATTATTAATTTTTTTTTTCAAGGAAACAGGTTAGATTAGGTTCTATCATGCCCATTACCATTAAACAATTTGATAAATCGCTGAGTTTGCATGACATTAGCATTGTATCCAACCCATCACCATGATTCCTCACTGTCATTTCTTCACTCTTGATCGTTATGTATTGCCAATAATGGTGTTTGCATATGGGGTTGATTTTGTGTCTTCTCAATAACATTCAGAGTTTCCAACCTTTTAGTAATGTTGTTCAGGTTATGTTCAATCATCGATGAAAGAACATTCAAATCAGCCATGGTTGTGTTATTATCAGGAAGAACACAGCCAACATTAAGCATCGATGACAGAGCAGTCAAATCAGTCATGGCCATGTTGTTAATTATCAGGATGAACACTCCCTCCTTCAAAGGAACTGAAACATGAACATGTCCATCTCCTTCTCTCTATTGTCCTTCCCAAGTTTCTTCATGTGCTCGTTACCCTTTTGAATCCTTTGTGCTATGAAACTCTCTTGGTTCATCATCTTCTTGTTTTGCTCCAATTCAGGCATATTGATGAACTTTCCCAGCACCCTATGGACTCCATTTTCGGATGCCCAAACCTCTGGCTTAGGGTAAAAGGGGTTATATAAACTATAACACACGGTGACGATGGATCTTTAGGTTAAAGATAAATAATAAATAATAAATAAATATAAAAAGATTTAAAAAATTTAAAAAAATAAAAGATTAAATTTATAAATATATAATTATATACATTTAATATTCATTAAGTTTAAGATTAAAATTATATATATTAATGAAAGTGAAAAGAATAATATAAAACAAATAAAAACTTTTGTGGCATAACCCTCTTCTCCCAATAACATGCGTCAATGCCACAAAGGTTTCTGAGTTCCTCTGGTGCAGAATTCCCTTCTTCCTTTCGTGTACGTTAACTTCCTCGCAGAATCATTGCCAATGAATGCGAGTTTCACCTTTTTCCTGGTCATTATGGTGAGCAGAAAAAGGGAGAAACAAACACAAAATTGTAAAGAGTTCTTCGTTCTCATTTGTACTGACACCAACAATTCGTTATATAAACCAATTTCACGTATATTTGCGTTGAGAATTTAAGCGTAAACTTTAACGGTAAGTAAAAATAAAAAAGTTGACTCATTTATAAATGAAAAAATCCATTACTTATAACTGACTCAGTTGAATATACATAAAAATTAGAAAATAACTTGTAAGTAAGAAAGAAAAAAATAATTTAAAAAATTGAAATATCACTTTAGTCAATCGAATGATATATATATATATATATATATATATATATATATATATATATATATAAATATAAATACGACACATCAATAATATTTAAGTTATAATATTTATGATAGAAATTACTTGATTGTGTTGGCAGTGTAGGTTGTATTAAAAAAAATCTTACTATTATCATCAATGAATATGTATTCATAGACAGGACGGGGTGACAAAACTTTGTTCCTAAAAAAATTGAGACATGCTAGCTGCCAATTCTTTCTTCTATATAGCTTTTTATATATATGTTTCAAATGTTATTTACTAATTATAATTAATATTTTTTATTAGATAAGTTAAAAAAATTTAAATTAAATATTAAAATACTTAATTATAATCAATAATTTAAAATTAATAAATTAATATTTATTATTTAAATTATAATATATTTTAATAATATAAAATAAAAAAATATTATATTTTAAATTATAATTATAATTTTAATTTTAATTTAATATATAATTTTTTACATTAAACAGTAAATCAAAATAAACCGAGACTAAAACGATCGATCCCACTTATGCATTAGATATTTTATTGTCCCTCTATTAACAATACTTTAAATAGTTACAATAACATTATTTAAATTGTGATTTTTGGATAAAAAAATAAAATTTATTAAAAATTTAGAGAATGAATTTCCGTAATTTATTAAAGATTATGAAACATATGTAAGTATATTTTTTCATTATACTACATATTTATTTACAATTTCAGTCTAAATAATAAATTCGGTTAGAACTCTTCTTTGAAAATTTTTCACCTTATATAAGCTAAGCATGTTTTTTTTATTATTCTTTCTTAATATATAGAAGGCATAAATGCATGAATTATCGACTTTTTATAATAACTATTTAGATCTCGCAATACTATAAAATCCTAATGACTAAATAAATATTTGAAAATAAATAAATTTTAATCATCCATAAGAAAGACTATTTAAAGAAAAGCATAAAAAAAATATTTGAGAAATACTTTGAATATTGAGAAATCCTAATAATTGAATTTATAATAGAAAACTGTCAATTGAAAATCTCAACATAAATAAATAACCATTTTAGATCGTGATTTTATTAATATAATAATAATAATAAAATTATTAATTGATGAAAGTTGTATCAGCACTTTTTATAATATTCACATTATTTTGGTGAATTTTATGTAAAATTTGAATTCAAATGTAAAAGATCTAAATTCCAAAAAGCATGAAACATTTCCGATGGACAATTTTTTTGTTGTTGTTTATGGATTGAACATCTCAGAGCGTATTTATAATTTGGTTAAGACCCACATAACAATAGATTTTGAAAAGCGAAACACTCATTAACCATAATGATTAACTCATTTGCACGGACGAAATATATAAAGATCTGATGATAAGACGGGCAAAATCATCAATTCAAACCAAAATCAATTGAACTGAAACATTAATCCTCAAAGGATTGACAACAAACACGTTCTCTTTTCAAGGTAACAAGCCTAGGTTAGGCCAAAAATCACTTTGGAATTGGAGATTAGGATCACCAAATGGAGGCATCATTGTCTCATCTTCGCTACCATTAAGCAAGTTCATAAACAACAACCTTTGCATGGAGTTAGCATCCATATCCAACCCATGCGCAGAACTCATCAGTGCCATTTGCATCTCGGGTTGGTATGTTGGTGCTTGCAAGTGTGGTTGGTAAGATGGTGTTTGAAAATGGGTTTTGTATGATGTTGCTTTCAACTGTGGTTGGAATGCTGGTGTTTGCATCTGGGGTTGTTGATTTGGTTCCAGCTGATTAACATTCAGAGTTTCCAACCTTTTTCCAATTTCTACCAGATTCTGTTCAATCACTGATGCAAGAACATTCAAATCAGCCAAGTTCATGTTATTTTCATCAGGGAAAACCCTCCCATGATTAAGGCATTGAAACATGAACAAGGTCAACTCCTTCTCCGCGTTGTCCTTCATAAGTTTCATCATTTGTTCGTTACCCTTTTGGATCCTTTGTCTTATGAAACTCTCTTGGTTCACCATCTTCTTGATCTTCTCCACTGCAGGCATATTCCTAAACTTTCCCACCACCCTTTGGACCCCACAACGAGAGGGCCAAACCTCTGGTTCAAGATCACCAGGGCCATAAACTATAGCACATGCATCAATGCCACAAAGGGTGCTGAGTTCCTCAACCTTCTTCAGCATTCCCTTCTTCCTTTTCTTGTATGTTGTCTTCCTTGCAGAATCATTTTCTATGAATGCAATTTTCACCTTTCTCCTGGTCATGGTGGTGACCGGAAAAAGGTGAAACAAAACCGAGTTGAAAAGAGTTGTTTGTTGTGGTTTCTATTGCCACCAACAATATCTTTATGTACACCAATTTGATACATACGTGGTTTGATTATGCAGTGATCCTTTTGTTGACAGAATTCTGTATTGTGTGAAATGCCAACTGGTTTAGCACATTATTACAATTTCATTTTTAATGTTATTCCATGCATGAATGATATAAAAAATCTGGCACTTTAATGATATTTAAGTTCAAAAAGAGTGAGTAAATTAGTTTCGTGTGTATAAAGCTTTTCTGTAAGCATAAAATGAAATAAGAAAATAGAAATAAATTTATTAATAAACTAAAATTAATTTACAGACTAACTTCTAAATTATCTGATATTTGTTTGTCTGAAATCTGATTTTACAGTGGATTCAATATCTGGCAACATTTTAATCATTAAGTCAATTCAATCTTACATTTGTACCTTAAATCTATAATTTTGTGAATTTTGTCATCATATTTTTTGTGCATTTTGTTTTTATTTTAAATTTGTCACGTTTTTAATTAATTGACCATTCATCATCATTAGAAGACTAAGCATGCATCAAGATGTAATATTATAGTGCTAATATGTTAGTAGTAATATTAATTACTATTGTGAATTGACATTTTCAATTAAAAATAAAATGACGAAATTTAAAAATAATGATAAATGATAAAAGTGGTAAATTTTTTAGAAATGTGATTATTCGATTCGTAGATAAAACAACAAATTATTTAAATTGTATATATAATTAAAACTAATTTACTTATATAATAATTAAAAAATAATATAACCTTGAAAAAATTCAATGGCTAATCAAAACTAGTCCTATATTTCTTGTATGTGAAATATTAAAAGTTAAGATGACAAGTATTTACTTATTGATTGTTTTTATTTTAACTATACATGTTTATAAATTATATAAAATGATTTAAAATTAATTTCATATAAATATATTATCATCTTTAACTGTAATTCAAAGAAAATTGCATTCTCAAGAAATTTTTTTAACAAATGTATTTTCAAAGTGATAAATAGTGACAAAATAAATTGTTCATATGGATAACGTACTTGCTATGTAAATTATTATAATTATCTATATATTATAATTTTCTATATAACTATTTAAAACAATGTATAAAGTAAATTGTTTATTGATCGCAGAGTTAAAAATATATTTGTTTTTAAATAGACTGCGAGTTAAATTAACTTGCTTTGTCTCTAATAACTTCTGAGACAAAATAGATTTAATTTGAACTAACTCAAGAAATTAACAAAAAATTTAAATTATTAAAAGTAATATTATTAAAAATAAGGTTATTCTAAAAATGGGTCGTGTGAATAGAACTATAATTCCTAATTATATATATAATATTAACTTAAATAAGTTTCATATAAAAAATAGTTCCTCCTTGTCCTGGTGATTTTCCAATCCTCTATAACCTTCATACTCCACTCATTTTACTAATTTTACTAAGAAATGATTAAAGTTTGGTTTATCAATTACAAAAATAGTTAGATTTTTTTTTATGAAGAGAGAACAAGAATTGAAGGAAAAAAATGTAGGAAGATGAAAATTCACAGAAAAGAAGAAGAAGAAGAAGAAAGAGGTAGTAGGAGGATGGAAGAATTGCCAGTTTTATATTTCTTTTAAGCTTCTTAACGAGATCATTCATTTAATATGTTATATCAATGAATTAATAATTTAATAACTTTCATCTTAAAATTTAACTAAATGGCATATTTTGAATATTAGTTGTATACTTTAATATTTTTAAAAACTAAACAAAAACTGATATATATTTTTAAATATTTAAAAGTGTTCAATAAATTACAATATATATGTATATATCATCAATTTTTATGATAAGAGATAAATTAAAAAATATTTTTAAATTTTAAGGTAAAATTTTATAATTTTTTAAATCTCTATTTTCAAGAAATTTATACTTACAACAAAAATTGAAGACATAAGCCAAAAATATATATTTTTAAAAAAAGTTAAGAGATGGTCATAAGGACAAGAAAAATTATAGGAGATTAAAATTGTAATTAAAAAACAACACTATTTTCCCTGCTTCCTTCCTCCCCAAATCCCAATTCCATGAGTGCAAATTCCCCAACTTTCAAATCGGAACAATGGACACTGACATTTCCCGGTGGGTGATGGAGTTCCTCCTCCGCAGTTCCGTCCCCGATTCCCTCATTCAGAAAACCCTAACTGCGCTTCCCCTCTCCGGCGCCGATTCCCGTCTCAAGAAGACCCTTCTCCTCCGCACCCTCCGTTCCCTCCTCCACAAGGCTTCCCTCCCGGAAACCGCGCTCCAAATCCTCGAACTTCTCGAAGACCTCGATGGTGCCGCTGCCTCCACCGCGCTCCGCCGCGCGTATCTCGCCGTCGCCGTCGAGTGCACTGTCAAGTACCTCGCCGCAGCCCCCGACGACCCCGCCGGGGAGTTCTCCGGTGCCGTGAGGCGGATCTGGCGCGGCCGCGTGGCGGCGCTGGAGGCGAACCGAAGCGGGCTAGTGAGTGGCGAGCTGGCGCGGTGGCGGGACGACGTCGAGGCGGCGCTTGGGGATTCTAGGGTTCGCGAGAAGCTAGCGGATTTGAATAGCAGGAGGGAGGCGATGAAGGAGGTGAGAGCGTTTCTGAAGGAAGCATGGGAATCGATGGGTCCTTCGTTTTTGGAATCGGTTGCGGCGATGTCGAAGGGTTTAACGAGGGAGAAAGAGGGTTTTGTTGTGGGTGGTAACAGGATTGATAATGATCATGATGATGACAATGACGGTGATAATGATGGCGTTGGTGATGGTGCATGCATGGAGGATGTGGCAATGCATGATGAGAATCAGGGCAAACAACTATTGGAAGAGAAAATTTATGCGAATCAGGAAGTGGGTGGGTGTGACTTGCCGCTTCAGAGAGACAAAGGTACCTTTTTATGACTGTGAGTGTTGATTTATGAATTTCGATTTTTTGGTTTGAAGTTGAAATGTTACTTGCAATGCAAATGATGTTTGTTTTTCAGTGTTACACTGAGTAGCGTGTTTAAAGTTTTGAAAGTGTGATAGCTAATGGAAGTGGTGAAAGTAGTGATGCTTAATTTGTTCATAACTTGGGGTTTTGTGAGGCACGTTTTGAGTTTCCACTTGGTGTTTTATCCAGGTTTCTCTTGTGTGTGTGTGTGTGTGTGTTTCCATCATGGATGTGACTTGGAAATGGGTCGTGGATGTAATTTTTTCACTCTTAGTTCTGGCTTTCGTGTTTTTCACATAGTGAATGTGAAATTAGGGTTGTAAAACATTTTTCTAAACTTATTATTAGTTGCTTCAAATATACAACTGAAAGCAAACATGTGGGAAAAGCAATTTCTAATTTTTTTTTCGTCTCAAAATGTGTTTTAATGATTTTGTTTAAGTGTTGTTACCTTTACCAGTTTTGTTATCTTCAAGTGGAACCAAGTGGTAATTTGTTTTTTCCTTACTTCTGACTCACTACATGATTTTGTCAAATTAAAATCCGCTTAAATGTTTGGAAAGATATTGCACATTTGTTAGAAATAGGTCATTTATTTTTTGGAATTAACTTCAACAATGAAGTCAAAACACTGATCAGTAATTGCTATGCTTACTTCTGTTTCACTGTTATTTACCTTTTTTTTGTACATGTGTGTTCCCAATAGTAATTCAGAAGCGCAATCTTCGGGTTAAACACAAACACTCTGCACTTCGTGCATGTCAAAGGGGAGTTAAAATATCTGGTTCGGAGGAAGTGGAGTCAGAAAAATCATGGGGCAAACATGATTCTGCTCCTACTACTGAAGTTAGAAAAGTTAGGGAATCCCTTAAATCAAGTTCTTCTGAATTACGAGCATTGGTCAATGATCCTCTTCCTGATGCATTGCATATATCTGAAGTTGTAAGATCCAAATTGGCAACAAGTGATACAAATATTGAGCCACTTATTGAAAACCAGAGTGAAGAAGTAGATGTACTAGATCCAGATGTTTGCCAGAGTATTGTACTTTTTCAGACTAATGATGCCAATATTGGGAAGAAGTCTTCTGTTCATTGTAGTAATATTCATCAGCCCAACTTAATGGAACGAAACAGAAGTGTCCGTACCTTTGAGGTAATCATGTTTGTTATTATCTGTTTTAATCTAGGGGTAGATTTCTTTTAATATTACTATTATCTAGGGTCTGAGTTTTGATCAAAAGGATGCTATCTTTGTCAAGATAACTTCTTTCATGGAAAAATACTTGCCATGTCTTGGAGGAAGTTCTCCCAGAAGGATTACCATCACCTTCTTTTTTCTTTTTATTGTGTTTTGTGGTTAGAAAAGTTCTAAACAAATTGAATACAATCCATGTGTAGCAGCACTTGTGATCGTGATGTAAAAACCACATTTAAAACCTTCTACCACTTGATCCAGTGGCCTGTGTATCCCCAAAGATAATGTTGATTTATCAGATGTTTAATAGTCCTTTTTTGATGGATTTTTTTTTCTTGCTGTTGATACTTTGTATTTGTATACCATTTTGATTTTGATTTTTGCATTGGCATTATCGGATATTTCCTTTTATTTTCTAGTGGGATGATTCAATAGACAACTCACCACAAGCAAGACAGCCTAGGAGGAGGAAAAGGAAATGGAGTTCGTTGGAAGAGGAGACACTAAGGGCTGGTGTAAAAATGTATGTGCTTGTTCAATACTTGTCAAACCACAATTTTCCCGGTGAACTGTCATGATTGCAATTGAAAGCTAACAAATTCTGTAACAGTTTTGTACCTTGAGATTTCATGTTCTCGTTCACCATATTTTTTCTTCCACAGGTTTGGAGAGGGAAACTGGGCAACAATTAGAAGTTTTTACAGTAATATATTTGACAATAGAAGTGGAGTATGCAATCTATGCCCCAAAATGCTTTCCCATGTTTCTTTATGGACTTGTACCTGTAATATAACACTGATTTAATTTGTTTTTTTTTTTTAAATGTTTTCAAGGTTGATCTGAAGGACAAGTGGAGAAACATGATACGATGACCCTAATGCGCTGCTTGAACATTCATGCATATATCTTGTAGAGGTATTTTTGCTTTCATTTTTTCTTTAAAATTTTGCTTCTATTAACTCAGTTTGATATACGAACCAAGTATGTTTTCAGTTTCTTTTATTGCTTGCTTCCTTCTGTTGAGATTTATAGCTGTATTCATCAATACTGATACTAGGTCAATGTGGTATTTTTAATGTTTCTTCTGTGTTTTGTTTTTCCTGTTGGATTTTGCTTTTATATTGTTTCTATGAAAGTTATGCTTGTTTTTGTTTGGTGCATCCCTTCTTTGTCCCCAAAAGTGAAGATTCAAGGTGATTAACAGTGTTCTGTAAATTGGGTCTTGAGGTTTATGATGGATCAACTGTTCAGGACTGTGACTTCTTGGTGTTGGATCATGGGTTGGTGGGTTTGTGAGAGGTGGCAGAGAGGTGGTGAGAAGTGAGATGTGAAAACAGAGAGGGAGCAAGATGTGAAGCCAATGTTTTATGTGCTAAGAGATGACATAATGGCGTAACCCGCCAACCTGTTGTAAATATGACGAGGGAGGTCGGCATTTTAAGCCCATCAACCCACTCTAGCCTACTCCGCCAATCTATTGGGATTTTGATTGAGACACAATCTCATAGGTAACATATAAGTGATGAAAATTTTAGGAAAAATTTATTATAATTTGTGAAAAGAGGAATAAAAAAAGTTTCACTCACTCACTCACTGAAAGCACTATCCTCTCCCAAATACAAGTTCCTCTCTCTCTACACCTCCTTGTTCACCTTTCTTCATTGGTAAGGTAAACATGAAGTACTAGATGAAAAATTATCATATAAATTTTTTTAGGTGTTTGAATTTAATAACGTAGTAGAAAAAGAGAGATTTCACAAATTTTGACATTACCTACATTTATTAGTATATAAATTTTATCATGATTGTTCTAAATTTCAATTTCTTAATGCAATGTGCCAAAGCATATTATTAATGAGATATATAGGTTGTTAGATTATTGATAGACAAATGGTAATCTTATTATTAAGCTTATTAAAAAAAGACAATAAACTCATTATTTATAAAAATGTGACAGGCCAGTCGGCCCTTAGGCATGGCAGACTAGGCATGACAGATTGACTCGATTTGACATCTTTAATGTACTGAGGTTTAGAGTGGCAGCAGAAGAATTAGTTATCACGTGATGCGGGATTGCCAGAATAGGCAGCACATTAGAGATGGAGAGAGAACAAATTTGGAATTGATTTAGTTTTTTGAAAACATTATTTTTGAGACAAATTGCTAAATGAAGCCTGGTGCTGCCATAATGGCATACATCTATGGCAACACTGTTGCTAAGCAGCCATGCTATGAAACTGACTGTTTTTCTCAAATTCCAATATACCGGCCTCCATGGTGCTGGCAAAATATAAATTGAAACATTAAGGCTTGCTAAATGTGATGAATGTTATAATATTGGGAGTTGGTAAAATGCATTCCAAATTGATATCTTGTAGTTTTTTGTGATCCTTGATTACTGAGTGTATTGAAAGTTTTTTGCTCTTTCTTTGCTTCTCTTCTTCCTGGTTCTTACTTCAATCAGTTGAATGGTAAAGTTGATCTATTATGCAGTAAACAACATTGCAGTATTCTTATCTGCAGACTTTGTAATACTTTCAGGTGATGACAATTTTTATAGCAGCTTCTCTCTATGCAATCAAGTTTTGTTAAAACACCATCAAATAGTACAGTTAGTGAGGACCAACTGGTATCCAAATTCCAAGCGCGGCCCTTTCAAACGCATCATTCATTTGTGTCTGGTTTCAAGGGCTCAGCTTGAAGGTTAGATTTGAAAGTACTGGTTTTGATGATGCATATACCATAAACATATCTGAAACTTTTTGTGGTTGTTAAATTTTAATATCATGTTTCTAATTTTGAATAAAGAAATGGAAGGATAAAAATTCAAATATTTTGGTTCCATATTTGTTTATCTGGTGAAAAATCAACTGTGATCAACTTGCCACACCGTTTCATGTGTGTCTGCCCTAAACACAGAAGACACAATATAGAACAAATTGTAGGGCATGCAATTATATTATGTTCCATGAAAAGGTATTTTAACTTGCGGTTGTATATGCCAGATCCCCCCCCATTATGGTATGCTCGGTACGAAAGGAAATGAAGTCAATCAATTTCGAGGTCTGAATTGTACTTGTTATCATGTTTTTAGTTTAATCTGTGTATGCAATAAAAATTCCTTGAAACGGCTACGAGTATGACATTGATAGCCATGTAAATTTATATTCTAACGAATATGCTTTTGTCTAGTAAGAAGTTATAGATGGGGGTACTTCCAATCGCACCATCAACTTGAATTTTTGTCTTGTTTTCTTTCCCCATTTGTTTACTGGTACTGGTACATTAATTTGAATGATTTTTATAGTTATTTAATCGAAAGGTATATTATTGTAAAAGCTAATAAGTGATATATGATAGTTTATTATTATATTATAATTTATGTTGTCAATGCATTTCTATTGTAATAATCTTAAAAAAAATAAAAATCAATAACTAATAAATAAAAAGATTGATACATTTTTTATATTTATAACGCTATAATTTACAATATTCAAGAATCATGATTCAATTGTATTATTGGCTTCAATATTTTTTCTATTTGTTTAAAATTAAAGAAGCATTTTAAACCATTAATGAAAAAATTGAAATTTTAAAGTTAATTATTCAAATAATATTTGAGGTAGTTTCACACGTAATGAAATGACTGAATCTGGTTTATACAAGTTGAGTTAAAAATAGATTAATTTAATTCGATTTAACTTTTTGTGAGCTAAAATTTTGTGACCAGGTTAGATTTCTTCTGGGTTGGCTGTGTTTTATTTTTTAATTATTTTTTAAAATTATTCACCTGAGTGAATTTGATGGATTAATTTGGTAAAATATCTTCTTTTTTAATGAATTTATAATTTATACAGAGCTATGATAAATTAGGTTATTGGAGATGAAAGAAAAGAACCATCATAGGTCATTCTATTCAAGCTTATTTAATCCGTATATTAAGTAAAATGAGTTATTTTTAACTTATAATTAAAAAAAAAAACAATTTAATCACGTTTCTATGCGTATCATATGATGAGGTGATACACGCACGACTCCAGCAGTAACATGTTTGCTTTTGTTTCCAAAATCCGGACTTGTACCTCTGAAGTTTCCAAAACCTGGTGAATAAAAAATTCAATAATATATTATTTTAACTTTAAAAATAAAAATAAAAATCAACCTAGAATATTTATTATTATTTTTGTTCTATATATTACTTATTATTGATTATATTTGAATTTTTATTTGTATTTTAATTGTCAAGAGTTACTAGATTTATGTTATTTTAGCTTTTAATATTATAAAATTCTGAAGTTTCTTTAAAGTTTGGTGAGATATTTTAAATTATCACCATGAATTATCAAAGGCAAACAAATGTATTCAAAGATGTGATCATATCACTTCATTCCTCGCTCCATTCATACCCTATGCGTCTTTATAAAACAAACTTACCAGTCAATTTTTAACTCCTAAATTAATGGTTTAAAATTGGATTGATCATTAATAAGATAAAAACATAAAAAAAATTCAAGATTTAAAGATTTTATTTAAGTTAAATAGGATTTAATAAAATAATATTTTTATAATATAAAAAAATTATTAATAATAATATTTTTTATAAAAATTAATAATAAAAATTATTTTCATAATTATAGTAAATTACAATAAAAATTATATTAAAAAATATAAAATGAATAATTATTAAAATAATACAAAAATATAAGATAAAAAAATTAAAATATATTATATCTTTTATAAAAAAATATTAAAAAATTGATCTTAACTATTTCTTTTATTATTAAAATTGGTTTGACACAAAAATCTAGTCGATTTTTTCGATTTCAATGATTCTGTCTAGATTCAATTAAAATTATGTTATTTAGAAATAATATACCGATTTCTAGTCTTCTTTTCCGTTCAACTTGAATTAATTGGTACAATCTGATTTTCAAAACAATGACGTAAACTCAAAGGACGCACTTTAATTCAAAATGAAATCCAATTGGAACAAAGACACTTCATCTTTAAATTATATGAAATAATATATATATATATATATATATATATATATATATATATATATATATTCTTTTTTTTTTGAAATCTCGATAATAATATTTCATATTTAAGTCTCTTTTATGTATGTAAATATAGTAGAAAGTGAAAATTTGGACACCATTATATAAGAGATATAAATTTATAATTTTAAGATTTTAAATTGAAGATTGCGTTATATTTTGTTTTTATATGTCAGAAATCATATTAACTTCATAAACACTGTACTTTTTTTATAATAGAAAAAGTAAGTATCAATGTGTAATTTTGTTAATATGCGATTTCTCTTCTCACATTTTTTCACTTGAAGATTTTGATTAAATTAATCAAATATTCTCAATAAATTATTAGTATCTTTCATGATGTTATTGTAAAATATATTGAGTAGGATTGTTTCTATATAAACTTGTCATTGTTAATCGACTGTCATAACATTTGCTAGGTTTTTCTTGCTTTGTCCTGAAATACAAATCAGAATTTTTTGCAATGTGCAAAATACATTCTGATTGTCATAATACACAAAAATATGTTGTTGCTTGTGTCCGAGTTTCTCCATTGTCCTCTTATTTCAAATAACTTTGTTACATGTTTGGATGACTACCATGTACTCAGTTTATGTGATAGATAGATATACAACATCTTATAACTTGGATAACCAGCTATTACCTCTCCAACAAAGATAAACTCACCAAGATCACCTGTAAAATCTGAACAAACATAGCATCTAACAACTAGTTTAGATCCTCCGAAATACAATGCAACATCAAAGGTTCATTTGATCAGAATTCTCTTAATAATACTCATGCTCTTCACCACAATTTATCATTCATCTACTAATCGTTCTCACAACTTGTACAATGTCTGGTCTTATATTGATCATAGTATTCATAAGACTTTCCACTGTTGATGCATACAGAATTCGAGACATTTTCATCCTCCCTGCTTCATTGTTAGGACCCATAATTAAGGATAAATTGATGAAAGATGGGGTAGAAATTGGCTTGCACCCTTACATGTTAAAGCACTGCAAGACCTTTAGTAAGTAATTCTTTTTATAAAGTCAAACATTTCTATCTTTTATATCCCCGTGAATTTTCACCCCTAAAATCTTATTTGTTGGTTCCTAGTTTTTCACATCAGACTTACAAGCCAATTGTGCCTTTAAAAACTTGGATTCGGACTTTGTCGGAGCCTACCACCAATATGTCATCTACATACAATGACAAGATAACAAAATCATTATCATCAAACCTGTTGTAATAAGTACAATGGTATGAACTCATTCTGTTGTAACCAAGACTAATAATAAGAATCAAATCTTTTGTACTAACACTTGGACACCTGGTTTAGATTATACAAATATTTGGCCAACATGCAAATCAAGTTTCTTTTTTCTTTAAGTCTTCTAGTTGGAGCATATCAATCCTTTATCTAAATTCACCTTGAAAAAAACATATTTGTATCATCCCTAATAACAACCTTGTGGATAGTGGGATCCACAAAAAACATCTTTTCACATTGTTAACATAATTCAAGAATTTGTCTTTCATGAACTTTAAAAACACAGATTTCTTCTTGATGTATTACACACATAATTTCCTGGAGTAATCATTATCATTATTAACACAAAATATCTAGTCCCTCTTAGGGATCCGGCGATTTCAACATATTATAATAAACCAAGTTCAATATATGTCTACTCCTTATACAAGTTGATGAGAGACTTTCAAATTTCTTTCGTTGTACCATTCTCCGTAAATTTGTTATAAAGTTATTATTTATTTCTTCTCACCTTCGACTTGTGATGCCCACATATGTTTCTCCAATTATTTCTACATAATTGTCTTTTCTCAAAATTGTCTTCATCTTTAGTTTTTATAGTGAGAAATTATTTTCATTGAACTTCTTTTTCTCATATTTTGTTATCATGATTTTAATTGACTTATGCACCTTTCACTATGAATAATATTGTCTACTGGAACAACAACGTAGATCGTAACTAATACACCAAGTAAGTTCCAAAAAAAAAATGTGGGTCACTAATGGACACGCTTAAATACCAAATTTTTCCTTGCTAAAACTTTTCCTAAATATGCACTGCCACACTACTACATTTTATATCTAGTAACTAAAATAACTATTTTCTAATGTAAAAAATCGATTAATTGCAACCATAGAGCATATTAAGAATTTCCTCTGACAATATTCCAATGACTATTGCAATGGAATAATATTCTTTGATACCACTGTTAGAAATCAGAATAATTACATAAGAACTCACAACTAAAATAAAAAATGAGAAAAGAGAAACAAAATCGACAATATCTTCATTAAATCTTAAGAAAAAACAATAATAACATAATTTTTAAGAAATTACAGAAGAAGATATTTTATGGATAATTTACAAAATAAACATTATACTCTTTTCTCACATTAAGGTTAGATATTTTTAATGGACTAACAATAGAAAAATTCTCACAAATATAATATGAGTCAATCATATAAGAGAAGATCACATCATCTTTAATAAAAAATCTTAAAATATTGGGTTAGACTAAAAGACGAAGGAAGGGAAAGATAGTTGATGAGTTGAAATCTCCTTATAACAATATTTGTCTATTACAAAAAGAAAACAAATGTGATCAGCTGATAAACATTTTAAGCCATTCATTATAAAATATCTGATAAATATGATGAAAATGAGATGAGAGAATGTGGAAAAAAAAAATTATATGATTGTTATTGTTTTGACACATTAATATTAAAAAGACAATAAGCACACGCCTACAAATATAGTTTGACTGGTGCGCAAAATCTATAGTAACCCTATCCCTAATCTCTACTTTTCAAAAATAATCAACACACGCATCTTCTACTTCACTTCTTTGTAATTTCATGAGATATTTTTTGAATTTTCTCACAATGAATCACACAAACACCAAAAAATCCTTGGCCCTGTCTTCAAATTTCTCGCAGCCTTGGCCACTGTCAATTCTCTAATCTTCTCCACTCTCTCTATATAGTACAAACCCTAATACACCATTTCAACAAACAAAGTTACTTACCAAACTATAGAAACCTTCTTTGAAGAAAACAATGGCAGTGACTAAGGTGGCATTGGTTGCTTCAATGATAGCTTGCATGCTGATAACATGCTCGTATGCAGGATCAACCTTGACATGTGACCAAATCACTATTTGGCTCACTCCATGCATAGCTTATGCAGTGATGGGAGGGAATGTGTCATCGTTGTGTTGTCAAGGTGTACACTCACTGAATGCAGCCTATAAGAATGGAGAAGATCGAAGAGGAGCATGCCAATGTATTAAGGACAGAGCTGCATACATCCCTGGCATTAACTACCATCGTGTTAATAAAATTCCTGGAAAATGTGGCACTAAGTGTCCCTACAAAGTTTACCCTTCCACTAACTGTTCTGCGTTAAGTACCTTTAACCATTTTTCTTTTCAATTAGGGTTTGGTATAAGAAATTCATAATATTTGAGATTTACTCTCTATTCTTAATGGATTTTTATGTGATTTTGCAGCGTGAAGTAAGCAATGAGCAAAGGGTGCAGCAATCTATGCCTCGTGTCGTGATCCAACGAAATATTATTCTACGAATAATGAAAAAATGTTATATTTGATAGAAGGAAATAAATTGTATGGATCGTGTGTAACGATCCAATGAATATCTTGAATATGGCAATAAAGATATATCCCTTTTTAACTAATTGACTGCTTTCTCTACAAAGCTGTGATGTATTAAACTAACCATGAACATACAAAATGCATTCTGCATATGTCTTTGCTATGAAGATTTAGACATGATTTGATAAGATTATTGATGTTTTGTTTCCACCAGACATGGATGAAGTTGGAATCAATCAGTATAAAAAGTCTGCACCAAACTCCAAAGTTGGAAATTAATATCAAAAGGGCATATCAATTCAGCTTTGATGTGTGAAAGAAATAAAATAAATCAAAGAATCATTTTTGTAAGGACTGTGGTTCTGTGTTTTATTGGGTCAAGAATACAATTAAGAAGGAGAAAATATAGAAGAAAAATAAAATAAAATAAAAAATTAGATGATTTATTTTCTTTTTATTATCTCTTTCTATTTGTTCATAATATTTTTTTTGTTAATAAAAACATATTTAAATTTAAGACCATGCCTAAATTGTTAGATAAAACAATTAATATAAAAGATTAACAACAAAATATCAATTGCAGATATAATCATTAACATAAATGATGAACATCATGAAGGAAAAGGTTTAGAAAAGTATGGATTAAAGCACTCAAAAGTATATTATTATAAAAAACGTTGTCATTATTGTGATGTTTAGAATAACGTATTGTTTCTATCAGTAATATATTGACAGCTTAAATCATAATTATGCAATGAAAGATCCTCAAATCATGCATATCAAATACTTCAATATATTTAATATAATATATGAATGAATTCAATTAATTCTCAGTCTTATTTTTTTTTTCATCCTCAGAGAGTTATTTATAAGAAAAAGAACAATCCATATAAAAAATATGGAGCAGTAAAAAAAATGTAAAATGTTAATGGTAAAAAGGTTACTTATGCTTCTCTTACAAGGATTTTAATGTTATATTATGGATAACAACCTTAAACATGAAAAAGAATTTGATTTATTAGCTATTCTGACAGTTAGGAATAAATAAAGACAATGAAGATTTTAAATATTATAAATAAATAAAATTATTTAAAATAAAACAAATATATTTTTATTTTAAATTATAAAATATGAAATAATTTTCAACATAAATCACTTTATAAATTCCCTGTCTTAAGTCGAATTTACCCTAATATGTACCATTCATGTTAATGCATACTTTCTCTTGTTTTCTTATGTAATTATATGGATGAAATAGGTGATGATGTAAAAAGAAATATATAAAGTATAATTTTGTTAAAATTCAAAGGTGTAACTTTGATTTCATGTTTATCATGAATTTTTTTTTCTAATATATATTATAATTGTGATACACATTAATTATCAACACGATAAATATTTCAAAGTAAATTATTTATTTATAATATAATCATAATCTTATTAGATTAAAATAAAAATTATTAGGACAACAAAAGTTTGTGTCTGAATATTTGATGCAGTTATATAACTAATATTTTTCCCTTAAAATTATTTGTAAATAGCAAATAAATTTGGTCTGATTGATCTACATATTTAGTAATTATTATTATGTTCTTGTTTAAATAATGGTTGGATCCATCACTAATATGTAATTTTAAAATATTTTTATATTTAAAACAAATTATTATTATTTTTGTTAAATGTTAATTGTTTATACTTCCAAAATATATGTGTATTTAATAAGTGTTTAAAATAGAATAACTCTAAAAAAATAATTGAAAACTAATAAAATTAAAAATTAATTAAAATCAAATTTTTATCAAATATTTTATATCTATTTTTTTATAAGTTTAATTGGGATGTTGAATTAAAAATTATTAATATAACAATATTAATAAATCAAATCAATATTGTATTTTAAATATAATTTTTTATTTAAAATTAATTATTAATATATATATATATATATATATATATATATAATTATGGTGTATAGTTTGATAATATATTTATATTTGTTAAAAATATGACAGCAATTTTTAATTATAAGATTGTTTAATTTATTTAAAAAAATGAAAAGTGTAAATATAAGAATAATAAAAAAATACATAATATATTTCTTTATTTAAAAATTATTTATTGTAAAATATTTAATAATTTTATAAAAAAATTGTAGATATTTTAATAATAAATTAAAATCGAACAAAATTGAATTTAATTTTATGATTATTTCATGAATATATAATTCACTAATTTACTTTTTTGAATTTATTAGTTAATAATTATTCTAATAATATTACATGATTTTTATTCTATTGAAATGTTTCAAATAATATTATATTTTTACAAATATATTTTTAGAACTCTTTTCATTTTTAAAATTTTCTTTTAAAATATTTGTTATGAATAAATCCATCATCTTTTTTGACAAAATAACTCAGCTTAAAAAAATTAAACCCATTTCAGTAAAATGAGTCAACCTCCTTACTCCTATTTTATGGGGCAATTGGCCGGACCTACCTATTAACAATAATAGAGCACATCACTCAAGATTTACAGTTATGCATGATCTTCACATTATATTACCAACTCACAGATGAGGGTAAAAAGGAACTTTAATGTTCCAAGTAAACTTGGTTTCTGCATGTTACTCCCAATTCAACTACAATAAATACAGTTGGGTCTTGGTCACCTAAGATAAGACAGCTGCTAAAAACACAAATATGCCTTTATCTTTTCAGAGTTTTGGGACCGACCAAACAGTTTTGATATTTAATGTATTATAAGACAAAAAGTAGAAGGGAAAGTAGAAAGAGAGTTAAAAGGATGGGGAGAGACATAACTAGCGACGAGGACAGTTGTTGTCGTTCTTATCCCCCAAAACATACGACAAAGGACAGTAGCTGTAACAATGCCAAAATTCAAATACGTGGTAGAGGACATTTCAAACCTTATCTCCAAATTCATCATCGATACAGTTCCCCACTAGGGTGAGTTATTTATATAATAAAAATCAGATACAGTTAGCTAGTACATTCAAGCTGTTATTCATAAATACCTCATTTGAGAAAGTGGGAAGCATAATAATACACAAGTCTAGTATCCAAAACTCTTTATTGTACACAACTACTGTGAATATATCTAATACTACAATACTAAGACAGGAACTGAACTGAACAGAATCCATCTTCACATCCTTGCTTTGATTTTGATAATTCATCTTACAAATCCACAAAATGGAACACAACAACAAATCGTGGTTAATGATGATACAATGACTGGGGAGGGATCGGTCAAGATTCTTCCCCCGCTTAAAATATCATGAGAATGACCTTTCATTCCCAGTGATCTAAAATCCACAAACAACAAAATGCCATGCTTCAGGATGACTGCATGGGTGAACTTTAGCAACAAAACTCCAAGGGAGCTTCCTTTTTGGAGAGCATCCCTAAGAATAAACAATTAATAATTAATCCTTAATCTGAAAGGAATATGTAATGAAACAGAGAACCATCATTGGATGACTGGACATCAACACTATAGACAATTGAAGAGAAGGGAATAATGCCATGGACAAGTCAGCAGGTCAAGCAATTTAAGTAGAAATCAAAACGTAGTGCTACTCTCATTTGCAGACATCGAGGGGCCTTCAGATTTCACAATCGGTGATCCTTTGCTACTACTAATGTCAAGTCCCTGCAAACGACCAAGTTGATCGTTTTGCAATATATCTGAGATTTGGTGAGAATTTGTTTGTTGCAGCTGATGAACTGGCATGCTAGATGGGGTGTGACCAAATGGAGGTAAGTGCATGCTCTGGTTAGGAGGGCCTGAATGTGGTGGGATTGAAAAGAAATTTGACCCTGCAAATGACATCTGGTTCATTCCAATGTTGAAAGACTCGGAGTGGTTGTTCAATGCCTCTCCAGTAGCAATCTTAAGCCTCTCAACTTCCTTCATCAATGCATCGTTAAGAGCTACAACAGATCAGAGGTAAATTAGTATATAGTTATGTAAATTATATGTAAGATGTTGTGTCTAAAGAAAGTGATTGACTAAAACAGTTACCATCACGAAGTTGCGCTTGCTGCTCCATGGCTTGCAGACGGAGCTTAAGCTCTGTATTTTCGCTACTCAGACCAGTTGTATCCCTCTATAAAAAAAATCAAGAAATGGTATAGATCATATTCCTATTTAGGCACATGTTTATGCATAACAAAGCAAGTAACTAAATGTTGAGTTTAATAAAACATCAGCAAGTGTACCAAGAATTACCAAGGTAATTTGTAAAATTAAATCACTAACCTAAGAAAACAGAAATTTGTGAAAACAACTATTTGTATCCTGTTAAACTTTAAGTTCATCTAATCACGTATGTCATATTTTTGTCATTAAAATAATAACAACAAAATGTATCCTTTTATATTTTTAGTGCATTGTTTGAGTACATAAGTGAGCAGATATGCTCATTGCTTGGACAAGGTCAGATAAATTATTGCAGTTAACAACGTAATATTATAAGAATCATAACCAGCAAAAAGAAAGAAACTGCAGTAGCAGGCATGCGTACCTCAACCAACTTCTTAGAGAGTTTTGGAATAAATATAGAGGGTAGTAAAATACTTAAATACGTATAGATGTAAGTCAAAACAAACCTGGTACAATGTAAGTTGGGCAGAGAGTGTTGTTGCTTCTGTCTGAAGGGTCTGCACTTTGCGCTCAAGTTCTTGTATATAGCGTGCCTTTCGTTCTTTTGAACGGGCAGCAGATTGCCTATTAGCTAGTATTCTATACAAAACAACAATATTTGTTAAGAATAACAAAACAAATGCATAGCATATGTTAAAATACTGTTACCGAAAATTAATGAAACAGTATAAAATAATTTTCACTATAAAGGAAGAAGATTCGTCATTGTCTCTATGCGTATTCAGAAATTATAATGTATCACTTTATGAAAACCATTATAATTAGATTTAACATAATTTACCGACAAAAAAGAGTATTAGTCTTAATTACACATCGTTTTAAGTAGCAATCTGAAATTGCAATTATATTGCGGACTTGGCACTTTCCAGACTGATCTTGCAACAGATAATGCACATTAATCATATTTTCCTACAATCGTCCCCAATTTTGCACTTAGAAAGCAATGACAGCGTGAAATGTTCTCTGTGTCTATTCAGAAATCAATCAGTTCCAACTTCTCACTCATCGCATTAAAAAAACCAGGAACTCGTTGAGGATCTTATACGATTTGATGATTCAGTAGCGTGTATATCAATGCCACTATGCATTGAACGATCGTGTAAGGTAAATCTACACACGCACTAAGTTATGAAAAAAAAACTATTGACCAAAAAACTGACGAAAACAAGCCACTATCCAAATATCATTTTCAAACATATAAGATTCTCATTCAACTGAATCCCAAAACAGTCGCACATCAGCTAATTACATCTACAAGCCAACTCTCATTTTCATTGTTAATAGGAAATTACATAATCAAAGAATATGTATGTCAGTAATACATAACGAATTTGTAAACCCCATGGAACAATGCGAAATTCTAAAAACTCTGACAAAAAATTAATTAATTATTTAATTATGAAACTACTGTCGAGTTATTTACGTGACATCAACGTTAATCTATTGCATTAGGATTCTGAAAGAGAAATCGACGAGCGAAAACTAAAAGCATTTCCCACGAAAACAGGTTCGGAAAATTTTGAAGTGAAGGATGACAGAAGAGACCTCTTGGCACGCTTTGGATCAATGTTCCAAAGTTCCGCGAGCTTATCAGGAGGCATTGCTTTCTTCGCCTCCATGATCTCTCCGAACATGCTCGTTGACGTGGAACAGTCGACGGAGCTACTGTGTCGGTGTCTCGGCCGCGCCGTGGCGGGGCTCGGACTCTTCTCGCCATCATTGTGGCCACTAGTACCGGCGCCGTTTCCGTAACCGCTCTGATCCGATCCGTTTCCGCCGCGGGCGCCACCGTTCACGCCACCGCCGAGCTTCTCGACGTCAATGTAGGTGGAGAACAAGTCGTCCTCGGATCCGATCTCCTCCAGGCTCGCGGTCGAGGATCCGCCGTTGAACGGATCCGACTGCGAGAGGTCCATCATGTCTTCCGGCAGCCGGTAACTGACCTCCGAGAGCGCTCTCCGGTGATTGGAGTGGGACTCGCCGGAGCCGGCGACGGGAGCGGCGGAAGAACTGGCGCCTCCGAAAAACAAGGAAGAAGACGGCGTTGATGACGTGGCATTGGGATTAGGGTTAGGGTTTGGAGGTGAATCATGCGTCTGCGTGGCCATTCTCTTCTGAGTTCTGCTCTTTTCCGATCGATGCTCTGTTTCTAACACAAAAACGCGCAATCTCTCTCGTCTTTCTTCCTCCCCACGTTGCAAACACATAAAATATTAAGAATTCTTTAAAAGTAATGTACTATTTAATAATGTTTATAAAATAATATAACAAAAATTCCTGTTTCTTATATTTTGTAGATTTATTATTTTTTCTCCCAAGTTTTGTGCCAGAAAGTTTTAAAGACATTGTAACACAAGAAATACAAAATGAAGAATGTAAATTAACTATAAAGTGAAATGTTTAAGATATGAAGAATCTAACAAACTTTTACCATTCCCTTTTAAGATAATAAATGAATATTTTGGACATAGCAGAATCTTTAATTTATATAATATTTAAACAATTTAGTTTTCTAACGTTGTCAGTTTTCAACTAATAAAAAGCATTTTAAATATGTTTTTTACAGTGGTTATTATAAAATAAACATGTTTATTAAACATATTATATTTTGTAGTTAAATAATTGTACATAATTTATTTACATTCTCGGTACATTTTAATTAAATCAATTTTTAATGAAAAAATGTTTAAAATAAAAAGAAAAATGTACAATTGGACATAATAAATTATTTAAATTTAAAGAAAATATAAATTTAATTTAATCTAGTAGGAAAAAGGAACTTACTGATATAAACAAAATTTTAAAAAAAATTAGTAATTTAAAAATAATAAATTACTTAATAATAACATCATGTTTTCATTAAAATAAATATAATATTTATCTTAAAGAAATATATTTTGATACAACGTTGAGTCTCTAGATAATTTATATTTTTTTCTGCCAGATTAATAAAATAAATTTTAAAATAAATAATACTTCAAACATAATAATTAACTCTAATAATATTATTATAACCTACATAAAATTAAAATTAAAACGTGGGATCTGTGACTAATATTTTTTTATTGTTAAATTTTCTCCTACCCTTTAATCATTGAGAATAAAAAATTATAATCTTCTGTACACTACCTCTTATATAACTTAAAAGCCGAACATAAAAATCGAAGATAAAGATGATTTCCAAGAAATCTATTTCAATAATTCTTTTCCTTGTATGATATAGGAATAAAAAAATGTCAAATAATATTTAATATAATATTTTTTAGTGCTTTGCTTAACACCCTCCTCTTTAGAAAAAAATATTAAAAAAAAAAACTTGTTTATTTTATTCCTGTGCTTCTTGTGAACCTGTTGAAATAAAGAAAGAAGAAATTTATAGCACATCCAACCGTTACTTAATTGCTAATAAACCTATCAATTGTGTACACAATTTTCAAAAAAGCATGTAGCTTCACATGCAAAATAATAGATTCAATTGACAAATAATTGATACGTTGTTTAATTAAAACCTAATTTACTTGATTTTGCATATACATGGTTTACTTAACATGTTCGAAGTAACGTGCAATGAACATTTTTCTTGTAAGTTGGGCTTTTGACTCTGAGAAATGTTTAAAAGTTTTGTGTTGGTGATGTAGATGATGTGAACGATTGAATTTAAAATGGAAAGAAAAAATGGGAATAGTGCTATAAAGTTAATTTGGTTGAATTCAAACTTTAGTGTCGTGAATATGTGTGAAGGATAATGATTGAAGGGTCAAACTATAGCGTTTTTAGCGCCAAAGGATTGTTCAAATATATATATAAAAAAAATATATAATAACAGTAGTTACTCATTAAATGTGTTAGATGCATAAAACCCTTTGATTATGGAAATCACCTACTTGAATATTTTTCTTTTTCCATGATTTGATTGAGTTGAAAAAAAGAAGAAGTATATACATACTTTTTATTTCAATTCCTACGTGTGTTTTATTTATCATCAACTATACAATTAAAAAGAGTTATAACATAAAAAAAAAATTAGTGTACTCATAATTAAGATATTTCATAAATAAAATATTGTTAACAGATAAGTTAATAATAATTTAAAAATAAAATAAAAGTTGCTTAGTCCTAAATTCGAATCACTTTAAGATTAATGGAAGAAGCTGGCTTCACTTATGATCATGAGTTGCTCTTTAAATTTTATTCAACCTAAGATCGGATGATCATGATGCTGCCCTTTTACTTGTTCACTTTTGCATTCCAAACCCACAAAGCATCGTACAATACAATTAATTGCTTAAAACCACCTACTAAAACATTAATATATTTTTTTCATAACAAATATCATTTTACTAAAAGTTTATATTTTTAATTACTTTAAAGCAGAGGTGAAAAGAATTTAGGAGTTTTAATAATGTAACGTAATATATTAACAAAATGAAACATGTTTTCCATGCTATAACTTAAAGTGTTAATTAATTTGAATATTTAATGAAGACATTATGTGTGCCCCCGTTATATTTGGAAGGTTGAGTTGAGCATAATGGATAGAAAGGTCCATTTATCTTTTAATAAAATGGTTTAAGGGACCCATTTAATTTCCGGAAATCAGGCCAGTTCTTGTGCCCATTTACGACTATGTGTGTCGATTAATTCAAAGCAAACACCAAATTTACAGATTAATTAATAACTTATTTAATACATTTTTATTATAATATTTTTTCATCAAAAATTTTTAATCTTTTATGATAAAATATATTATTTTAATAATAATAGTTTTAAAAAAATCTAAAAACTTATGATAATAAGTTGATTCTTTTTAGAGAATTTAAAATTTTACTTAAATTTAAAACTTTTAATATTTTTTAAAAATTTATGTTTTTTATATTTACATTTTTCTTTTGTTTTAGTCTTGTCGAAATATTTTTTTATTTTTAATTTTATTCACATCAACATATTATTCCATTTTTGAAACATTATTTATCTAATTTGTCTTACTTTAATCCCATCTTACCTTACACAAAGTGTGATAATTAACAATTTTAAATACACGTATAATTAAAAAGTGATTTTTTTTAAATAAGACTACATATTTTTAGATGAATAAAAGTGAAATAAGTTAATATTCTAATAGTTTAGATATATTATTAATTATGACTATCTAAGATGATCTCTTTTAAAATATTGGTGTCGGTTTTGTATTTTAAAATAATTCATTCAACTTAAGTTAAAATATTTTAATCAAACTTAGAGTTTCACCTATGATGGAACATGATCATGATTAAGGGTAAAAATCTACTTAAAGAATTTAAAGGACCTATAATAATGACTAAAATAAGAGAAGTAAAGAAAGTTTTTTAACAAATATTGTTCATATTATTCAAATACAAACCCATATTGCAAGAAAAAAATATTAAAGTTGTGAATTGCATCATAGCTTAAATGGAAGAGGATTAAGACATCACTTTATTTTAGTCTTTAAGTTTTGTTTAAATAGTGACCAAACCTTTTGTAAAATTAACTTACCAAATTATGTTTTGTGTTAATTTAAGGGTCCAATTGAAAATTTAGTCATCGACCATAAAAACCAAAATGATACATAATCGATTATTTTTTGGTAACTTTTGGTTACCACAATTTCAATTACAATCAGTCATTAAGTACTTTTCAATTTTTATATTAATGGATCGTTATTAACATTGATTAGTTTTCAATTCCATATATCATTATTAATATTTATTTGCCTTCATTAAATAATTTTCAATTATTAGGTTAAAGAATGATTATTAATATTTATTTGTCTCCGCAAATATTTTTTTTATTGAATCTTTATAATTTTGATAACAAAACTTCTATATAAACTAATCCATCTTCATTAGTTATATCAAAAGACTTTCACATCCTTTTGTTTTATGGTCATAATTTCCGTTCTACTCAGTCCAAATTGAGTGTCTTTTTTGTCTAAATTTAAATTCAGAACAATAATGTTTACCTTATTTTTGAATCACCTCAATCGAAGTTTTATAACTCGAGATATCGATATTTCTAAGATTCTATTTAATTCTAAAAATTTGACCACTTCCATTCACCTCTAATATTCATACAAAATAACAATAAATTTTTTTTTTGTTAATTCTATGAGAAATATATGAGTATGAAGTAGTTGCATGCAATGCAATTGCACCTTGTGCGCAACAAATTTAGGAGCGTAAGGGAAAAGAAACATATTTGCGGATAATATATAGAAAACAAAACAAAAGTTATGTCTTCAAGCAAAAAATATTTTACGATATTTATACTTTCAATTGGTTAATTAATTAATTACATAAATAAATAATAAATATTTTTATAATTTCACTAATTTTGTAATACACAATATATTTAAAAATAAAATATATGTAAGAAAATTTAGAATAATTCACACACATTTATCAATGACTATGTCTTTTTATTTAATACATAATATATTATTAACTTTTGACTTGTAAATTTATTTAATTATTTTCTATACAAGGCTAGATTAAGTTAAAAGAATATATAATTATGCATAAGGAGATATAATAATTCTTACAGACTTTAGAATAGTAGCCAAAACAAGTGTACAACTTTATTTTTTGTACACATATTCCATATCAAGGAATAATCTACGACTCTTACGCATCTTCCATTTTGTAAAGAAGAATTAACAACTATATATACTGATAAAAATGTCACCATTTGATTTACCTGTTACTCTATTTAGGGTCTATTTACCTAAACTATTCCATATTAACTTATAAAGATAAATATTTTTTTATAAATGAAAAAAAGTTAATAAGTATCTTTTACTCCATTCAGTTTTTTATTAAAAGAAATTCATTAACACTATAAGAAAAATATTTGAAATTGTAAAAGGAATATACATAACTAATCCATGCAAAATATAAAAAAGGTATAAATTACTGGAGAAATTTTTCTAAAATTATAAAGAGATACGAATAATTAAAAATATTGCCAAAAATATGGTGTAAATTAAAAATAAAACAATTTCTAAAAAATTGTACTTTAATTTAATATATAAAATGGAATTATAATAATTTTTTAATTGCCATCTCTCTCAATTAACTAAATCTGGATTCCTGCAAAAATCAAACGGCATGGAATGCAGTTGTCAATCGAATGATGATTAATGTTAAAGGTGGAGATTTTGTGTTTTTTTTTTTAAACACAAATAAACCTTTTATTTAAAAAAAAAAAATTAAATGTTAAGATCAGTTTATTATAGACAAATTATTAGACATCTAGATCTCATCAATTTGATTATTCAATTGATTAAATTATTGAGCAGATTAGTCGTACCAAATAAATAAATAAAATAAAAAACATGTCCATGTCTTCTCTTTCCAATGTCATTTCGTCACTCCAATGTATGATCTCTGTTATCTGAGTCTGTCATCTGATTCACATATAGATAATCTCTGAGATCGGAAGTCACTGCTTCATTTTCTAAACTTCAACATTCAATTAAGGCTAATATCAATGGTTGTGGGGATACCTTTCTTTGTCCTATTTGCATCCACTCTGAGTCTAGCTTTCCTACTCTCAAAATGGTTCTCAAAAAGTCAAACAAAAAATGTTCCAAAGGGGTCTCTGGGGTACCCTATCATCGGAGAGACACTTAGTTTTCTTAAAGCACAGAGACAAGACAAGGGTTCTGATTGGTTGGCAGAACGGATATCTAAGTATGGTCCTGTCTTCAAAACCTCCTTAATGGGGTCCCCTACAGTGTTTGCAATTGGACAAGCAGGAAACAAGTTTATCCTTGGTTCACCAGATGATGTGCTTTCTGCTAAGAAACCCCTCACCCTGCGAAAGATATTTGGAAGACAAAGCTTGGTTGAACTTACAGGACCCAGGTACATAATCTTCAACGATGCAGCTTAGGGTGTCAAAATAATCCTTACATGATGATGGTCTTGGTTAAAATAATGGCACTTTAAAAATAAGGTCTTTAATGTCTGGATAAATGGATTATGGATAGTTGAATATTAATGGATTTTGGGAAAGTGTAAGTATTTGGATAACTTATTCGTACTGTGATACAGACTGGAGGTCCTTGTTTCGATTTCTGATAGAAATGATTTTGAAGAAGTTGGGGTTAAAAAAATTGTGTTTGGGATGATATTTTAAAAGTGAGTTTAGAAATTGATTTTATTTGAATAGTAAAGTAAATTCACTTTACAAGTGTAAATATCAATTTGCTGGTCTCATACCCAAAATCAATTCATGTCTATGAAAAAGTTAGAATTTTCACTCCTCTCAAAATTATTTCAACTGTAAAATTTATTTTCAAAATTCCGAAAGGAAATAGCCAAAAAAGAATAAATCCCCTCATGGATCAAATGGTTTGATCTCCAACATGGTTTTCACATGCAATCATACAGACGTTATAGTTCATCTTTTTTTGAGGCTGTGTTAATGTTTCATGCAGATACAAGTTAGTCAAGAGGGAGATGCTGAAATTCTTGAAACCTGAATGCCTTCAGAACTATGTAAAAAAGATGGATGAATTGGTGAATGCTACATTACTGAGAGAGTCCACAGAGAATGAAACAATGGGAGTTGTGGTCTTCATGAAGAAACTGTCCTATGATATAGGATGCCATATATTGTTTGACATTAAGGATGAGCACACCAGGGAGGCTATGTTTGTTGATTCCACTTTAGCATTTAAAGCAATCCATTCTCTTCCCATCAATTTCCCTGGTACCACATTTTGGAGAGGCCAAAGAGCCAGGGCAAGAATTGTTGACAGGATGATTCCTATTATGAACAAAAGAAGGGAGGAGCTGTCAAAGGGAGTTCTAAGCTCTACCAATGACATGCTTTCCTGCTTGCTTGCACTAAGGGATGAAAATCATCAACCTGTAGATGATGATTTAATCACTGACAATTTTATTTTTTTATTTGTTGCTAGTCATGACACATCTGCCACTCTTATGAGTTTGATGATATGGAAGTTATCTAGAGATCCAGAGGTTTACAGTAAAGTCTTAGAAGGTACCTCTGAAACTTACTGTTTCAATTATACTATGGTGTGCCGAGTCCAAAATCAATAGATAATTAACATGTTTTTTATTGCTATTTTTAGAAACAGTTTTAGTTTTAAAAGATAACCAAGAAAAAGTTCATGCTATAGTACCCCTCCAAATTGGTCACACCTGAGTTAGGATACCACAAAACATCTGTTTTTGGTTTCTAAAATATTTGTTTTGGAAATGATTTTTAGAACTTAATAATAGATTTCAGAGAAGAAATTGATTGCTGACTAGTACGAATTATGAGATTATATAGAAAACAGAAAAGTAAGAAGGAAATCAATAGATCCTTTGTCCTCTAGTTGTTTTACTAAATTCTTTATTGCAGAACAAATGGAAATTATAAAGCAAAGGGAAGGAACAGAAGAGAGGCTAACATGGGCAGAGATACAAAAGATGAAATATACATGGAGAGTGGCTCAGGAATTGATGAGGATGATCCCTCCCTTGTTTGGCAGCTTTAGGAAAGCACTTAAAGATACTAACTACCAAGGATATGACATACCAAGAGGGTGGCAGGTGATATTTCCATCCTCAAAACTTCATAAATGACTTTTTCTTCTCTCTCACATGTATCCCCTTAAGAGTTTTTTCTGCTTGAGATTCACTAGTATTAAACGTGAGCTTCTTTTTATGAATGTTCAAACAGTAATGTGTCATATTGTTAATTAGTGACACCTTTTGTGGACAAACTTTAATGTTAAATTGGTTATTTGGACAGGTGTATTGGGCAGCATATGGAACCCATATGAACGATGCTATATTTGAGAATCCACAACAGTTTGATCCATCTCGTTTTGAGAATCCAACAAAGCCAATTCCACCTTATTCTTACCTTCCATTTGGTGCAGGGATTCATTATTGCATAGGAAACGAGTTTGCTAGGATTGAGACCTTGACTACTATTCACAACTTTGTGAAACTGTATGAATGGTCTCAAGTAAACCCAGAGGAACCAATTACCCGTCAACCAATGCCTTATCCATCCATGGGTCTCCCAATTAAGATCAAACCCAGGTCTAGTTTGTCTTAATCCTCTTGTCATAAACTGCATTGTAAATTATTATTGTAGATGCTAATTTTCTCTCTTCTAAATATGTTCTTTTTTGTTGGAGATTCTCCTATAAAATTGCAACACAATATAGATTTTCTATGAACTCAGTATACAAGAGGGAAATATACCTCTCGCTTATGGGAAACATCAAATGTGATACACATGTGGGTGAAAAACTAGCCAGCAACATGTATTTGAACTAGTATAGCCGGCAATAACAAGCTTTCAATATATGACATTTTCTCATTCTATGAATTTGATCAATACAATTTGAACAACTTGTATTCATCGTTTAGGATAACTACTGATTTACCAGAGAATGAGATGGTGGCAGACAGATAATTGGCGATTATTTCCTGCCAGACTTTAGTAGGTGATGTATATTGATACCATTAACAGCAAAAAAAAGACAAAATGATATAGATATATAAAGTGAAGTATATATTAGAGCTTTCAATTCATAGAGAATTAAACAATAGTATTATAAAACAATATCAGATAAAACAAACTCAGAAAGAATACAGTACATTACCAAGAGGCACTATGGTATGAAATATATTAATTAATGTATATGGTATACATTAATATTTATTGTTGGTTTCAAAGAGGGAGGTGTTGATGAGCTGAGAAAGGACAATGAGTTGCAGACATGACAAAGGAGGCTTCAGTGCTGGCAATGGAAAGAGGAGTCCTTCTAGATGTAGGGGTTCTAGGTCTTGAGGTGGCCATGCTATGACCATACCCTCTATCACCTCTCTTTCTTGGTCCTTTCTCAGACCATGAAAGCTCAACATGCTTCAATGTGCTTGGATACCTCCAACTGCAACACCCTACCACCCCTGCTCTCTCTATGTACCTGTCAACAGTCATATTATCCCACAATATTTTCTACTCCAAGAATAATTTGAAGCTAGCTCAGTACAAATAGAGCCTAGAATATTAACAATCTCCAATACCCACTATATGAAACATATCAATTCAGAGACCGGGTTGATAGATATTTGATATTTTAGAGAATATTTATATAATTTGAATATTTTAAGGATTATTGTTCAAGACGTGTTTGATTTAGAACAATTTTTGCATGCTCCGTACTTTACAAAAGAATTGTTGTTTTCTTGTGGGTACAAGAGACGGCAAACAAACGCTACTTCCGTTTCATGACGTAGAAACACATACAATAGCCATTGGCTGTTAAAGGTTTATAACTAAAATCCAACGACTAGACAGTTGTTACTAAAACTCAACTAGCTTGCACTAGCCTGTCATGGTTGCAAATGTTAGGAAAATTCCTCTAAATTCTTATACACCAATTACATCATCTATGGAGGGGATTTTATAGAAAGTGCTAACAAGCATTTCTCTTTAACAATTTTTAGTAATTGGATGACAGTTTACTAAGGTGTGAAATTATATACAGACCCCTTAGTTCCTACATTTTTTTTAGATTACATATAGAATTTATTTTTTATACCAAAATTTTAGCTTTTCCAAGTAAAACACTTGATTTGGAAATCATTACCTTTGGCTAAATCTCAATCCAAGACACTCAATACACTTTCTTCCTTCTGTCATTTCTCCCATGCCTATTTCCACACACTGCTTGCAATAAACCCTGCCACAAACCTGCATGGTCTCAAGAAATATCTGAACATAAAAGCTATGGACCATATAAACTTTACTCAGTTATACAGTCCCTTCTTGTACACAATAGATACAAATTAATGTAAAGTATTAATAACATTACGTTATGAAATTGTAACTTTTTGAGTAAATTATACTTGATACTCTCAAGATTTTGTCAAACTTTTTTCATTTTTCCCTACACTCTATAAAGCTATATGAAATAAATTGCTGTAAACTTGGAAAGAACAAGCAGGAAATTGTGTAAAATCATAAAACACAGGACATATAAGTGTAATTTACTATAGACATTTTCATCGTCTACTCTAGTTACTGAATTATAATAATGACATGCAAAGACATACCAGGCATCTAGTCCTGAAAAGGTAAACATAGTTACTGCAAATGGTGCAAATCTTAGAGTGAGGAATCCCTGGCCTCCTTCGTCGACCAGACCCACCTTTCCCAGAAGCAAAACTCTCACCACTCTTCATTCCATCATAGCTCATGCTGTACTCACTGGCCCTGCTAATTTGAGCACTTGCTGCACCACCACTTGCATGGCTATAATGACCCCACTGTGAGTCACCACCTTTATAGCCAAAATGATGATGATGATGATGATTATTGTATCCCTCCAAGCCCTTTCTGAAGTCAAGACTAGGTACAGTGGAAAGAGAAGGTGATGGTACCTTTGTGGGGTTATTGGTGATTATACCAGCTTGAGAAACATGTTGAGAAGTGGTTGTGGCAATTGTACTGTTTGAATTGTCTGATGAATTAATATTGGCTAGGTCTTTAAAGGTAAGGTTAACAGACTCATCTGGGATTCCTTGGTACAGTTCTTCAAGTTCTAGTTTTGGCCTTGCCTGGAGAGTGTTCATGTGATCATCGCCCATTGAGATGAGAGGGTAAGGAAATGATGGTTTAGCCACGAGCCTGTGTTCCAGAAATATTTAATGACAAGTTTAAAGTTGTAGCAGGCTTGTTAATTACGTCCATTCAAAATAATGACGATCATATGTGGCCAAAACGTGCAAGGCCGGTCGAAAATTAAATAAAAATAAATAAAATGAGTTTCAAAATAAATTAAAAATTTTGAAATTAATAAATTAACTTGTATAAGTTCATTTTAACCGAAATTGTGTTAATTCTAAAAACAATCCATAAATTTAAAAGAAAAATGAATTTTTAATTCTTAAAACAAATAACAGCTTTCATTGTGTTAATGATTTTTTAAAGAAAAAAAAAACGGAAAACCTTGTTGCAATGGGAAAATGTTGGAGGGTTTGAATAGTCAATTGGAGGTAGTAACAATATCAAAATCGTGTTTGATGCAAAAACTCTCGATTTCTTTACTATGACTTTTATATATTATATAAGTTACGCCTCTTGACATGAAAAACTTATGTTTTTTTGAAAAAAAAAAATTGTTCAATAATATATTTTATGCTCATCTTTTCTCTGCATATAATTTATTAACATAAAAAAAATAATATTGTATAAATTGTTAAATGTATTACATTCTTTAATGTAAAGAAAACGTAAAATATTTAATAACTTGGGATAAAATATTTATAAATAACCATAAAGTAAGGTAGAAAAACATGCATGACAAAATATGTCTTTAAACAAGAAAACTTAGGAATAGGTCCTCTCTCTCACAATACTAAGAATAAAATAAGGAGTTTGGGTTATTGATGAGAACATTATAATAATTGATAGTTCAACTGAAACCATACATCTTATTTTTATATTATTTTTAATTTTAATTTACATAATTAAAAAAATTGTTAATAATGAAAAGGAACAATGCATTTCCTTGTAAACTATTTATCAAAATGTAAAATAACTACAGCTATCTTTTAAGATAGCATCAATTATCACTGTCTTTAAATTAGTAATATATAATTGAAATAATAAAATTTATTATTAAATAATTTAATAAATAATATTGAATTCGCGTTTTGAGTTTAGAATCACAATTTATCATACCAATCTTACTTTAATCAAATTAATAATATTGTCTTTCATAAAAAAAAAAACTATTTATATTCTCTAAAAACAATAAAACATTGAAACACACACTACTAGCATAAATATTTAAATCAAACAAAATTTAGTAGCAAATAAGTTGTATAGATTATATATAATTGTTTCAATTGTATAATTTTAAAATGTACAATCAAAATGTTTTGTATATAATTTAAAAGTATATATTATGTAAAGTTTAAAATACTGTATTAAAAAATTTATATTAATATATAAAATTTGTTTGTTTGGTAATCTAAGTCCTACGTTAAATAAGGAGAAGATTAAAAAATATATAAAGAAGAAATGTAATATCTAAGATATTCACGATTGTACGAGTTCGACTAAATCATTATTGTTTTTTTAGGTTATTTTTAAAAGGTTATTAAATAAGTGAAAACAATCTATATACATATCATGGGATGTTTTTAGAAGTTTTTTCAACACTAATAATACGCAAGAACCAACACTATTCCAAAAGGGCCTTATTTTCCACCTTTCTTAAGATTAGTGTAAGCCCAAAAAGCCAAAGTCCAACAGGGTAATGTAGGCCCAAACAGCCCAAGTCTAACAGAGTAACATAAAAATCTTGAGGTATTCTTCCAAACCCTAACGCGGCCACCATTTTCGTTTGTTGCAGAAGTTGCTGAAACCCTACTAAGCACTTCGTCATGGTATGCAGATCGGAAATTCTCATGTAGTTGCGCGCCATTGTTTCTCCTTGATAAAATAATTGAGAACTATGTGAATTGTTTAGTAGTGCAAGATTGCATTCTTATAGGGGTTTTGCTGGTACTTTTGTTGTTGTGCAGTCGAGGAGAAAAGTTAGAGAGCCAAAGGAGGAAACCGTGACTCTGGGTCCAGCTGTTAGAGATGGCGAACACGTCTTTGGTGTCGCTCGCATATTTGCCTCCTTCAATGACACTTTCATTGTTAGTGTGTGTTCACTCATTTTTTTATTTTTTTTTATTTTTTTATTTTTACTTCAAATTATCAATCGCTGAATTCTGATTATTTTTTATTTTATGACTGTAGCATGTTACTGATTTATCTGGGAGGGAAACCCTTGTCCGCATCACTGGTATCAGTCTTTCTCTTCATATACATGAACAATTTAATTTATTGGCTATCATTTCAGAAAGCAATGGTTGGTTATGAAGATGCAATTTTTATTATCTGTTTTAGTATATTTTATCCATTTTGATATTATTAATACTGAAATAGGCCGTATATAGGTTCAGTAGATTTTATGATGCCAGTTGAACATGTGTGTTTTGTAGATCAGTGATAAGGCCTGCTCTTTTGTAGATCCGTAGCACTTAGGTATTAAACCCATACTCAACGATGGAGTGAGCTTAGTCATAGGCCCTGTCCTTCTGTAATTTTTTTTTTTGCATCGTACTAAATGACTTTTGATTTTTTTTTTATATACATAGGATCCATTTTTATACCAACAAGCTAACATTCTTTGCCTTCAAGTGAATATGGTCCCATCTTGAACTCTTTAGTGGATATAGGAATGCTTGTGATCAGTTTATGTATCACCAACCAGACATTCATTGTTAATAAATGAACTTCTGTGAGTCTTTCCTGTTTCTTGGATGTAGGATAGCTGGAATTCCATCTGTATCTCACCAAGCATATCATTTTTTGCCCATAAATGACATTTGGTTGAGTCTTAACTCTTCTGTGGATATTGTGAACTGTTTGATTTCCTTATGATTTTACTTTCCAACTTCAGGTGGAATGAAGGTTAAAGCTGACAGAGATGAATCATCTCCATATGCTGCTATGCTTGCAGCACAGGATGTTGCTGCCAGATGCAAGGTACGGGCGCGTCTCTTTTACTTCTATTCATTATGTTAGTTTACATGACTATCTTACTACTCTCTTTATCAATTTGATGGGTTTCCAATATGACTATCTTGTTAGTTAGCCAGTATTTCTAGTCAATTGCTGTCCTTAGCTGTTAGGATGATTTTGTTCTGGTAATGGAAAGTGAAATCACTTATTACGAAAATTATTATTTCTGTGAAGCTTTCAAGCTTTATTCATTGTTTCAAGTTATTTTGGAGCAGGAACTGGGCATAACTGCACTTCATATTAAGCTCCGTGCAACTGGAGGAAACAAGACCAAAACACCTGGTCCTGGTGCTCAATCAGCTCTTAGGGCCCTTGCTCGTTCAGGAATGAAAATTGGTCGTATAGGTAATTTGCCTTTTTATGAAAAGCATTTATTTGCTTCTTATTCGAATCTATTGTTTCCTATTAGTGTGTTGATAACTGGGACAACTTCATTTTGAATGTCTGTTATTTTCTCTTTCTAGATCCATAATTTTCCTTACATTTGTTTTCATCTGATTGATTTCATTTATATTGCATTTTATTGTTAAATAAAATATTAATTATTGTTCTTGCTTTTCCAGAGGACGTGACGCCCATTCCTTCGGATAGCACTCGTAGAAAGAGTGGTAGAAGAGGTAGAAGGCTCTAAAATTCTGGAGTTGTTTGTATTTTACTTTCCATGCCAAACTGAACTGTGGTATTTTGAAATTTTGCTATCAGAACTTCTAATACATATATCTTTAGGCATTTGAACAGAGTTTAGTTGATCACAAACATATTTATTTATTTGTTATTGAAAGTTTTGCTGGTTGATTCGTGGGGCTTGCACGAATAGAACATCTCACATGTTCTTATTCTTCCCAATAGTTGTCATATGGGGTTCATCTTCGCCTAGATCGTTTCAACGAATCATTTCCAAAATCCAATCAAAAAAAGTTCTAAACAATCAAATACAATTTAATATTTACTATCATGATTTTTCAACGGTTTTGTTAATTTTGTTTAGAATCTGACTTAACAAACCACCGTTCACCTCTGGATACAATTAAAACAAAGTATACAACAACTTAAATATTATACCAAGTTTGAGAAAGTTTTGAAGTAATTTTTCGTTTCTAAGTTGCTACTGGTTTTTAGTTTTTAACAGAGTTAAAAGTTAAGGTGATTTTGTTTGAAAGTTATTTTTTTTAATTATTAGTTTATTAAAAATAATTTAATAAAACTTTCTTAATAACAAAATTAATATTAATCTAAGGGTGCTTATATTATTATGACAGTGACAGATATTTGCGACAGTGATAGGAATTATAGCTGATATAAAACAAATTAACATAATTGATTGATTGTCTATTTTAAATAAAGCAAAGATATTCTAGGTGAAAACTTTTTTCCATCACAATTATTGTTAATTCAACTTCTAAATCATTTGTTATCATTAAATGAACAATTTAGATTTTAAATATAAATGACAATTTAAGCAATTATATCATTTATTTTTATCTTATATATTTTGTATATAATCATACCTTTCAAATTAATCGAAGTAATTGGACATTGAATTCCGTGAAGTGTAACGAGTGTTATCCGTCTCACTTCCTCTGAAAAAAAGCAAGAACAATAATTAACATTTTATATAACACTTTATTATAAGCCAATTTTATTGGACTTAGTAAGATATATAGCTAATTTTAAGATTAGATACATGAAACACTTGAAATAAGAGGCAATTTTTTCACTGTCAATTTACCTTCTCTTTTCTCTCTCACTTGTAAAAAAACATTATTCGATGAGATCATACAATAATTTCTTTCTTTCATGTCAACATCTTCATTTCTCTTGAATGGTAAAAACCAAATCTCCAACTATTAAATTATTATTCTCAAATGATTTTTATTTAAAATCTAATATCTCTATTTAAAACTAATTGTGTAATGTATTAGTACCAATTATATTTTTGTATTATTTAATTACCCAACCCACGACGAGGTAATGAATTAATATTTCTTAAACGAGAGAACCCATTTCAAACATTTATACATAAAAATTATTAAGCCACAATCTAAAAGAAACTAAAGTTTATCGTGAACAATGGACAAGAAGAACAACAGTGAGAATGCCTTGGGCCACTTTTGTGTACCATGTATCTTTGAACTCAATGGAAAATCTATAAGTTCTTTCTGCTTACGTCTTCCCGCAATTTAATATGTTTCTACCTTTTTCAGCTATATTGTGCATGAAACCCTCAATTTTTAATTAAAAAGTGGAAGCCAATAGGGTTTATAATATTGCAAAAATTGGTCTCAGTTACTTTCCGTCTCAACTTCGATTCGTATGAATTTGCATAATTAGATGTCGTAGTTATTTGGTCAATCTGCTTTTGAATTCTTTACACGGTCATACAATCTTTCTTCTAGCCCATTATTCCTTTGATCATGGCTAAAACCCACCATTTTAAATAAACGTTTAACACAAAAAGTTTTAGGTTTTTCCTTAGTTTTTTAACACCACTGCAATTGCTAGCTGGATTTGTTTACTATGAATTTTATATGTTTTATATATGTTAGGCCTCACATGAAAAACTTATGTTACAAATTCTACAATAATATATTTAATCTCATCTTTCCTCAACATGTAATTTTTTAAAACTAAAATGATCGTATTTATAAAACTTTTAACATTATATTTAAAGAGATAAATTATATCTGCTTTAATGTTAATGTTAATAACTAACTTTTAAATATAATATTATATATAATTGAATAATCAAATATATTAAAAATACATTACTAAATAAATTAATGAAAAAATATTTTCATTAAACATGATAAATATAATAAATAGGAAAATTCAGGTATCTTTAATTACTTGTGACTTTTTTTAAAACAAACTACAAAATAGTGATAAATAACAATAACAATAACAATACATAAGATAAACAAAATATGTCTTTAAACATGATAAATTAGGATTAGCTTCTCTCTCGTGATCACCAACGATAAAATAAGGAGTTTGGGTTATTGATACGAACATTATTTTTTATATTATTTTTAATTTTAATTTACATAGTTTTAAAAAAATTTGTTAATAATTAAAAGGAACAATGGACTACCATGTAAACTGTTTATCAAAATGTAAAATAACTACCACTATCATTTAAGATATATATACCATCAATTATCACTGCATTTAAATTAATAATATATAATTGAAATAATAAAATTTATTATTTAACGTTTGGGTCTACTGTTATAAAAAAAATAGTTTAATAAATAATATTGAATTCCAGTGTTGAGTTTAGAAACATAATTTTATCGTAAGGATCTTACTTTGAATCAAATTAATAATATTGTCTTTCATAATAATAAAAAAAAGTAAACGTATTCTCTAAAAAACAATAAATCATTGGCTAGCATAAATATTTAAATTAAACAAAATTTAATAACAAATAAGTAGTATAGATTATATATAATTGTTTCAATTGTATAATTCTAAAATATATAATCAAAGTGTTTTTTCATATAATTTAGAAGTATATATTATGTAAAATTTCATATAGCAATGGAGTGTAAAAAAATAATTTATATTATATATAAGATTTGTTGACATGAGATTTATCTGGGTAAACAACTTAATTAAATTCCTATCGAATAAGCATTTATAATGTAAGAAATTAAATACGTATAAGTTTTTATAATGAAAGAATGGTAGAACAAAATAATTTCATATAAATTGTAGGTTATATATATATATATATATATATATATATATATATATATATGTTGATTTTAAAAGGTTATTAGAATAAGCTGAAAACAATTTATATACATATCATCAACACTAACACGCAAGTACCATATATGATAAGTTCAAGTAAGTTTGAAATAAGTTAAATCCAATGTGATAATAATTTTTAATCTCATGAAAAGTTATTAAAAAATAAAATAATATTTTTTAGAAGAAAATTTTGACACCAGAAATTCAATCCATCCATAAAAAAATAAAGCCTATTAACATAATGGAAATAAAGTGTTTCGAAATTCAAAGGTGCATTTACAGGATTTCACTGACAATTATTTAACGACTATATTTAGGTGTTATAATTTTGTTTTTAGCAGTGTTAGTAGGAGATGAAGGAGCTTATAACAGTGACCCTTCACGTGGTATACTTGACCTAATTCAACGTATTAAGACGTGAAGACAAATGAAGAAGCAAATTGCACATCAGTATCCGTTAACTACAACATAATAGTTATCGTTGTCAATCGTTTTACTGTTATAAAACACGTCTCATCACAGAATCACATTTATTCATAAACAAAGAGAAGATTGTGGACAGAGAAATGGCTTTTCTAATTTTAATGGTGAGTGCGTGCTTAGGTAAACAAACCCTTACGAGATATTAGTTTTAAACGTGAAAAGTATTCTCAAATGAACATTGTTGTGATTATAATGAAACCTAGGAAGATATACAAGATCATTTCCCTTACAAAACTCCCTTCACACCAGACAACAAATTCATTGCTCATATTCACTTTTATGACAGTTCAAAGGTAAAATAGCTGTAGCTAAAAGTTTAGAGAATTGATAAAACATGGTTAGAGGGCATTTTAATCTATTTATTTAATTGGTTCAAGGAGATTGTAATTAATCTACTTAAATTCTTTACTATACTCTGGTTTAAATAAACTTTTTCAGATTACACTTATAGAAAAATAAATAGATATTTTATACATTAAAGTTAACTGATACATAATTTTTTTTTAAAAGATCATAAATAAAAAAATCAACAAAATACTATATATAATTTAATTTTAATTTATATACAAAAACTTATTTTACTTATGTAAATAAATGATTAAATGTCATCTAATAATGCTGCTGGTATCATTCTCTTGAGAGCACGGACCGATTTAATGGAATTAATAAAAGGTACGAATTAATCTAATAAATAATATATTAAAAAATTATTTAAATATAATTTTTATCAATTTATTTATTAAAACAAATCTGTTTATTAATTATATATAATTTTCTCTTTTTTTATATAATTTTAAAAAAATTCTAATTTAAAAATATCATATATTGATGAATTAAATATATTTTTTTATTTAGTATTTTAACGTAGTTATAATTATGTTTAGTTATAATGATTAGTAAGATTAGATAATTTAAAAAATATTTATTAAAAAAGTTACTTTAAAATAAATATTTATTTTTTCTTAATAATTATAACATGTCAATAATATTTTAATACCTCAAATTTATTGTATAATATTTTTTAATATAATATATTAAATTATAATATTTTTAGATAATTTAAATATTTTTTAGAAATAATAAAAAATTCTTTTTATCAAATTTTAATATATTATTTTTAATTAAAAGAATAAGATGTACGTAAGAAGAGAAAAACAAAAGAGGAGAAGAGAGAAAAATATAATCAAACATTGAATGAGAATAGAAAAATAAACAATAAGAAATAAATAATGAGAGAAAATAATAGAAAAATAAATGAAAGAAAAAGAAAAAAATGGTTATATTATATTGGATGAATTTATTTTTTATTTTGTGTATGACCAATAAATAAGTCTAATGAAATAAATAAATTTACAGAAATTTTATATAATAAATTTTTTAAATATATTATTTATAAAATTGATTAAAAAGTAAACCAAAATTAAATTAAAAAATATTTACAGGAACTAAAACTAAGAACTGTAGCATGTAAAGGATGTGCATGATTTGCAGAATGGATGATGGAGGTGTATAAATAATTAATTATAAAAGTTTAATAAGTTTGTAATTGAATTGGACGGTCTGGTATTAAATAAGCCACACTATGAAAAGTAGCAGGTCAAGACCTGCATAAAAATTAATAAAAACCAACATATTGAACACATTTATGGACACACTTCATGTCACCATGCATATCCAATGAAGTTTAACCATGCACGTGTTTTTTGTGTGAAGGATTTCCACGCGATATCCTGTACCAGGAGGATTTCAAATCAAGTTTATGGCTATAAATAGGCATCAAGTTTTGGTCATGATGAATCATCCACTTTTACTCTAAAAACCATACCCGAAGTTATTCACTGATCCATTTTCAATTACAAAAAGCCTTCTCCAAACCATGGGTCACACCCCTTTTTTTCTGTTGTCAAATCTTCAAAGCTTTTGGCCTTCTTTGTTTGTTATAATCACTTGCTTCACCATTGTCATCAAAACCCTAAGGTCTAACTTCATCGAGAATTATTCCAAGAGACAAAAGCGAAACCTTCCCCCTGGTCCCAAACCATGGCCTATAGTTGGCAACCTTCCTGAAATGCTTGCAAACAAACCTGTGTATAAGTGGATACACAGCCTCATGAAAGAAATGAACACTGAAATTGCATGTATCCGCTTAGGAAATTCCTATGTTATCCCAGTCACATGTCCCACCATTGCTAGTGAGTTCTTGAGAAAACAAGATGCAACTTTTGCATCAAGATCACTAAGCATGTCCTCTGAACTCCTCTCAGGTGGATATTCAACCACAATTTTTGTGCCCTTTGGGGACCGGTGGAAGAAAATGAAGAAAATCATAACCAATGATTTGCTTTCTCCACACAAGCACCTATGGCTTCATGACAAAAGGACTGAAGAAGCTGACAACCTTATGTTTTACGTCTACAACAAGTGCAAAATGGTGAACGATGGTGTTTCTGGCCTTGTCAATGTTAGGAGTGCTTCAAGGCTTTATTGTGGAAACCTTATCAGAAAAATTACTTTTAATACAAGGTATTTTGGGAAGGGTAGAGAGGATGGAGGACCTGGTTTTGAGGATGTAGAGCATGTTGATACCCTCTTTGATTTGCTCAACTACATTTATGCCTTTTCTGTTTCTGATTATATGCCATGCTTGAGGGGACTTGACTTGGATGGCCAAGTGAAGAAAATGAAGGAAGCTTTGAGGATCGTCAAGAAGTACCATGACCCCATCGTTCAACAGAGAATCAAACAATGGAATGATGGATTGAAGGTTGATGCAGAGGACTGGCTTGATGTTCTGATCTCTCTGAAAGATGCCGACAATAACCCATCGTTAACATTGGAAGAGATCAATGCGCAAATCATAGTAATATATTTTATTTCACTCTTAGTTTGTTTTTCGTACTTATATCGACACTTGCACGCGTAAACACAAACTATATTTCATGAGGGAGAGGGATATAAACACACTTTTTTTTTTATCTTTTCCATCCAAGTTTCACCTTGTTTTCTTTCTATCTTTCTCTTCTTTTCTTATCACCTCTATCATTTTCCTGCATTGCCTCCATAATTAGTTTGTAGATGGGTTGGGAGCATGTATGAAGTTCGAGGTCGTGTACAATAATTTCTGATTTGGTTCATTTCATGCATGTTGGAAAGATAAATATGGAAATCATTAATATTCAAACTCACAATTAATCAAACTCTTTGCAGGAATTGATGCTTGCAACGGTGGACAATCCATCAAATGCTTTTGAATGGGCCCTCGCTGAGATGATAAACCAACCTGAGTTGCTCCATCGAGCTGTTGAAGAATTGGACAGTGTGGTAGGAAAAGACAGGCTGGTCCAAGAATCAGACATACCAAAACTCAACTATGTGAAGGCTTGTGCAAAAGAAGCTTTTCGCCTTCATCCCATTGCTCCTTTTATTCCTCCCCATGTCTCTATGAGTGACACAATGGTGGGAAATTACTTCATCCCAAAGGGTAGCCATGTGATTCTAAGCAGACAAGAACTTGGAAGAAACCCAAAAGTGTGGAATGAACCCTACAAGTTCAAACCTGAACGTCACATCAAGAGTGATGGATCTGATGTAGTGTTAACAGAGCCACATTTGAAGTTCATATCATTTAGCACTGGAAGGCGTGGCTGTCCTGGTGTGATGCTTGGAACCACAATGACAGTGATGCTATTTGCTAGATTGCTCCATGGATTCACTTGGAGTGCACCACCCAATGTTTCAACGATCAACCTTGCTGAGTCAGAAAATGATATCCTTCTTGCACAACCACTTCTGGCAATTGCTAAGCCAAGATTAGCACCAAATCTATACCAACTCTAGATTAAATGAAATGTAATTTTTCTAGGCGTTTATATTCATGAACATGAAGCAATACTTAAAATAATGCAAATAATCGATTAATCAAAGTGTGAAATATAAATGTAAATGTCTATCATGTAGTGAAAAAAAGGACACAGCATGCTATTGGTTTAAAGATTATGCAATGTAATACAATAAAAATGTGTTTCATTTCATTCATCACATCTGTTATCTCCACCTAATTAACATAGTTAATTTGGGTTGGGTTATATAGAATACATATAATTTATTTAATTTTTAAATTGAACTAATTTAATTAAATTTTATTAATGAGTATCTAAGAAAATCTCAATGCAAAGAGTGAGACTTTTTGGTGCCTTAATTTTTTTTATGAATTGAGAAATTTTGCTACTTTACATATTAAGTATATTATATTAATATGTAAATGCCAAAAATATTTTTTAGGATAAGGGGAGAAAGGCAGTGGTTGTTTGAAGTGGTGGCACATGGACCAAATTTGTAGAATTTCATATACATAGTATAACATGTTCTTCCCAACAAACAAATAATTGGAAGAAAAATATCTAGTGGATGAGAATTTTCTGGTATAGTTTAAACAAAAAACGTCTTATTAGATTTAGTTTTTCTATTTTATTTTAAGTTAATTTGGTTATTTTTGTTTTTAATTTAGTTCTTCTTGATGTATAAAAAAATGGCTATTAGCGTGGCTTTAATGTTTTTAATAATTTTAATAACAGTTAAAATTAATTGTGAGAAAATGGTTGTTAGTGACTTGATGTGTTTCCACACGCTAACATTTTTTTAACCGTCGTAATACTATTTATAAGTTAAAAATATGTACCTGAATAACAAGCTTGTTTTCATGTTTGATTTGTTTCATGAATTAAAAACATCTATTGATGAGTTTTGTTATTTTTTTTAATGAAAAAATCAAATACTTTTATGATAAATAGGTGTGAGAATCAAATGACGTTATAAAACTTTTAAACGTTATTGCATGAACGAACTAAAGAACTACTTGTATCTCGTTGACATTTACGAATGTTGATTATTGATCCTGAGAGTTAAATAATATATTATTAATAAATAATAAATTAAATAATATATTATTAATAAATAATAAATAAATATAAAAAGAAGAAAGAAGATAAAATAGTGAAAAGATAAAATTTTAGATATATACTTAAATATATTAAATGATTATTAAGTTTGAGAGAAACAACGAGAGTTACAAAATTGAGGAGAGACTCGAAAGGATAAAATTGTAAATATATAAATAAATATATTAAATATTTATTATGTTTGAAAGCTAAAATCATAAATGACATAGGTAGCTACTAAAACTTTAAGGGTCACGGACCTCAGCTCTCACGAAGATATACTATAAAAATATGTTTCCTAATTTTATTCTACATAACATTTGTTCAACCTATTTGCTACATGTAATAGAAATCACTGTTAAATAGAGTTTTTTTTTGAACAATTTTAATGTTACTGGATTTGGAATATTATTCATTTAAAAACTTGATGACTTTATAAGAATTTGTTCTAAAAGAACAAATACAATTTGATAGGTTAAGAAGGATTAATGATTATAAATTATTTTTGACTTCCATTTTTAAATTATGTTATACTTTTTAAATATATCAAAACATATATAATTGAGTTATAGTTAATAATATAAAAATGTTAAATAAAAAATTTAGTAAAACCTAAAAATAGTATAATACAAATACTGGTTTAAATTTGAGTAAAAGATGAAAAAAGAGTATGAATTTTATTGCATATTAAAATATGGAAATGATCTTCTCATTTAATTTAATTTATAAAAGCAATGACTCGTAAATAGAATTATTTAATAAGGTATAATTCATGGAATTGAAAGATGTGATTTAAGATAAGATGGTCGTCGTTGATAATAATTAAAAAAAAAAGTTTAATTTAGTTTAGATTTTATGAAATTAATTTACTTTCATTTCTTTTATAACTATATAATTTAGTTTAGTTTGATAAAATTATTTTTAAATTATAATTTAATTTTACAATCATTCACTCTAATTTATATATATTTATAAATGGTAGTTCTCACATCCTATTAATCTTAGCCAATTATTAATATTGATAATTTTTAAATATTTACCAAACCAATAACTTAATGCACAATTTTAAATATTTTGTCTGATTTTCAAGTATTGATAACAGAGAATATATATTAAAATAATGGACAAATTTATTTTTAAGTTAATTGAAATAAAGGTGAGGTCATGAGAGGAGTCGTACTGAAAACGATGATGTGGCCTAAGGACAACCAACAATGAGTCATGTTTTTTTATGCGTGCAGGAAAAACATTGTTTGAGTGTTACTCTTCACTTAAAACACATGTTTCGTCCAGTCAATAATTTTGTGCTAAATGTATTTAGAATGACTTTCTCGTTTTCATCGCCAAGAATTATATTCTTTTTATGTCCTAGTGTGATAGATTATAATTTTTTTTATATGTTATACAAAAATTTATAATATTTTTGTATTAATTATAATTATTTTTATAATATATTTATAATTAAATATAAAATAATTTTTTATAATTTTTTTAATTGGATAGAGAAAATAAAAAACATCATAATTTTTTAAAAATTAATTATTATAATTTATATATTTAAAAAATAGTAAATATATAAACAAAAATATAATACATAATTAATGAAGAAAAAAATGACATTTTAGTTTAACAGAAAATAATTCTTTTAAAAATATAATTCAATTATAATAAAAAAATGTCCACCATTGTTTTAATAGAATTATATAAATATATGATAGATGTATAGTTATTGTAAAAAAAATATAAAAAATATTTCATTTTGAATATTCTATCTTATCTATTATAAAAAACATATAAAAATAAAATAATGAGACTAGTAAGTGAGAGAGAAGAAAACGAGTGAGTATTAAAATAAAAAATAAAAAAGTTATGAAATAAAAAAATCATATAAAAAGTGGATAAAAAATAAAAATATTTTTTTTAAATAAAATATATAAAAATTGTGGACATATTTACGCTTTAATATTTATATTTGAATAAAATTAAAATAAAAAATTATTATAATATTAATATAAAAAATGAGTAATTAAAAATATGTAACACAAGAGAAGATGTGATATGTATTAAAAGAAAAAATATTATAACTTTAAAAACTTAATTTATAAAAAAAATATAAAAAACTATAATATTTAGCAAAAGCTAAAAAATTAGGAATCTGGTTTATTTGTTAGATCTCATTCTAAAATTACTTTTACCTGCTAACACTATTTCTTTAGAAATTATATAGATAAAAATTTCATTTCTTCTCACCACAATTTATAATTATATATAAAATAATTTTTTAATAATATTTTGTGTTATCAGATAAAAAAATAAAGGTATTATAATTAAAAAAATCAGTTGTTATAATTTAAATATTTATAAAATATTAAACATATGAGAGAAAAAAATATGACACATAATTAATGAAAAGATTAATATAAGAAAACAAATTCATGATATTTTATTCAATTTTTATATAACTTTGTTCTATAAATGATACAAAATTATTTTTATATCTTTTTCTAAAATAATATAAGAGCAACGTATTACAAAAATAATCATAATCTATGACATTAAAACATAGAAAGAGGAATATGATTCTTGGTGATGAAAATAAGAGAACCATTCTTAATATTTGTTAGATTTAGAACCACTAATAGATGTATTTTCTTTTTGTCTTTACTGTATATAACACAAAATGATTGATTTTATGAAACATGTTTTGAGTGGTGGAGGAGTAACATTAAAAAGCATACCTCACACTCTTCTCTCTCAATCACATATTGTTTTGACTATGTTTAATATCTAACATTGTACATCATGTGATTGTATCTAATATCTAACATTGTACATCATGTGATTGTATCGATTGGACAGGTGATTAATGTATATAATAAAAAATTAATTAAATTTCAGTATTAATGATGGGTTAAAATAAAATGAGGGTGAAAACTATATTTATAAATATATAATTTTTATATTTATAAATATATAAATTTTATATTTATAAATATATAAATTTTATATTTATAAATATATAAATTAAAATGAATGATTGTAAATATTAGAATTTAAAAATAATTTAATTCAACTAAAGTAAATTTAATATTTATAAAAGAAATGAACTGGATTACGAGTAAATTAATTTAGTAAATATAAAACCTCAAAATTTATGATATAATATTTTTAAAATATAATATATTAAATTATAATATTTTTAGATTATTTAAATATTTTTATAATATAAAATTTATTTGAAAAATTTATTATTTATATTAAATTATTATTATTATAAATAAATAAATATTAAAAAAATTATTGTTATTATTATTATTTAAATTATTAGTAAAAGAATAAATAAATTATAAAAAATTAATTATTTTTTAATTTATTAAAAAGATAATTATACATATATTAATTAAAAAATAGGATAAGAAACTTGAAGAGATAAATATTTAATTAATGTTAAGACTAAAAAAAATAAAAATAAATTTATAATTATCATAAAGAAAAGAAAAGGAAAAAGTAAACTAAATTTATGGGTATAAAAGAAGTTATCATATAAAAGAAAAAAAGAGAAAAAAGAAGAAGAAGAAAGAATTAAAAGAAAAAGAGAAATAAAATATATTAATTATTTAGCGATGTGTTTGCAATTTTATTTTTTTATTTTTTATATTTATTTTATTTTTAATTATAAATTAATTTTATTTTAATTATTTATTAATCTATTTTATATTTATTATTTATAATTATATTTTTATTTTATTTTATTTATTTTATTAATTCTATTTTATTTCTCTTTACTTATATATTAATATTATTTTATTTATCTTTAATTAAATATTAATCTTATTTTTTATTTATTTATTTATCTTTAATTACACATTAATTTTATATTTATTTATTTTTAGTTATGTA